TTGCGGAGTCATATGAGAGAATTTATTGTCTCCAAAGTTTGGAGATAATAAATAATCTCAGATGACTCCGCAATTACAAGTCCCTTCATGCTGCTTCATTGTATGTACCTCTCCTACTGCCAATAACTCATAAACTGATCCCAACACGACATGGTTGAGAGTTAAATCAGTTACATCTTATTTACTTCCTCATAATAATTATGTAAAACACAAGATGAAGAGAGAACCAGCTAGAAAGAGAGTCTTGGTCTAATGGTGATCAAAACTCAACTCCCTTTCCTAGGTGAGGAACTTCAGTTATCTCATAAAGTTCTAGGAGTGAAACAATGTTGGATTTGATTGGTCTATGGTCAACTGTCTATCAAGGTTGCTAAGGTATTATGTGGATTGGTAATGGAGAGTGTAAGTGACTTGGGTTGGGCCTATGAGTCATGGTTCTTAAAATGTGGTTCCTTGAATATACCTTGAATATACTTTATACCTTGAAGGCCACACCTCGCCATCTTGGTGATGAAGATCAAGTATAGACAGTGTGGTGTGACAGGGTTAAGGGGGTTCCATGGGACCCATTTTTAAAACCCAGGTTGGATAGTTGTCGTTTGAAGCTGAGAAGTGTGGGAGCATCAATGGCAGTTTGTGGCAGCTTGTTCCATTTGCTTACAACTCTCTGGCTATATAATTTTTTCCTGATGTCAAGGCGGCTTCTTGTTGTGGCTAGCTTTATGGAATGGCCTCTTGTTCTATCATAGTTAGCAAACTGAAAATAATTCTCGGGTTTGGATTTGTCGATTTGCGTCATTATTCTGTAGGTTTGCAGTAGGTCTCCTTTCTCTCTTCTTTTTTCCAAAGTAGTTAGTTTCAGTTTTGCTAATCTCTCTTCGTATGGTAGATGTTGAATACTTGAGTTTTGTGGCTCTTGCTCGAACTTTTTTCAACTTCTTTTTGACTTTTTCCAGGTAGGGACACCATGCCTGAATGGCGTAATCTAGGTGGGGTCTGACGAGTGATTTGTACAGTTTTAAGATCACTTCCTTACTCCTGAATGTAAAGTTGCATTTGATCATTCCTAGTGTCCTATTTCCTTTATTTGCTGCTGCAGCACACTGAGAGGCAACTTTCAGGGACTTGTGTACTAGAACCCCTCGATCTTTTTCTTCTGTACTTTCTTTCAGCTTGGAGTTGCCCATTGTGTATGTGTAGTGTGGGTTGTGGGTTCCAAAATGCATGACTCCACATTTGTCGGCATTGTTTATCATCTGCCATGTATTTGCCCATCTGTGAAGGTGGTTGATGGAGTTTTGCATTTCTATTCTATCATTGTCTATTTGCATTGGATGGATTAGCTTGGTGTCATCAGCAAATTTTTTAACTGTTGATTTGTCGGTTAACCCAAGTTCGAGGTCATTCATATATATCAGAAAGCACAGTGGTCCCAGGACTGATCTGTGTACTACAGAGCTGGTAGCATGTCTCCAGCAAGATTTGGCTCCCTGGGTAACAACTTTCTGCTTGCGACTGTTGTGCCAGGCTGTTATCCACTGCAATATGTTACCATCTATTCCATGGGTATTGATCTTTTTTTTTTACTTGTCTCTTGTGTGGGACGGTATCGGAGGCCTTTGTTAGGTCATGGTATACTACAACTTTTTGTGTATAACTGTCTACTGACTTGGTGATGATTTTCAGGTACTCTAAGCAAGTTGGTAGTTGTAGATTTCCCTTTCCTAAAACTATGCTGGGTATCCTGTATCAGACAGTGTATATTTACGTGGTCATTTATTTTGTCTTTGATAATGCTCTCTAGTACTTTACAGCTGACTGATGTTAGGATGATCGGTCGGTAGTTCTCCGGTTTGGATCTTGCTCCTTTCTTGAACATTGGAGTTATATGGGCTGACCTCCATTCCTCTGGTACATGTTCTTTAGTGATTTTCTTAGTTCTTCAGCCAGGTTTTTTTTAGAAAGGCTGTTGGTATATCGTCTGGACCCGCTCCTTTGGATGGGTCGAGGTCTTCAAGCTTCTTTTTCACACAATCTTCAGTGATTTCTATCTCAGCAATGATCTCTTCAATAGTTCCTTTGAACACATTCTGGGGAACATTTACGTCCTCTTCAGTAAAGACTGCTGCAAAGTATTCGTTTAAGATATTTGCCGTTTGTTGGCCAGATGGGACCTACTCTCCAGTTTCTCTTTAAAGAGGTCCTACATTGTATCTGACCTTTTGTTTTGATCGAACATATGCATAGAGGCTCTTCGAATCTTCATTAATGTTTTGAGCTAGTTTCTTCTCGAAGTCACGTTTTGCCGTCTTTATTTCATGTTTGGCGTCCCTCTGGCATTTCTTGTAGTCCTCTAAGTTCTTGGTTGTCTTATCTGATTTGTACCTTTTCCAAGCTCGATGCTTTCGACGGATACTTTTCTGTGTTCCTTTTTGTGAGCCAGATAGCTTTCTTCTTTCTAGATTGCCGTTTAAATGGTACATAATTAACTGCTTCAGCTTTATTTCAATTGTGTTCCACGTTTTATCTAGTTTTCAAGTTCCTTTGCCCAATCTATTTTTTAAGTTGTGTTCTGATTTGATTAAAAGTCAGCATTTTTGTAGTCTCTCTTAGGTTGATGTACACATGGTTGGACATATAGTAGTTAGTTTCCCAACTTAACATATTATGATCACTGGTTCCAAGATGTGCGAGGACCACCACTTCATCGATCGTGTCAGGATTAGATGTGATGACAAGATCCAAAATTGAATCAAGCCTTGTAGGTTGAGTCACATGCTGACACCATAGATTGTCCTATATGACTTCGAGAAATGCACCTGATTTGCTTGAAGCACTTTGCATGTTTCCCAATCAACGTCTCTGTATTTGAAGTCGCCGACAGTCATTATATCTTTACGTTCATCATTTAAATGTGTCAAAACTCGATTCAGGCGGTCATTTTGATCATTTTAATTGTTTGGGCTCCTATACACTATGCCCAAAAGTAAGTCAAGGGCTGCATCCTTACTTGAAGTTTGTTATACTGGGTTTGAAGCAGCAACTCGCCAAGTTGGTAACCCCCAATCTGAATATTGGTTCGTCATCACTTACTCCAGTGAAGAAAGTTCAAAATCTTGGAGTTATTTTTGGTTTACTCCAATGTGACCATGGAGTCGCAAGTATCATCAAGTGTTAAACTTGCGACCAACAGTCTCCGCGATCCCCGTGCTATTCGCAAGTATCTCACCATAAAGGCGGCTGAGCAGCTTGTCCATGCATTTGTAACATCCCGCATCGATTGTTGTAACTCTTTTCAGGTTGATAATTTCATCTGTCATTCCTTTGGCATATTTCTTGCAAATACTACAATGCCATGGGATACCTTGGGTACCTTGCATTCCAAATCTTGTCACGATGTCGAATAGCTCATCTGAGAGGCCCCCGCATTTCTGATAATATAATGTTTACATACATCACAAATTGCAGCTTGCACATAGCCTACTTTTGACACAACCGTAATATCTTGGTCACATTTACCACTAATGGTTTGATGTTTTTCCTCGTAATCATGGGCGGATTCTGCTAGTGGAGCAAGGCCATTTACTTACATGTATGGGTATTAAAACTTCAGTGTTCAGTGCAAAGTCTAGGTTTAATTCTGTGGTACTCACTCAGCAAAATGTAGACTAGTCCTTGAGGCTTGAACCATACTAATAATAATAGCTAGTTCTTATATAGCGCTTTTCAGGACCGAAGGCCCTCTCAAAGCTCTTTATATTTACAGATATATATATATTATTACACGGTCATAGGAATCAGGCTTACCCGCACACAATGCATGCACATTCTCCACTCCCTGGGGAGCATTCCAGCCAGGCGTCATTTTTACAAGCGCACACTTGCTCATCTAACCACATTAGCTTTCGCATCCTACCGCGTACCCATTTAACACCTGGATTTAGAGTGGCAACTGTGGATCAATGTCTTGCCAAAGGACATTAGTGCCGCGGTGGGACTTGAACCGGAACCTTGTGATCTAAAGTCCGGTGACATATCCATTCGTCCACGACACTATGCCCTCAGCATGTCTATCAGCTATGGCTGATCAATAAATTAAAATTTACAAATTGTAATTTTGTAATTGTATACTTATCCAAGATGGCCTCCAAGTCAGAGCTGTTTCAAGTAGCTAACATGAAATGTGCTGCATGGGACTTTACTGAAAGTGTACATGTAGACTAGAGGTGCAAACAGTATCCATCAAAATCTTGGTTATCCTTTGCACACAAAAATCATCAAATATGTATCCTCCTGATCCTTCACTCCTTGCTTGTATCCACAATGTAGAATTCCACATTGATTTTTTTTCAAAATCTTTGGTGCAAAATCTGAATTTTGTTTGGGAGATCCCAAAAGCACAGCCCCACACCCTACCACATCTATCTTGGCTGTCTTGAAGTTAACTCTCTGGGGTGATTATAATCACAAGATAATGGGGTCAGTGTCTATGAATAATGGGGTAGGCCTACCGTCTAGTGATAATGGAGTTCTGTTTTAGATCATGAAAGTGGGGGAAGGTAAATGACTGGAAGGAAGACAGGTACATGTACTACGTAACAGTATATACTGATTAAGAACATATTATAGAGGGATACTTGTCTTCTTACCCACGGAATCTGCTTTGTTCTTTTCAATGAGTTTCAATGTCATTATCACAGCGGATTAATATCCTATCGTCCTTCGTTAAAGACTCCTGATTTTGTCATATGACGGCCATGTTTTTCACGTTGTTATGCTGTCTTGTGTTTTGTACAGAAAATATCATCTTTTCGCGGTAAAATCAGATATGGATAATAAAGAGTAACTTTCTCGGGAGAGGCTACCATATTTGTCAGTGCAAGTTGACGAAGCTTCAATACCAATCTCCAGTTGACGAACTTATCGTTATTATATGTCACTTGTTTTTATTTTATTTTATTTTTCTTTTTCTTTCTTGTCTTTAATCTTTTTTGAAACAGATAATTTAGCTACATATCTGCAGAAAGGCGAATCACATTTCATCAACATACCGCTCACCCGCACTAGCCGATGGTTCAATGCAAGCTTGGTACAAACAAGTACTATGTATGGTTTTCGAATCGCGTTTCAATATATGGATCTAAGCTATGATGATGAAGTCCAAATAGGGACAGGTAATGATCCGTCTGATATACAATCTGTCACCACAACTATCCATGGAGCCATAGACTACGCTCCTGATGATGTCTATGTAGGTACCAATGAGATGTGGTTTGCTGTCATAGGAGGAAAGAGTTACTCCAGGCTTCAGGTGGAAGCTGAGATCATTCCCTTTGACTTATCAAGTGAGTGTTGGATAAATGTTCTTTTAAAATATCGATGGAATATAACGCTCCGTTCGTTGAAGCAGTAATATTCAACACAAGTCGATTGATGAACGTGAACCATGTTCCCATTTTTACCAGAAATAATAGTATTAATAAGATTAATTCTTAACGCGCCTAATTACTAAAATTAATCTAAGAAAACCTCTTGTAATTATGCAACATGAAGATGATATACCGCCCCGTCCTGTTTGTTTACAGACCGGACCTCATTTCAGCCGGGTCCGGGAATCGTCTTGAACTTGAAACAGGAGATTGAGTTATGTGATTTCGTGCATGCGCAGGCCGATATTTCGCTCGGCTTACCCTTCTTTTAACTTCCGTGGGCTTAGCGTCCTCTTTTCCTTTCGTCTTGTTCTCGAAAGCTTCCGAATGCATAGAGCCCACACGTTCATTCCCTTCTTATCAATATTGATGGGGGGTTGTTTGTCCGGACGCTTAACAAAAATAAAGCCCTCACTTTTGCCTTAGTATTTAACGAAATGTATGCATCAATATCGTCTTTCGTCTTTCATCGTCTTTTAATTTTCTTTCATAATATTGGCTAAAATATGTTACACATTTTTAATAAAATATTGCACGTGTAGGTATTCGAGGTATGAATTCCAAACAATAAATATTAAGAATATAAGCTCACCAAATAAAAACTCCTCCTCTGCGAAACACATGCGATGAAACTTGTTACAATGTGTAATGATATCCAAATGAATTAAATCGATATGACAAGTCCTCTTGATGATAAGTGCAGCTGAATAAACCTAATGTAGTATACAGTTGCATGTAACTAGCAGAAATTGTCTTGCTTCCCAGAGTCAAGTCCTTCTACTAAGATGATGCACAAGGAAAACAAATCTACTTACTTGTGTCATGACCCCCCCGCAAAAATCTACCTCTGGAAAAATGCAAACATGGATGAAATCAGAGAGGAGCTGGAAAGCTTTGCAGAGACACACCTATCTCAGATGTCACTAGAGACTCCAGTTGAAACCCAGTGGTCACAGATAAAAAGCAAGATCCTATCTGTTGTTGAGAACCAAGTCCCATCTAAGATGACGACATGTATATTTAGCCAACCCTGGATTACGGCTAACTTGAAACGACTCTCGAGGAAGAAGAAAAGGGCGTTTAGAAGATCAAGATCAGCTGTTGACAACAGCCAGCCTGACGTTACACGGTACAAAGAAGTGAAGAAAACCATGCAAAGGGAATGCCGCAAAGCCTACCAGACATACATCTCAGATCTGATCTGTGGTGAGGGGCCTAGTGGTGGTTAACGATTCTGGACGTACATCAAGAACAAGCGATGTGATAACACTGGAGTACCCCTCCTTCTGAAAGATGGGATTCTCCACTGTGACAGCCAACCAAAGGCAGTTCTCCTTAATGATCAGTTTTCATCTGTTTTTACCAAAGAAGATCTGAACAGTGTTCCTGATCTAGAGGCTAGAGTCTGAAGACCGGTGTTTGGAAACTGCTGTCAAAGATCATCCCACACAAAGCATCAGGACCTGACAACCTTCCTGCACGCCTCCTCAAAGAGTGTTCGACAGAACTTGCGCCTGTCCTTTCACTGCTGTACCAGTCAACACTACATCAGGGCTGAATCCCTATTCCCTACCGACTGAAATTCAGCTTCTGTAACACCAATCTACAAGAAAGGTAACAGACATGAAGCTTGTAACTACCGACCCGTTTCCCTAACTTCTCTAAACTGTAAGGCCCGTATTCTGAAGTCAGGTTTAACTTTAAACCTAGGTTTAAGTCTAGTCTAAGCCTCGCCTAACTCTCAGATTTAAACCTAGGTTTAATTTTGCGTTTCTGAAGTCAGGTTTAACTTAAACCTAGGTTTAAGCCTGGTCTAACTCTGTGGAAATTGTACACATATTTAAACCTGGGGTACACCTAGTTTAAGTCTGGCTTAAGTCAGGTCTAACTATTTGTTGGAAATTCAGAGGAGAAGAAGACACCATTAAAAGGCATTACGACGAATTATTGCAAATAATGAGACCGGAGAGACCTCTTGTGGAAAGAAAAGAACCTTTCATAATCATTGCGACGATGATTTTTTTTGCATCGCTGTTGTTTTTTAAATACCAAACAAACAGCGATTTGCACTGACTCCAACAGTACAAGGCGACACACACATCGCTTGCGGATGAAAGTGGGCTTTGTGATTTAATGCCTTCGGCAAGTTTGAACATTAATTTGGATACTTCATTTGCTTATTGAATCTTTATGCCTAATATTTTCTAAGTCTTAAGATTTTATATTTTATATAAGATAGTGTGATTTGTATAGTACGACAATACTTGAAACTAAAAAATTGCCAAAGTAAATCGACAACACGTATCACTTTGTTGCAGAGGAAAACAAATATAGATCTAGTAGCCCCATACCTTTAGTTTGACGTTATGCTCACGTAGTTTTGAAACTGTGAGTGCAATGCACATTTTTGAATTGCGTCCCAACGATGTAAACAAATGCGAGTTAAAATAAAACTGTAGACCTAGGCCTAAGGTTGAATTAGAGTTAAGAGTAAATTAATGAAGAGCAAAATCTATATTAATAAGACAATCATGGATTAGCATAATTAAGAGCCAACGAGTGTGTTAAGCCGGAACTCTAGACCTAGTAGAGTTTTGGGTAGAATCTAATCCTACAATTTCTGCCCTAGATCTAGTCTAGACTCTAGACCGATTAGGCGCGCCTAGTCTATTATTAATATTATGATGTCAAAACATCCATAACATCCTAAAGATGCCCCGAAAGATGCACTAGAGGTCTAGATCTAGATCTAGATATCTAGAGATCTAGACCTAAATAAGATTAAAATGACTTAAAGAGAAATGATCACAAATACCTTCTTGATGCAGAATAACTAGTCCAAAGTCAACATTGAAGCTCATATAATATGGTCGAATTTCAAGCGTTTTTTTTAGGACAAACGACAATGCAATATTTCTAAACTGTGTGTACTTGAACGAATGAATGCGCGCACGATCGATGATATGCGCGCACGGTGCAGAAGGAGATCATGATACCCGAGGTATCCGATACCCGACACGTCGGTTCGAAAAAGGATTCCATTGTCCTAAATGATAGAGGTGTTGTGGACGAGTGGATAAGTCACCGGACTGTGGATCACAAGGTCCGTGGTTCAAGTCCTGCCGCAGCACTAATGTCCTTTGGCAAGACATTGATCTACATTTGCCACTCTCCACCCAGGTGTTAAATGGGTACCCGGTAGGATGCGAAAGCTAATGTGGTTAGATTAGCAAGTGTGCGCTTGTAAAAATGACGCCTGGCTGGAATGCTCCCCAGGGAGTGGAGAACGTGCATACAATGTGTGCGGGTAAGCCTGAATCCAATGACCGGGGTAATAATATACTTATCTGTAAAGCGCTTTGAGAGGGCCTCCGGTCCTGAAAAGCGCTATATAAGAACGAGCTATTATTATTATTATTAAAAAAAAACTAAAAATCAAACAAATGAGCTTCTGCAATGTTGACTTTGGACTAGTTATTTTGCATCAAGAAGGTATTTTTGATCATTTTTAGTTTCTCTTTTAGTCATTTAAATCTTATTTAGAGCATTTTTATGATGTTCTGGAAGTTTTGACCAATCTGGGCATACAGAAATTGTAGAATCCTGATTTTTGTATTATTTATTTATTCGTAAAGAACAATTCCACCTCGATTCAGACTTTTTCAGCAGTTTAACAATAAATCAAAGGGTAAAACAAAACAAAAAAATCAGGTCATAACGTTCAATGGTTGCTTCGAAAGAGATTTGTTTGTGTCGAATATTTTAAATTGAAGTTATTAAATTTGCAGCACGAAATCCAGCTATAAAAAAGCCTATATCAGCTACCCTTGAAGATGGATGAGCTGTACTGAGCATGTGCAGTAGAAGCAGACTACATCTCCATGGTAGTTAAACATTGGCTTAACTTTAAACCTGGGTTTTAGACTTAAACCTGGGTTTAACTAAACCTGGCTTTCAGAAACTGAAATGATACTTAGACCTGAAGTCTGGCTTAGTTAAACCCGGGTTTAAAGTTAAACCTAGGTTTAACTAAACCTGACTTCAGAATACGGGCCTAAGACTTTGGAGCACATCATAAAATTCTCAGAGATCATGAACCACCTGGAATCTAACGGCATTCTATCCGAAAAGCAGCATGGATTCCGTAAACACCATTCATGTGAATCCCAGCTGCTGTTAACTATCAATGACCTTGGCAAAGGACTGGACAATAAGCAGCAGATCGATGCAGTGCTGTTAGATTTTTCAAAGGCACTTGAAAAAGTACCACATGAAAGACTCCTGAGCAAACTAGCCTATTATGGTGTCCAGGGTAACCTCCTCTGTTGAGTCTTTAGATCGTGTACAACAGGTTATACTGGATGGAACAAGTTCTATTCCGGCAGGTGTGACCTCGGGCGTATCACAAGGGATTGTCCTGGCCCCCTTCTCTTCTTTGCTTACATCAATGATCTGCCAGACTGTGTCCGTTCAGAAGCTCGGATGTTTACAGATGATTGTCTACTATACCGACACATTAACTCACAAGCCGACGCAGACACACTCCAAGAAGATCTTAACCACCTGCCAGACTGGGAAACCAAGTGGCATGTGTCTTTTAACCCAAGCAAGTGTGAAGTCCTCAGAGTGACCAACAAGGTGAAAAATGTCATCCGTTCACCTTACTTACTCCATGGAGTTGAGCTTCCAACTGTAGACAATGCCAAATACCTTGGAGTACACATCAACTGCAAGCTAAGCTGGAAGACACATGTAGACAACACATGCAAGCAGGCCAACAGCACACAAGGGCTCCTTCAGAGAAATCTGCATGGCTGCCCCAAGAAAATTAAGGAACAAGCCTTCATGACACATGTACGCCCCATCCTTGACTATGCCTCAACAGCTTGGGACCCTCACTGCCAAGACCAAATTCGAAAACTCGAAATGGTTCAGAGGCGAGTTGCTCGGTTCACTCTAGGAGACCATCACCCAAGACACAGTGTTTATACCGAAATGCTCCACCTTCTAAAATGGCAGTCTCTCTCCGAAAGAAGAGCTCATCTGAAAGTTACCATGCTATATCGTATCTTGCATGGATTAATTGCCATTCCTCCTGAACCACCCTACATCCCAGTATTACGATCATCTGGAAGACGACAAGCTCAATACCGACATCAACTCTGCAGGACCTCTGGGTATCAAAACTCCTTCTTCCCCAGTGCCATCTGCTTATGGAACCAGCTCCCTACCACTGTGACAGCAGCTTCTTCTCTGGAACAGTACAAGGGGCAGCTGATTGGGGTGACTCTGCGTCAAAACTAGCTGGAGGAGGAGTTATTTTTACTTGCACAATGAACACTTTTTAGTTTTTACTACTAAATTCTAAAACCGTTTGGGACCTCTTTTTTGGAGGCTCACACAATGCAGCATGGCACACTCGTTCACATCACTACACAACACTACGAAAATACTCTACCGAGGACTGTACTTGCACGGGAAGAAGAAGAAGAAGAAGAAGGAAAGAGAGAGAGAGAGAGAGAGAGAGAGAAAGAAGGGAAAGGGAAGGGAAAGAGGAGAGAAAGGGAAAGAAAGAAGTGGAAGAAGAAAAGAAAAGGGGGAAAGAAGGAGATCGGGGAAGTGGGGCCGAAAGGGCCTTGCCTCCCAATTTGTTGCCTCCCCCCCTCCCCCTCCCCCATCACAAAAATAAGAGAGAAGGAAGCAAAGGGAAAGAAAAAAGAAAAGGAGGAGATAAAGGGAAGGAAATAAGAGGAAGAAGAAAAGAAAAGAAGGGGGTGTAAAGGTGGTCTTTGCCCCCCCCCCCCCCGCCCCTGCCAAAAAAGAGAAGGAAGGGAAAGGGAATGAGAAGCTGAACCAAAAAAAAAGGAAGAAGAAAAGAAAAGGGTGAAAAGAAGGGAGATCAGTTAGGAATAATCCGGCCAACAACGTGTGGATTGGGGGGGGGGGGCGAAAGGCGCTTGCCTCCCCTCCCAGCAAACTTAAAAGAGAGAGAAGGAAGGGAAGGGAAAGGGAAAGAGAAGGGAAAGCGAAAGAAGTAAGGTTGGGGAAATCATTCGAGATTTTCCCGCCAACAAGGTGTAATATTTTTTTTTTTTTTTTTTTTTGGGGGGGGGGGGGGGGTGGGCATTTGCCCCTCCCCCAATGAAATTCGATACCGGTGATTTACAAATGTTGCTGAAATTACGTCATTTTCCGAGATTTTTCCTCCAGTTTTTAGTAAATTATACTTTTTTATGTGTTTGTTGGAAAATGACAAATTCCAAAAATTCACAGTCAGGCAAGAAATATGCTTGTTTAGAGGCCTACATGTCAGGGCCAGCGTAATGGCGGGGCTCGGTGGCCTCGAGCCCCCCCCCCCCACACACACACACTTTTTTGGAAAAAAAACTTTTTAAAGGGAAAGAGAAACAAAGAAAAAAAGAATAGTGACCTGATAGTGTCACAAAATAATGAGGAATCAAAATATGCCTAAAACCCTTGACCTTCCATGGGCGCTGTCCCCTGGATTCCACATAGGGCCCTAAGGCGGGCCACTGGATGCTGATTTGACGGTAATTTAATGCCTACAACCCCTAAGCTTCTCGGGGCTCCGCGCCCTGGACCCCAAGCAAATTAGTGTCCTGCCAGTGTTACAAATAAGGTATTAAAAAATTGCTCATCTGACATAATTTCAAATTTGCCCCCCCCCCAAGAAATCCTGGATCCGCTCCTGGTTGCCATGACACAACAACATCTACTAGGGTACAGTAGATAGATAGAATTTTTTATTGATCCATATTCAAAACATAGAAAATTGGCCTCCACTGGCAGCACGTAAGCAAAATGCAACGTAGTTACAAGATAATTGATAAACACTTAGGTGTATACGTCACATAATGTACAAATTCACACGAGAGTCATGACTTAAAAAGTTACGTAATAATAGGGAAAACCTAAGAAAGGAGTCGACATTTAAAGATTGAGAAGAGAGAAAGAGGTCGAAAGGAGACCAGATTGAAGAGCGAAATAGTAAGAAGAGAGAGAGGGGGAGAGAGAGAAATGGAGGGGAGAGATTTAGAGAGAGAGAGAGAGAGAAAGGGGGTGGGAGAAAGAACAATACTGGACACGGTGGAGGAGGGAAAGGAGAGGGGAGGATATAAATAGAGGGAGGGGGATAGAAAAAGGAAAAGGAAGGGGGACAAATTGTAAGCGACACATATAGATAAATTGTTTACTGTGTATTTAAAAAGTAATATTATAGTTATTGTTTTGTTACTTTGTTTAATTGAACTCAAGATCAATCCAAAAATCAAAAATTCGTGCATATATTATTGAGTGCTTTTCATTTTTCTTATAAAGTTGTTCTTAAACCACCGTGTATAATTCTGCTGCAATAACATAATTTAGCTCAACTTTAATTTAAAATGTAATGTGGAAACTCAACCGTTATAAGACTTTGTGTATGCTCTTAGGCATTATACATCACCTTATATGAAATGCTTTTATGATATATATTTAATGTAATAATTCCATTCAACATAATTTGACCTTACCTGTCACACAACTGACACACCTGCATGTATACTTTTTCAGTCTATCGATCTCATTTTAACAATTGCAATATAACAATTTCCCCCCCTCTCTCTCTCTCTATACATATATGTATATATTTTTGTTTTAATAATTTGTTGGTATTTAAAGATTATTTTTACTTACAATAATTGGTTCAATATTTCAAGTAACTGTTATAGGTTGTTCATCCATCTATTATCAATTATTTATATATGTATATAACTTTAGGTATGAACAATAATGTTAACTTTATCTTTTATCATTTTTATTGTACATTTATATGATCATTCCTGTTTTATGCACATTTTATGTAAACATTGCATTATTGGTCCCTGGACTACAGCATTGTACATTGTATATGTTGATATTAATAAACCGAAATTGAATTAAATTGAATTGAATAGACCAGTTTCGCAACGTGTCCACGTCGGATGCGCAGGTCCCCGCGAAGCGCCCTGACACGGCTGACTCCACCCACCCGCCAGGAACAATCGTATCCCAACAGGCAGAATGCGAATTGTAGCCGCTACCAGGCTGGCAATACATTAGAGCTCGCCCAACCTAGCAACAACCAATGCACGCAACTCACACCCCGCCCACCGAAACACAACCACTCCCAACAGGCGAATGGAGCCTCCCGCATCCAGGCACCCCGACAAAGACCCACGCACCCAACCCAAACACCCTACTGAAACCGGTCCATTAGGCCTAACAAAAAAACATCATTTTGTTGTCCTCGATCGCTTTTCTGGAGTAGGGGCGGGCGGGCGGATTTTTTTTTTTCTTTTTTTTCTTCTCCATTTAAAAAAAATAAATAAATAAATTTGTTTTCCATTCAAAAAAATAAATCATTAGGATGTTGAGCATTTAAACAAACAAATTCTATAAAACACTTTAATATAGTAAAAGTCTAGTTTAATGTACAATGAATATCAAGACCAACACAGAAAGTATTTTTGGTTTTGAAAAACAGCACCTTTTAAATCTCCATTGTACTACTTATAGCTACTTGCGCCCTCTATGTAGCAAACAATGCCTAATCGGTGACCATTGGTCCCCCATGATCCTTTTTATCTTATATTAACTGAGAGCTGATTGGATGAGAGAACCACCTGTCCAGTCACCTTGCACGGTGGTCTAATCCCTCCTATAAACTAGCACAGATGGGCTTTAAAATGAGTTTAAGAATGCTCAGAACCTGATTTGAATGAAAAGCATTTTGACATAGAAATAGAAAAATAGCAAGTTTAATAAATACCTAATTGCATACTGAAAAGTCCAAACTGGCAACGTCCCGCATTTTGATTCTTGCAAATGCATGAAATGGTATTGCTCCCCCCCCCCAAAAAAAAAAAAAAATAATAATAATAATAATAATAAAAAAAAAAAATAATAATAAATAAATTTAAAAAAAAAAATTAAAAAAAAATAAAATAAAATACAAATTTAAAAAAAAATGGAGAAAAAAAATGAAGACAAAAAATGGGGAAAAAAATACGAGCGGCCCGAAAATGACGAGCGGGCGGTCGAGGAGAACCAAAAAATTTTTTTTTGTGGGGGGGGGGGCCTTATGTGGCACATTTAAACAAAAACGGCTTTATAAATACTAATTATGCGTAACAGAGCAGAGACAAGATTAAGCAGGAGGTCAATTGGCAGGTGTTAGAATTACATGGAAAATATATAACTGGCTGGCAAAGGGACTGTTAAAGGGTCGATTCGTCACCAATAGGGTCATCGTGTATCGTCTAACATTAGCATTAAACATATGAATAACATTCGGCACAAAGGATTTTCTGTAACGACAGCGGTTGCTCTTGGGTACGCGTAGGCGAATACCTGAACGATTAAATCAAAAGAAATGATGTAATGGATGTGATGAGTCATTCATTATTGTATGAACTTTAAGTAACCATGGACCTATTACGGATGGACATTAGACGTGATTCTTTAGTTTGATCCAATGATAGTCACCGCCTTCTGATAATGTGCATCTTAATTAGAACATTCAGCAGAGTTGTAACTTACAACCGCTTCCCTCGAAAAAAGAGACATATACAGATTGGGATAAACCTACCTACTTTTTTGATTTGTCAATCTTTGATATAAAATTCTTAAATTGTCTGTCCATCACCTAATATTACTTTGATATTTCGCTCATTCATATATGTCCACGTGTACGGTAAAGATTCGTCGTGAATTTAAGGATATTTTCTCTACTCTGTGCAGTTGACTGTTCTGGTAGCAACCCATGTCAGAACGGAGGTACCTGTGAGGACAATGCATGTACATGTGTCGCGGGTTTTAATGGAGTTGTTTGTAGTACAGGTATGACAATTAATTGTCACATACACTGTCGCTCATAACGTTGGAATATTTGTTATACTCAATTTATGGAATTATTTTCACAATGATTTATTCCTAATAGATCTAGATTATAGGATACATTCTCAGGAATGGAACGGAATGTAGAGCCATTTTATTGCTTTGAAACGATTTCCATTCGCTTAAAATGTAATTAAATTGTAATAATATAGTTGGGAGAATTAAGGAATCGATCAGTTTTTCTCAATTTGTACCATGAATAATGGTCCGTTTTCACTCAAATTTTTAGATTATCTTTAATTGTACATCTAGCATTGGAGTCACTACCTTAGCACCACTATCTCTTATCTAAACAAATATTACCAAGTCCCTTTAAGGGCGTACGTTCCCTAGTTGATAAGCGTATTAGCATACACATGCTTTAGTAGTCACGCAAAACAAACACTGGCAATTTATTATTCAATAAAATCTAAGAATGTAAACTATTATCTAGATCTATAAGGAATAGATCATGGTCTAAATAATTTCATAAATTGGGGTTTAAAAAAATATTCCAACGTTGTGAGCGATAGTGTATTTTAAGTGCTATTGGGATTCATCGTATACGTCAAATATTATATTGGTTAAAAGGAAGTTAATAGTTAATTAATGATAACAAGATTAATACCATGATCCCGTCATATCACGCCTCGAATCTTTCTGTCTATTTTTAACATCAACATTTTAACATTCAACCGCCCCCCCCCCCCGAAAAAAGAGTGATAAAAAGACAAGAGGGGAAACCTTACGTACTTTGTAATCTGACATTATTTAATACTTCATTAGTAATTGTAATTGTAATTATTTTGATATTTTATTCTTGTCATTAATGTAATTCCAAGTGAACGGTGAGTGTAAAAGATTCATCATAAATTTGAATATATTTTCTCTATTCTCTGTAGTTGACTGTTCTGGGAGCAACCCATGTCGGAACGGAGGTACCTGTAAGAACAATGCATGTAAATGTGCTGCAAGATTTAATGGAGCTTTGTGTGGTACAGGTATGGACATTTATTGTAAAATTATGTTAAGTGCTATCGGAATTCATCGTTTACGTCAAATGTTGTTTTGGTTTTAAAGACATTTATGGTTACTCAATAATAACAAGATTCATGCCATGATACCGTCATATCGTGCCTCGAAACTTTTTATCTATTTCTACATCAACATTATAACATTCAACCTTCCTCCGCACCCCCCCCCCCGAAAAAAGAGTGGCATAAAGATGGGGGAATCATACGTACTTTGTAATTTAAAATTCTTTAATACAGCACTCTTTAAATTTGTGTTCATCACTCTATATTATTTTGATAGTTTATTATTGGCCGTAATGTATGTCCACGTAAACGGTGAATGTTTGGATTCGTCATGAATTTATAGATATTTTCTCTATTTTTTGTAGTTGCCTGTTCTAGGTGGGAACCATGTCGGAACGGAGGTACCTGTGAGAACAATGCATGTACATGTGCTGCGGGATTTGATGGAGATTTGTGTAGTACAGGTATGGACATTTATTGTCACATATGCCATTGCTTTCGGGAGTCATCGTATACGTCAAATATTTCTTTTGGTTTGAAGGAAATTAATTTTTTTAAATGATAACAAGAGTTATGCCATGATATCATCTAATCGGCCATTTACCTTTTTATTTATTTGACATAAACACTATAACATTCAACCCCGCCCCCTTTCCCCTCCTCCCGAAAAAAAGAGTATTATAAAGAAGTTGGGAATTCTACGTACCATGTAATTTGACATTCTTTAATACATCATTCTTAAAATTTGTGTTCATCACCCAATATTATTTATACATATTATTGTTGGGTTTACTGTATATCCATGTGAACGGTTGAGTGCTAAGATTCATAAGGGACTTGGTTTAAAGGAAATTAATTGTTAATCAATGATAACAAGATTCATGCCATGATATCGAAATATCGCGCCTTGAACCTTTTTTATTTTTTCGACATCAACATAATAACATTCACCCTTCCCCTCCTTCCCCCAAAAGAGTGGTATAAAAACGGGGGGGGGGGCATCCTACGTACCATGTCATTTGAAATTCTTCGATACATCATTTTTAAAATTTGTGTTCATCACCCAATATTATTTTGATATTTTATCCTCGCCATTCACGTTTTAGCACGTGAAGGGTGAGTGTTAAGATTCGTCATGAATTTAAAGATATTTTCTCTATTCTGTGTAGTTGACTGTTCTGGGAGCAACCCATGTCGGAACGGAGGTACCTGTGAGAACAATGCATGTACATGTGCTGCGGGATTCGATGGCGCTTTGTGTGGTACAGGTATGGACATTTATTGTAACATACACTGTTGCTCAAAGTTAGATTTTTGTTTACCCCAATTTATGGAATTATTTTGACAATGATTTATTCCTAATAGATCTAGATAATAGTATACATTCTCAGGAATGGAATGGAATTTAGAGCCATTTTATTGCTTTGAAACGATTTCCATTCACTTAAAATGTAATTAAATTGTAATAATATAGTTGGGAGAATTAAGGAATCGATCAGTTTTTCTCAATTTGTACCATGAATAATGGTCCGTTTTCACTCAAATTTTCAGATTATCTTTAATTGTACATCTAGCATTGGAGTCACTACCTTAGCACCACTATCTCTTATCTAAAAAAATATTACCAAGTCCCTTTAAGGGCTCACGTTCCCTAGTTGATAAGCATATTAGCATACACATGCTTTAGTAATCACGAAAAACAAACAGTGGCAATTTATTATTCAATAAAATCTGAGAAAGTAAACTATTATCTAGATCTATTAGGAATAGATCATAGTCAAAATAATTTCATAAATTGGGGTTTAAAAAAATATTCCAACGTTGTGAGCGATAGTGTATTTTATGTGCTATCGGGATTCGTCGTATACGTCAAATATTATTTTGGTTAAAAGGAAGTTAATAGTTAATTAATGATAACAAGATTAATACCATGATCCCGTCATATCACGTCTCGAATCTTTCTGTCTATTTTTAACATCAACATTTTAACATTCAACCGCCCCCCTCCGAAAAAAGAGTGATAAAAAGATAAGAGGGGAAACCTTACGTACTTTGTAATCTGACATTATTTAATGCTTCATTAGTAATTGTAATTGTAATTATTTTGATATTTTATTCTTGTCATTAATGTAATTCCAAGTGAACGGTGAGTGTAAAGGTTCATCATAAATTTGAATATACTTTCTCTATTCTGTGTAGTTGACTGTTCTGGGAGCAACCCATGTCGGAACGGAGGTACCTGTAAGAACAATGCATGTAAATGTCCTGCAAGATTTAATGGAGCTTTGTGTAGTACAGGTATGGACATTTATTGTAAAATTATGTTAAGTGCTATCGGAATTCATCGTATACGTCAAATGTTGTTTGGGTTTTAAAGAAATTTATGGTTGCTCAATAATAACAAGATTAATGCCATGATACGGTCATATCGTGCCTCGAAACTTTTTATCTATTTCTACATCAACATTATAACATTCAACCTTCCTCCGCCCCCCCCCCCCCGAAAAAAGAGTGGCATAAAGACGGGGGAATCATACGTACTTTGTAATTTAAAATTCTTTAATACAGCACTCTTTAAATTTGTGTTCATCACTCTATATTATTTTGATAGTTTATTATTGGCCGTAATGTATGTCCACGTAAACGGTGAATGTTTAGATTCGTCATGAATTTATAGATATTTTCTCTATTTTTTTGTAGTTGCCTGTTCTAGGAGACACCCATGTCGGAACGGAGGTACCTGTGAGAACAATGCATGTACATGTGCTGCGGGATTTGATGGAGCTTTGTGTGGTACAGGTATGGACATTTATTGTAACATACACTGTTGCTCATAAAGTTAGATTTTTGTTTACCCCAATTTATGGAATTATTTTGACAATGATTTATTCCTAATAGATCTAGATAATAGTATACATTCTCAGGAATGGAATGGAATGTAGAGCCATTTTATTGCTTTGAAACGATTTCCATTCACTTAAAATGTAATTAAATTGTAATAATATAGTTGGGAGAATTAAGGAATCGATCAGTTTTTCTCAATTTGTACCATGAATAATGATCCGTTTTCACTCAAATTTTCAGATTATCTTTAATTGTACATCTTGCATTGGAGTCACTACCTTAGCACCACTATCTCTTATCTAAAAAAATATTATCAAGTCCCTTTAAGGGCGTACGTTCCCTAGTTGATAAGCATGTTAGCATACACATGCTTTAGTAGTCACGCAAAACAAACACTGGCAATTTATTATTCAATAAAATCTGAGAATGTAAACTATTATCTAGATCTATAAGGAATAGATCATAGTCAAAATAATTTCATAAATTGGGGTTTAAAAAAATATTCCAACGTTGTGAGCGATAGTGTATTTTACGTGCTATCGGGATTCATCGTATACGTCAAATATTATATTGGTTAAAAGGAAGTTAATAGTTAATTAATGATAACAAGATTAATACCATGGTCCCGTCATATCACGCCTCGAATCTTTCTGTCTATTTTTAACATCAACATTTTAACATTCAACCGCCCCCCCCCCCCCGAAAAAAGAGTGATAAAAAGACAAGAGGGGAAACCTTACGTACTTTGTAATCTGGCATTATTTAATGCTTCATTAGTAATTGTAATTGTAATTATTTTGATATTTTATTCTTGTCATTAATGTAATTCCAAGTGAACGGTGAGTGTAAAGATTCATCATAATTTTGAATATATTTTCTCTATTCTCTGTAGTTGACTGTTCTGGGAGCAACCCATGTCGGAACGGAGGTACCTGTAAGAACAATGCATGTAAATGTCCTGCAAGATTTAATGGAGCTTTGTGTAGTACAGGTATGGACATTTATTGTAAAATTATGTTAAGTGCTATCGGAATTCATCGTATACGTCAAATGTTGTTTGGGTTTTAAAGAAATTTATGGTTACTCAATAATAACAAGATTAATGCCATGATACCGTCATATCGTGCCTCGAAACTTTTTATCTATTTCTACATCAACATTATAACATTCAACCTTCCTCCGCCCCCCCCCCCCCCCGAAAAAAGAGTGGCATAAAGACGGGGGAATCATACGTACTTTGTAATTTAAAATTCTTTAATACAGCACTCTTTAAATTTGTGTTCATCACTCTATATTATTTTGATAGTTTATTATTGGCCGTAATGTATGTCCACGTAAACGGTGAATGTTTAGATTCGTCATGAATTTATAGATATTTTCTCTATTTTTTTGTAGTTGCCTGTTCTAGGAGACACCCATGTCGGAACGGAGGTACCTGTAAGAAAAAAGCATGTAAATGTGCTGCGGGATTTAATGGAGATTTGTGTAGTACAGGTATGGACATTTATTGTCACATATGCCATTGCTTTCGGGAGTCTTCGTATACGTCAAATATTTGTTTTGGTTTGAAGGAAATCAATGCTTTTTAAATGATAACAAGAGTTATGCCATGTTATCATCTAATCGGCCATTTACCTTTTTATTTATTTGACATAAACACTATAACATTCAACCCCGCCCCCTTTCCCCTCCTCCCGAAAAAAGAGTATTATAAAGAAGTTGGTAATTCTACGTACCATGTAATTTGACATTCTTTAATACATCATTCTTAAAATTTGTGTTCATCACCCAATATTATTTTGATATTTTATCCTCGTCATTCACGTTTTAGCACGTGAAGGGTGAGTGTTAAGATTCGTCATGAATTTAAAGATATTTTCTCTATTCTGTGTAGTTGACTGTTCTGGGAGCAACCCATGTCGGAACGGAGGTACCTGTGAGAACAATGCATGTACATGTGCTGCGGGATTTGATGGAGCTTTGTGTAGTACAGGTATGGACATTTATTGTCACATATGCCATTGCCTTCGGGAGTCATCGTATACGTCAAATATTTCTTTTGGTTTGAAGGAAATTAATGCTTTTTAAATGATAACAAGAGTTATGCCATGATATCATCTAATCGGCCATTTACCTTTTTATTTATTTGACATAAATACTATTACATGAACCCCCCCCCCCCTCCCGAAAAAAGATTATTATAAAGAAGTTGGGAATTCTACATACAATGTAATTTGACATTCTTTAATATACCATTCTTCAAAATTGTGTTTATCGCCCAATGTTATTTTGATATTTTATTATTGGCTTTACTGTATTTCCGTGTGAACGGTGACTGCTAAGATTCATAAGGGACTTCGTTGAAAGGAAAATAATGGTTAATTTATGATAACAATGATACATCATTCTTCAAATTTTTGTTTATCACCTAATATTATTTTGATATTTTATTCTCGTCATTCACGTGTTTCTACGTGAAGGGTGAGTGTTAAAGATACGTCATGAATTTAAAGATATTTTCTGTATTCTCTGTAGTTGACTGTTCTGGGAGCAACCCATGTCGGAACGGAGGTGTCTGTGAGAACAATGCATGTACATGTGCTGCGGGGTTCGATGGAGCTTTGTGTAATCAGGGCATGTGAGTTAAAGTCTCACCTCCCTGGTGTAATACAGGTTAGAAAATACATTGTAACATATTGTTATGTAGTAGTTGTATCAGGGCTCACCTCCCTGGTTGTATCACTCCCCACTTCCTTCAGTCATTTACCTTTCATTCACCTTTCTCCCACCTGCTCCATGACAAAACAGAACCCCATTATCCCATTACTTTTATTATAAACAATTGACCATTAATGATCACCCAAGATTTTGATTCAAGGATCGAACCACATTCCAATAATTATGACTCATAGGCCCAAACCCCAGTTACTTACACTCTCTATAGCCACTCCCATGACAACCCTGACCATTGACCAATGATAAGCATGAATAAGTCTCCCCTCCTAACATTGTTTCTCTCCCCAAACTTTCCTGAATGTAAAGTTGGATAATGATAGGGACTTTGGATTCAGCCATCACCCGCTGAAAAAGGGTTTTGAGATAGACTAGCTACAGGCATAGGGAGAGATAATATTGTGTATCTCGGATTCTAGAGTCGTCTACTAGTGAGTCATTGTGTTATGTACTTAAGCAAGAAGATTGAATAAATGCTGCTGAAACTGTAAACAAGCTCCTCGCCTCATCATGTATGCTCCTCGCCTACAATCACCGATCCCTACACGACATGATGGAGGACCCGGCTTCCTTAAAAAGGACTGATACTCATCACCATCAGAATGAGTATCACGACTGACAAGCCATTCAACGACGATGACAAGGACAGCAATATATGACAATGATGATGACTTAACCCATTGCTAAGATGGAGCCTGATCATAACGCTGAACCAACGACAACACGCACAGATGACATCAACGACAGACTGGACTTGCCGAGTGCCGACATTATCGACGACTACATTCATCGATGCACCAACAGCAGACCACGTCGGACAGAGAACTGCGGATCGGGATCCACATCGACAAGCAAACAATACCCATGACATCGACGGACAGCACCCACGACCATAATAATGTGGACATTGATCGACGTCTCGCTTGACCCGGATTTCTTTGCTAAATAACTCAAACTCTGACACCTAGAACTTTCCTGTTTTTACTTTTTTTCATACTTCTAAATTAAATTGCTCCGCTGCTTTTAACTCATCAAGCAGCTAGTTTGCTAGTTGGGCAAGTGTAACATTTTTCGTTCCAAGTTTATAAGTGAGTATGTAAGAGAGGATAGTGTTGTAGTTAATTGTTTTTAATACTTTTAATAATGTACATCTGCGTAATTTATTTGCAACAAATTCGTAGTGATTACATGTAGTTAATTGTTTTTAATACTTTTAATAATGTGCATCTGCGTAATTTATTTGCAACAAATTCGTAGTTTGCACTAGCTGTCTTTTATTTACTTTGTATACTTGTCGAAATCTTTTTAATTGTTTTATCTAAGATTCTACCCTTCTACATTAATGTAATATAATCCCAGGAATATAATATATGTAGCTAAACATGCTAAAGGAATTGGAAGTTTAATAAATTACATCACCACCCTATATAAGCTTGTCTAAGACGAGATCAATTGCTCAGGGCTTTCATAATCCTGCCAATTTGCAGTGGTAAGGTGAGCAATATAATTTGTGAATGGTTAAATGTCACATGCTAGTCTTAACAATTAATTAGCTTATCACTGTTTGAGGCTTTTGTAAACCTGCAACATTTCTGCAGTTAAAAGATGGACAGATACATTTGTGTGATAGTGTTTTATTTTGATTCTATTATACTTTCGTGTTTCGTATTCATATTTTGTAATTGTAGTTCGATTTTTAATTGAGTTGAAATTAATTTAATGAATGAAATATCTAAATGGTCACCCAGGGTTATAGATGCAGTTACCAGTTGCAGTACGACGTAATTTAAACTGGCAAACAGTACACTTCATAATTTAAATGAAGATTGTCTCTGCAATATTGATAAACTGAACAAACCACATGTGTATAAGGATATTTGTTTTTTATTTTCTTGATGCTAAGTCTTTCTTTATGAAAAAATATTATACGTGACATTTAAAAAAAAAAATTTAAACGATTTTACAATTTGACCTACTTATTACTGCCCACAATTTTGACCTCATTTGACCGCATGACACATACTGACTGACAGCAGGATACCGATACAGACACCCCAGACCAGGAAGGTTTTACTAGTCTTTTTATATATAGACAAATTACCTTCATATCGATTGTGTACTGTATTATTTTGTTTTGTATTACTATAAGTCTAGAGGCATTATAGTGTAAAAGTCACTTTATATCAATGTGTATCAAAGCTTTCCTTTATAAGTCTAGAGGCACTTTGTAGTTTAGATTAGTACTTGTGATGTATGACAATAATAATTAGGATGTTAAACTGTTGTTGAAATTTACACAAGTTGAAAGCACTTTTTCATGAATGAAGTTATATAATATATCATTATCATAGTTCATCAGTTTGATGACTTTACAAGGATTAAAGTTCACTTGATATATGATATTCAACAAGTTTGAAATTACTTGTTCATCGTTCATTATTATTTACCCAGCTAGCAATGCGACATCGGGCCAAAGTTGGGCCAACGTTGGGCCAACGTTGGGCCAATGTATCTCGAGGCATCGGGCCAACATCAAGTTACGACGTTGGCCCAAAGTCAAAATGTCCGCCAGCCCAATGTTGACCCGACGTCGGGAGATTACGTTGGGCCAACATCAGATTCTGACATTGGGTCGACATCAAAATTGAAACGTTGGCCCGATGTAAAAATGTCCAGCTACCCAATGTTGGACCAATGTCATTTTCCCGACGTCGGCCTAACATAATTTGTCTGATGTTGGCCCAATGTTAGAATAACCGCAAACCCGATGTTGGCCCAATGTCATTTTCCCGACGTCGGGCCAACATTATAATTCTGACGTTGGCCCAATGCTAATATGTCCGCCAGCCCAATATTGGCCCAATGTCATTTTCCCGACGTCGGGCCAACATTATAATTCTGATGTTGGCCCAATGTTAATATGTCCGCCAGCCCAATATTGGCCCAATGTCATTTTCCCGACGTCGGGCCAACATCATAATGCTGACGTTGGCCCGATGTGAATATGTCTGCCAGCCCAATATTAGCCCAATGTCATTTTTCCAACGTCGGCCTAACATAATTTTTCTGACGTTGGCCCAATATTAAAATAACCGCCATATATAGTTTATACAAATCACTGTAAATGTTAATCAAAGTTTTCCTGTATAAGTCTACAGGCACTTTGTAGTTAATTAGATTAGTATGACAATTGTTATTGAATGTTAAATTCTTGTTGAATTTTACACAAGTTGAACGCACTAGCTCGTTCAAGACAGAAGTTATATAACGTATCATAGCTCATCATTTTGATGGTTTTACAAGGATTGAATGTACACTTGTTATATGATATTCAACAAGTTTGAAATTACTTGTTCATCATTTATTATTCTTTAAGTTGTTTTATGATTATGGAAAGAACTCTATAATGGGTTAGGAATGTTTGTCACTTGAATTCTGTGTTGATGCTTCATACGAAGTACATGTACATATATTGTCTGTTTAAACACAGAAGTACTTTCAATGCCTAGAGCGCACCCGTTGCTTTCTCATTTATAATCATGTTGTTAAGATGTTAGATTTGCATCGACAGTATTGTTCGTATATTTCTAAACCACAGTGTGCATACTGTGATGACGATTTCTTGTTTGATTAGACTCGTATATTTCTTTAAAGATTGAGTCATTTGATAAGTGACACGCGTTTACATTTTGAAAACGTTTTGGCTTTGATAACTTTATAATGGTTATTTAACTTGATTATATGTTTTTCTTGTTTGTGTTCATGTGCATAAGTCTGCACAATTTATAATTTGAAAGTTGGAAGTTGTTTTTATGTGCATAAGTCTGCATGATTTTATAATGTTACAGTTGCTTATTGTGCATAAGTCTGCACTAGTATTGAATCACAAATAAGTTTTGCTATATGCTATGCTTGTTTAATCGTTTAGGATTATTAGTATGTAGCTATTAACCTTTGTTATGATAGCCATAATATGAATAGGTTTCGATTTTAGATATTTACTATGTTGTACATTTATGTGTTTGAGAGAGAGGGAGAGTAAGAGAGGATGGAACAATGATCACATGTTTCGCTTATCAGTTTTCACTTTTCTTTAATTAGTTAATATGTGTATAATTTTAAGATGTCCCCCTTTTTCTTCCTCTACTGTTTTTGAAAAGAGGGAGAAGAGCCTTATTTTCCAAAGAAAGGGGATGTTATGTAAAGGTATTACAAATCTACACCCCTATACAGATAAGACCCACCCTGCGAAATACCAGACCTCCTTCGAAGACATTCGTTAATTAACTTATTCCAGCCAAATAAACCCCAAATTGTATACATCTTTAAAGTGCCCCACAAACCTCCAAAACAAAAGACTTCCTGTCTTTCTCCCAATAACCAAAGCCCCCTTTGTTTGATAAGACCCTTTCCCAGAACAGTGTTAGCTAGATGATTATGAGAATTGAATTGTCTTTGTCCCTTTGACACAATGTAACCTACCCTCATATTCCTTGTGTCCTCCTGTATAATTATGAGAGGTTCTAGCTTTCTGGGGGAGAAGAGTTCAGACCATCACCAAGCTAGTACCTATACTTCGTCTGCTCTATATCTTGTAAATATACTTGTGAATCTGGACTATGTGACTCATCGTTTTTAGAGTTATATAATAAAATATACTCTTGCATATTACACTTCAAGCAAAGTATCAGCATCTCTTTATTTCATGTACCTCTCAATATTCCAATAACTCAATACACCGATCCCAACACGACAATATGTCTGCCAGCCCAATATTGGCCCAATGTCATTTTTCCAACGTCGGCCTAACATTATTTTTTTGCGTTGGCCCAATATTAAAATAACCGCCAACCCAATGTTGTCCCAATGTCATTTCCTAGACGTCGGGCCAACATCATAATGCTGACGTTGGCCCGATATGTCTGCCAGCCCAATATTGGCCCAATGTCATTTTTCCAATGTCGGGCCAACATCATAATTCTGACAATGGCCCAATGTTAATATGTCCACCGGCCTAATGTTGGAGCAATGTCATTTTTCGGACGTCGGGCTAACATCAAAATTCTAACGTTGGCCCAATGTTAAAATATCCGCCAGTCCAATGTTGGCCCAATATCATTTTTCCGATGTTGGGCTAATAAAAATTATCTGACGTTGGCCCAATGTTTAAATGACCGCCAACCCAATGTTGGCCCGATGACATTTTTCCGATGTCGTGCCAAAATGAAATTCTGAATGTGAAAACAATATTTCCTATATACTGGGCCAACATTATATGCACGTTGGCCGTCGTTCTAGTTGACTAATTGAAATAAGTAAACATGCACAGGATCAATTTGCAAGTAGCCTTTGCATGCATAGAACAATGGACACTTGCACTATTATAAGGTAAAGTGTCATGTGTGACATAAAGCCTAGTAAGAAAACATGAATCAATTTCCCTGAAGTTAAGTTAAAATTCAAAGTCACGTGTATAATTTGTAACATGCAGGGAAGGAATTGGTCCTCTTAATGGAAAACTGTGAGATATTACATGCGTGCACTGTACAATGAAAGAATTGTTAAATTAAATGATTCAAGTTTTTGATAAATATCAAACAAGCAAAAATTTCACTCTACTTTATCCTTTGTTTAATCTCTGTTATGAAGCAGCGTTACAGTTGAATACAAAATACATTATGTGTAATTAAGACATACTTAAAAGAATGTGGTACCTGAAACAAAACCGAATATCGAACAAAAACAACGCAATACGTCAACACTCCTGTCTACGTATAAATGTTTTAAAGATGAAGTTGAGTTCTGGTCATGCGATTGCATTGTGAAAGAAATGGTGTGGAACCGACCAGAAAAGGTTGATCATCTAGCATATAAGAATTTGTGTGTATTGCAAGGTTCTGGAATCATCAAAATGATAAGAAATTTGGCCAAGTCTTGGTAAAGTTACAAACACTTGCACAGAAAGATGTATATGGGACTACACGAACACGTGGCGTAAAAAGCCGGCCCCCGATTTTTACGATGTTACATGCATATTTAGAATATGAAGGCATTTGAAGAACCATGCTTTTCAGGGAACATGTCTTAACTGATGTTCTTCCACACTTGCATAATAAGAATGAGTAATGCTCACAAATTATTTTTCACCTCTTCCCAGAACTCAACCTTCTCTTTAACCCCTTCAGAAGCTGTACTAAATACATGTACACGAAAATTATGGACATCTTGGTAGGTACATGGATTCATGATCGTTTTTGTTTACACTAAATTCCAATAAATAAATGTAATACATGTTCAAGCTGTTTCAAGAATAGCATTGAAGTATAATTTAGGTGTAAGTTTTGTTTCTTTTTTAATGTAGGCCTACACTGTACATGTCTTAATCACTGAAATCACTGTATGTCGTGCAGTCGATTCTTACTGGCGAGCAAAGCCCCAGGCATCTACTCTTCATATTTTAATCAATGTCATCCTGAATGAGATGCCATGCTGAATTTAGTGGCATGACATTCGTCACAAAATAAAGATGCCTACAGCATTATGGGTTCAAAGATCCAATTTGATGTGAAGAGATAAATGGTCTTAAGAAAATACTTTGTTTCGCCTAAGGAATTAGATGTTATCTTACATAATATGTGGCAAAGTGGTGTGTTAATCGTATTTTCAATTTGATGTACCATTTTGTTTAATGGATTCTCCACCAACAAAAGATTATACATGTAGTTTAGTATTACACAGTTCAAGTCAAAATTGCAGGAGAGACGTTTCAATGTAATTTGCACTGATTCTTGTGTGATACTTCATGAAAGAGAGAAAAACAAATCTCGATGAAAAAATTACAATTCCCAAAATTTCTTTAAATTTCACTCATAAACAACTGCATTGTAGTTGAGCCCTTCTTCAATCTATCATCAAGTACATCTATTTGTCAAATAAAATTCAATAGGATTAGTTCCCCTTTAAGCATGTGCATTATATTAATCTACTGGTACAAATACTTGTTGAGACCTCATTTTACAGGGTTACAAACTTACTATGCATAGTATATCAGTAAATCCTGCATAACTTTGTGTTTATAGTTGGGATGAAGCAATAAATGTATTCGTTGACAATATGGGACATGCCAGGCCCGTACAACACGAAATAAAATCAACAACTAAATTATTCATACCCTCGGCAATTTTATTTTTACTTTTAAGTATTTGAAAATTTGATTTGTCGTGATTTAAGACTCTTGAGAATTTGAAATATTAAAGCTTGCATCTAACAGTATTCAGCAAATATCCGAATTCACCCAGTCCACCTTTTATTCTTGAGTTACGAAAAACACACCAAAAATACATAAAATGTATACAAGGGGCGTGAATAATTGGCTATTAACTGTATGTCGTACGGGAAAAGGTTGACGTTGTTAAAATAAAAGAAGAATGACGTAAATGCCAACAAATTTGAGAGAATCCATATTTACAAAAAGTGTAGACCCCCAAACAAAACCTTGGCAAAAACTATTCATTCTCATGTCGTACAGGACAATGTGGCGGAAATGGCCTGGCCAATTATTGGCGGTGAAGTCCGCAGGCAACTACGCAATTAAGACCTTGGATGTATCGTACAATGTATTTGGAACTTAGAACATGCACTAGATAACACACTGTTTAGCAATTTTATGTGCAACAACGTACATATGTGACAAGTTTCACATTTCAACTATTTCGTCTTAAAAATGAAAGTCCAAAGTCTCCATAGTACGACACTTACCTAATTTAGGTGGTCTAAGCATTAAAGTAAAATATTATCCCCTTAGTAGCTAACTAAACTCAAAGTTGTATTATTACAATTTTTTCACGTTAAACATGTATAAAGTATACTGATGTATATAGAGGGGAAAAGGGAAAATGTTGAATGGTTCCTCACAGTGTATGCAAACGTATTCATAAGTAGTTCTCTCATTTTGAACATAAATAAGCATGCATTCCATAAGCTTTGTCCAATCATATCTGCTGGATGACCAAAAGAATGAAACTGTCTCATACTCATAAAACCGATTGATAGTTGATGAGCAGTAGCTTATAACTCTAACTGCTGGGGCCAAAAGAAAAAAACAAGTTCAGTAGATTTTTTCCTCCTCCAGCCAGCAGAGTTTTAAAAAAGTTCACGAGTCAAGAGGAAGGGGGTGAGAGTGGTATCACGGGTACATCAGTCAATCACTGTCCTCTTCATCTGCACCCACGTCGCTTTCGTTGTTTGGTTCGTTGCCTTCCTCAATCTCAATTAATGCAGCTGCTGCAAAACTTAAAAGCGATGGAATATTGGTATAGAATGAAAGTAAAACATTAAAAAGGCAACGTAAAACACGATGAATACGACTGCGCCTTTAATTCCTCCGCCTGATCGGTTTGAAATGCTGTATAACGCTTTTCTAAATTATATAAATCATTGCAAACATGTTTTTATACATTCCCTGTATGGGAAAAAAAATGTAGACCGCCATCAATAAACTTTTTGTACAGAGGAGCTCACTGATGACAACTTCAAAAATCAACATCTTTCTTGTTTTTAATCGGAAATCGCTCAAACTTTCATTTATTTGTTTCTTTAACTATTCTGCTTTCATTATTACCAACTTAATATCGGGCGGCAATTCCAATTCAAACCAAAAATTAGATTAAATTTTGTATAACTTCAACTTTTAAAAAGATTGCACATACCGATATATATATATATATATATAAATGTAGATGACTAGTCTGTTTTCCTGGAATGTTCCTTTTTGATCATTTGCGGTATGGTTGTAAATTCAAACGGGTGTTGCCTTGAAATAATAACGAATTTCTATAGCGGTACTAATTTATAGGTCTGTATTCAACAGAGAAAACTTTATTTCAGATGTCGAAAAATATTTACAGAACCATTCTCAAATAACATTTATAGTTTGGGGTCATTTATACCAAAGCTAACTACGAACTGGCCTGTTAGAAAATGTTACTTGCACATTAGTGAAATGGTTACCTTTCTTTTTTTCTTCTCTCTTTCGGCGTCCTCCAGACCTGTCACTGCTGTATCTCAGCCACTTCTTTATAAGATCTTCAGTAGAAGTATTTGTGGCAGATTCCCATGATCTTCTAGTGGCACCTTAAAAAAGAGAAATTTCTTTGTCTTGATCTGAAAATACTTCATCACACAAGCGTTTTGGTCATTTATGGGTTAAGCCAATCAATAATTATATTCAATACTAGCCTGACTCAGTGTTTCGCACCTCGATCGTGATCTTAGAAACTATTCAAAATAAATTGTGGAAATCGACAACGGAAAAGCTTCTGATGATTTACTGCGGAGGGATCGTACCCTTCTCTGTTTTTTAACGAAGTGACTGCCCTGTTTTTGCATAGCTAGTGAGACAGATATACAGTGGTGTAGCGAAGACTCGGTCATTGGTGGGAGGTGGGGGGGGGGGCACCATACGTAAGTCTATTAGATTAACATTTTTCAACCAATCTTTAGTTACTGCACCCTTTTAGGAATTAAACAGTTTCTTGTCACCCTCATCCAAAATACATCAATGAGGATTTGTTTTCCATCCCTATTAAATGTAGACGTACGAGCCCATTTCTGTGTGAGGAAATAAAATAATTGTTGGTATAAAACAAAATACAACAAATATGGTGAGGGCTCCTCTTACCCCCCCCCCCCGTGCCCCCTGCCCCCCCCCCTCTTTCTAGCTACACCACTGCAGATAGACTACAAAGGATGGATAAATAGCGTTTGACTTGTTTTGGTACCTATTCATTGCACTTGGACATGAAAGAAGAGTAAAGAGAGAGGAGGGCAACTGAATACAAATTTCTACATACAAAAAGGTAATTGGAAAAGAAAGAACAGTGGAAATGAGATAATAAGAAAACTATTAAATGATGTTCATATGCTGATCCTTTATGGTTGAGAATAAATATGTGAAAATATGTTTTTAAAGAAATGAGAAGAAAACCAACAAAATTTGAGTAAAATGAAATACAGAGAAAGATGGATATAACAGACAGTGCCAAGATTATGACTGACTCTTTACAAGCAACCCTTGTAGCATATAAAGCAATATGGCAAAAGGGTACTAAAAACAGTTTTTTAGAATGTAATTTCCCTTTTCATTGCATTAACTTTGAACTCTCAAGGGGCCGCATAACATTGTTTCGTGGGACATATTTAACCAGGGCCCCAAAATTAACAGTTCAGACTCAAGCTTACGCATTTTGACCAACATTTTAAAGAGACATTGAACGCACCTGAGAAGGGGAGATGAACGAGAAGAAGAAGAAGAATAAGCAGAAGAAGAAGGAGAAGAGAGAGAAAAAGAGCGGGGAGAAAAGGAAGGATAATAAATGGGGATAGATTCTAGAAGAAAAAAAAATTCATTGCGATTGATCCACAAAAAGAAAATCCATCCAAACGTATAACTGATAATTGTGTGACTCAACATCAAGGCCCTAAAAGTGACCGAATACTTCACATAAATTTATTTTTAGTGGGTCGCTATCTTACATTCAAATTATCTCTGATGAAACCATTTTGGGTTTTGTGTTCCATGTGGCACAGTGCCACAGGGAACACAACACCGAAATACGCGTACAGTACAAACAAATTCATAACAAAACAACAAAAACATACTCGTTAAAAAAGAAATATAAAAGTTCTATTTCCAGATTCTTCAAATAAAAGGAGGAGGAAATTTTAGCCTTTCTGAAAATGTTATAGCCTGGAATTTAAACAGTTTCCAAAAAGGATATCATTAAGGTTTCCAACTTTTGTAATAAGTTCATTTGTATGAAAGCGGATAAATAAGAAAACCGATCAATGGCAAATGTTTGAAATAAATCCGACCAATAATACGAAAGTTATGAGTGTTTGATATATATTGGATCAGTATATCTACAAAGTATGCAAAACCCAAATGATTGTGATTGCAATAGTAATAACTCTCCCGTTTGTGGGGTAACAAAATATTGTATTTCTTATTACTTTTTTCTCCTAAGCGCCTTCTCCCTTCGGGCACTGATAAAATGTATTGTGGAAAGCATATTAATAAAGATTTTCGAAAAAAGAGAAGACACTCTCAAGTCTTGGATTTTAAAAACTTGACATTTTAGTAAGTTTGTGTATTGGTTGGAACACATTGGGAAAATTATCCGGCACTTCCTAATAGCGACACTACCGATTAAGCCCGGCAATTTGAAGTGCCGAAATGTTTATTGATTACAGCTTTGGAAAATGTATACTTTCCGTATTCTTGTCCGATTTAATGAATCTTTCACCAATCTGCTTATCTGTTTTCTGCTTTGTCTGTTAAGGTAGAATTTCCCTTTAAAACTCACCAATTAGGGGGCACTGCTAAAGGCGAAAAGGCGAATTGTTGAAACTCGCCTAGGCGCCTTGAGAGGTCGACTTTTTAGAGAAGACGCGAAGGGATCGAACTCGCCTTTTTGCTTCTCGGGGGTGTATGGAAAGCTGGTTTTTCATTCCTTGTATTTTTATTTGTGTTAATATAATATATAAGTATAATAGGCTTAAGTACTGTTCATTTCAATCAAAATGAAGGAAAGAGTAAGTATCTTTAGCTATAGATTTGTAAAATAAATAGATAACATATCAAGAGGACATATTTCTATAACAAAAAGTAAAATACTTACGCAATATAACGTCTGCAATGTCCATTTTGGAAATGCCGACTTTTTGTCCCATCCCTTTCCAATTCAAATTGGTGGCGAGTTCGTCTTCAAGCATCGCTTTGAGTATCCGAGCAACTACTTCTTTTTCGGTCGTTCCACCGAGCGTACCAAGAGATTTAATCTGTGATTTAAGCAGTGATAGCTAATTAAGAGTAACGACTCGAGAGCATGTATGGTACGTAGGCTACATCTTAGTTTTAATTGATAAAATGTGGCACACTTATGGTAAGGGGCGGATCTAGGGGGTGGGGGGGGGGGGGGGGGGGTAGGGGGTTTAACTCAACCCCCCCCCCCCCCCCCCCGGGCTGCCAAGTGAAAATGTGATGTGCATAGAAAAACGCCATCATGTGTCCAGACCCGCACAGTATTAGTAGATGCCAGGAAAACATCACTTACGGGGGGGGGGGGGGGGGTCCAAAAATAGCAACAACACAAAAATCGCTCAGCGAAATATCGGCCGGCGCGATTTTCTATTTTTCGGGGGCAAAAAAAAAAAATAGTGCACACTAACCCCCCCCCCACCCCCCCCCCCCCCCCCCCCCACGCTTATTCACCGGCTGGTTGTTTCGCCGCTAAATATTTTCTCACGAATTGTGCCCCCTCTTTGGCAGTCCTCCCTGTCGCCGGCTGGATCCGCCCCTGAGGTCAACCGCAACCCTACCCTACCCCCCCCCCTTTGCAAAAAGCTAGATCCGCCCCTGATGTTGCACTTTGCAAAACTATTCCTTAACCTGCATAGCTAGCACAACTCGATTGTAATTGATTTAAACACAATAGCCGCAAATAAATAAACCTATGTAATTTCTCGCCAGTTGATCTACAAATAAACACTATATGTAAAATTGCTTCTATATAGGTCAGCATCAAACATAACATATCGACATCTAGTCCAACTCGGTGTCATCCTCTTTGCATCATCATTACATCATCTTATCTACTTATATTTATATAGTAAACTGTAATAACAAAAGTTATTCGGCCTGATAAGCTTACAAGTTTCTTTTTGAATGGCTTCGCCTTCAGCTGCTCATTCAGCTGCTCCAGCTCAGTGATGTTGGAGACTGGCAGGTAAGCCTCTTCTCCCATGTCCATGGTGTCTGCCTCAACACTCTGGCCTCGAGTATTGAGCAGACTTTGCATCATGGTGGCATTCTGCCGACCCTATTGCTTGATTTCATTCAGCAATCGGATGACACCTGCACAGAGCAAAGTGTAGAAGCAACGGTTAAATTAAATGAGATATCACATACCGGTAGTAGCGATAAGCAAAGAGAATTGTTTAGGTAGATTAAATTGAATATATTAAATATATTACAGGTATAAATACATACAAACAATTAAAGTTGGTAGAATCCGCTAAAAAAAAAAAATCACTGGACAATTACATGCACATATGACGAAAATGTAAGATTTTCATTTGTGATGTTGTGCATTCCAATAAGCAGTTAGAAAGAAAAAGGGTGAACATTCATTTCCAAAATGACGGTGCACCCTCAGATTTTTAATCAAGCAAATTGAGCAATGAAACAGTACCCCTTTTGTGATTGAAAAGGGTGCCTGTATGAAATGTATGGCGCCCGATATTTTGATTCCTGTATGAAATATCACCTAGTTGTTCGTTTTTGCTCTTTTTAAAAGCATTTCTGAATAATGCGTTCGGTGGCGGAGACATGCAAATGCAAAAAACACTATCCATAACAATAATATCACCCGTTTCAGTAAACAATTGATTTTCACCGTCACCATCGATGATATCCCCACTATCACTTATTTGGTTTTGATGGCATTATTCTTAACCCCCCCCCCCTTTCCCCGTTATTTAAATAAGCACATGAAAACAATCGTTTTATTCGGCATTAAAGTTTGTATTACCTTCAGGCCATATGCTCGTTCGTGTTCGCTTGTGAACTAGCGGTTACTTGGTTTTACCAAAATCTGGCAAAAATGGATTTTGACAAGCCATTTTCAAAGCAATCCTGTTCAGGAAAGTGCGATGGATTTATATGATCAATGTATCATTTGAAAGCATGTTACTTGTACTGTATGAAAAGTAATGAATTAGATTTATACAGCTCTGGTTTGTTTATAATAACAGTTTGAAGTGTTTCGTTTTTTCCGGGACGCACTGTTGAGTGAATTACCTGTACTTCCGCCTTCCTGAACCTCACAGGTAAACCAAGGCCAGGTGTCTTCAGTTCTGGAGGGTCGTGAGCATCACTGCGTTCTTCGCGCTTGCGGCGTCACAGGGGGGCCATCGGCAACTCTGTCTCCCGTCATTCTTCCCCAGCCACTTGGAGGAGACCACTTCCACCTCTTTGGTGTCCAGAAACTCGACAATAACATATTTATCCATGGTCTGAAATAACATTATTATCTAGTACAAATGAATAAAATGTACCAAACAGCTATGACCGATTTGATAAGTGCTCATTCGATTGGAGTCTCAAAGGCTAGTACAGAGACGAGACCAGGCGCGTACGCAGGATTTTTTCAAGGGGGGGGGGGGGGGGGGTTTAACATTTATAAATCGGGCCGAAAATTTCGCAACGACTCAGCCAGCCGCTGAATAAGCGGGGGGGGGGTGGGGGTGGGGGGGGGGGGGGGGTAAGAGGACACTTTTTTTTTTTTGTCTCGAAATTTGAAAATTTGACATTTTGCTCCGTTGGGGGGGGGGGGGGTAAGGTCAGCTTTTTTAGGTCAACCATGGGAATAAAAAAAAAATCCAAAAGGGGGGGGGGTTTACAGAAATTTAGGGGGGTTTACACACAAAAAATTACCAAAGGGGGGGGGGTTTAACCCCCCCAAACACCCCTCCTGTGTACGCGCCTGGACGAGACAAAACTAATGAGTAACATGATTCAAGGGAAAGGCAACATAATTATCCATCTCTAAAAGGCAATAGAACAACTTAGCCAACATTTGCTGACACAGGAAAATGATAATCTGAAATAACAATATTAGCTAGTACAAATGAATAAAATGTACCAACCAGTTATGACCGATTTGATAAGTGCTCATTCGATTGGAGTCTCAAAGGCTAGTACAGAGACGAGACAAAACTAATGAGTAACATGATTCAAGGGAAAGGCAACATAATTATCTATCTCTGAAAGGCAATAGAACAACTTTGCCAACACTTGCTGACACAGGAAAATGATAATCTGAAATAACAATATTAGCTAGTTCAAATAAAAAAAAATGTACCAACCAGCTATGACCGATTTGATAAGTGCTCATTCGATTGGAGTCTCAAAGGCTAGTACAGAGACGAGACAAAACTAATGAGTAGCATGATTCAAGGGAAAGGCAACATATCCATTTCTGAAAGGCAATAGAACAACTTTGCCAACACTTGCTGACACAGGAAAATGATAGTCTGAAATAACAATATTAGCTAGTACAAATGAATAAAATGTACCAACCAGTTATGACCGATTCGATAAGTGCTCATTCGATTGGAGTCTCAAAGGCTAGTACAGAGATGAGACAAAACTAATGAGTAACATGATTCAAGGGAAAGGCAACATATCCATCTCTGAAAGGCAATAGAACAACTTTGCCAACACTTGCTGACACAGGAAAATGGTGCAACCTTTTGCCAAGTTCTCTAAAATAATATATTCCAATCTTGTTGGAGTCAACGGGGTAGTCAAAGAAAGACATGGCCTTTGAAAATGTGTAACAAACAATAAAAGGTTCGATTTCATTGTTGACAAGAACATTGGTCACCTGAAAAACATCCTCTCCGATCATTACAAAACTATCACGTTCATTTGTTGACATAACATAGTTATTGCAATGGAGTTCCTTGAACTGCATCGTGCCTCGGGGTGCATCGTTTGGAAGAGGTCCTGATGAGTGCCTGTACTTCCATGTGCATGGGGAGACAACATGATCAGGCTTCCGTCCTGAACTGGTATCCATGTTCTTTTCAGACAACCATCGTATGACCTGTTGTAGTGGCTGTTGTGGTTTGCGAATCATTCGCTTGATACTATTCAAATGGTTTTCATATGGAAATGCAGAGAATTTATCTAAAAATCCAAAGTTTCTAACATCATCTGCTAAATGAACCAACGAATGTACATTGTAGATGAGACTTTCTTCACCATACAGTTTCCCACACTGTGTCACAAACAGAATAAGAAGATTTTCGGCATAGTCACAGTACTCTACACACTTCGAGGGATTATACAACAGTCTTATGGCTACAACTAGAAGGATGAAATGTAAATAATAAGGTTCAGGCAAATTTCTCCTTAGAGCGACTGCCCCAGTATACAACAGAAACGTACGGAATTCCGTCGCCTTCCAACGGTCTACTTCTGCAAGAGCCCTTCCCTTTCTTGCAAACTCCCGAGGTACAAATGATTTGCAATGAATAATCTCATCTGATATTGCATTAACAACTCTTGGTCCTAGTCTGACGTTCATTGGACCTCGCATCCACAAGTTTATCAACTTTCTTACAACTCCTAGACAAATCAGATGCATATAGTCTAATGGAAACTGAGAGACCATACCCACACCAATTTGAAGCAAGCAACTAGTGTCACGATGGTGTTCCTTGTTGTCCTGATTCTTAAATGTTTGATCAGTCCTAAGAACTGCATCAACACAAGGGAAAGTGACACGCCGCTCTGTGTACACTCCTTTTTGACTACACTTGTCACAACCCCAGTAGCCCGAGTGTCCTTTGGTACACTTAACAAATGCCCTCGCCGGGGTATCACAGATAACATTTTTAATTGTGACATGTATTCTGTTGCCCCTGAATTGTACCCCCTCCCTTGATATTTTGACCATTTCTTCAAGAAAGTCGTGTAGGTAATCGTTGGAAGTATTTGGTTTGCTATCCCCTAAAAAGAGACCAATGAGAAAGGGTTCTGATGTGCAGTTGGTATCCTGGTCCTGAATCCTACCCAGTATCGGCCAAAACTGGTCCCCTTTGCTCTTGAACAAGGCATTCCGTCAATAAAAACCTGAAGAAGCAAACGATAGTCTACAAGCATATCGAAAAGTTGGGGATTAAATTCCAGGGAAGAAACTATGTTGGGAGCAATTCCAAAATGATGGTAAGTTCCACCAGCAACTTCTTTCACTTCATAGGATGTCATGGTTGTCAAAGGAGTGCGAGAATCTTTCGGTATCTGGGGGAAATGGGGCTTTAAAATAGCTAGTAATGAGTTAATGTGACTTGCTGGCGTACAGCAATTTACTGCCCATTCTCTAAGATGTTCACGGATAGTTGGTTGACCAAGATCTACATCTTCATCCGACGTTACGTCACTATCATAGCCTGAATGTGACGGCGCCGCGGCTTCGCCATGTTGACTCAAGTCTGGTATTGAGAATGCATCATCAGATTCAGAGTCAGTCAAAGATAATTCATCACCACCACATGCCCCTAATTCTATGTCACTTGAAGTACCAGTAACACCATTAATCTCGTCATCGCTAACGTCAGATGGTAAGGTGGAATTCAAAACTTCTCGTGTTTGTCTGTCGGCTATTTGGCGCAAATGTCTAATGCTGTATAGCTTTGAAGCTCTATTAAAATTTGACATAGCTACACACCACGAGTAGCACTGTATGAGAAAAATATGCAGGGCCTCTAAACCTTGAGCAAAGTGATAATGGAAACTAGAGGATCTAAATAGACTCTGACAAAGACAAAGAACTTGGGGGACCAATAATATTAATGCTGCAAACAAATCCAACAAAGTTCTGTTTAGTTCAGCTATAGGCTACAAACCCAATATTCGTATCAACATCACCTTCAAAAGTTTGGTTGATTCTGAAAAAAATCTGTAATGAGAAGAACAAAAGAAAAGAATATGTAATGAACTATAGTCTTACTCTACACGGTACAAGTTACTCAACCCTTATTCTTTCCCCTCCCCCTTTTATTATTCTGCTTCCCACCGTATATCGATGAAGGGGAGCTAGGGGGGTCCAGACGCGGCCCTCCCGGGGGGCAGGGGGGCACAGTGCCCCCCCTCTTTTTCAGATACCCCAAAGTGCCCCTTTTTACGTAGGAAAAGTGCCCCTTTTATTTTGTAAGAAGTGCCCCTTTTACATAGGAAAAGTGCCCCTTTTACTTTGACAAGTGCCCCTATTACTTAGTAAACGTGCCCCTTCCCCCTTTTCACCTCTGACGAGTGCCCTTTTTATTTTTGACACGTGCCCCTTTTCCTTCGATATGTTCCCATTTTCCTTTGCAATAAGTGTCCATTTTCCATTCTCATAAATCTTGAAATTATCTTGAATAAGTGCCATTTTTAATCTCTAGTAAGTGCCTTTTTTCAGGTACGAGAAGTGCCCCTTTTCACTTTTGATAGGTTCCCCCTCACCTCTGATAATTGCCCTATTCAAAACTGAGAGGTGCTCCTTTTACTTTGACAACTGCCCCTTTTTTCCTTTGGTAAGAAGTGCCTCTATTCTCCTTTTAATAACTACCGCTTTTTAAACTCCGATGAGCACACCTTTCATTTTAACATGTGCCCCTTTTATTTTCTAATAAGTGCCCCTTTTCCTTATAAGTGCCCCCATTAAAAAGAGAGAGCTCATTCCCCTTCTCATAACTACCCCCTTCCCTTTCTAATAAGTGCCCCTTTTCCTTATGATAAGTGCCCCCATTAAAAAGAAAGAGCTCCCTCCCCTTCTCATAACTGCCCCTTTTAAAAATCTGAACGGTGCCCCCTTCTTATTCAACAAATACACATTTTCCTTTATTATAAGTGCCCCTTTTACATTTTCATAAGTGCCCCTTTTCATATCTGGTCAGTGTCCCTTTTCACCTCTGATAATTGCCCTTTTAATAATGATACATGCCCCTTTTCCTTTCTAATAAGGGACCTATCCCCTTTTCACCTCTTATAAATGCCCTTATCAAAATCTGATGGGTGCCCCTTTCCGTCAACAAATCATACAAATGCCTATTTCCCATTTTCTTTTTCATCTCTTTAATATAATTATCTTTTGTACTTTGACACGTGCTCCTTTTCTTTTCTAATAAGTGTCTTATCCCTTTCGATAATTGCCCCCATTTCATGTAATCATTAAACGTGCCCCTTATTTAAAGCGACTAAGAGCAATTTTCCCCCAAATTTCGCTCGCTGCGCTCGCTCGCATGTAAAGATGATATAATTATGTTACTTATCAAAGGTCTTTTCAGTCTTCCGTTATGAGAATGTGCTTATAACCCCATCACGATTGGCTTTTTTCCTCTTTATAAGATGTAATTTTCGCACTGCGACCTCATAGATCTTTAAAATTTTTCTCGCTCGCTTCGCTCGCTCGTAAATGCATATTCAGACATCACACCCAACTGTACAGTATGATGCTTAAGCGATATCTTGTATGATGTATGAAGAGAAACAAATGATGAAATCATCCCTGATAATGTAATCACACTGTAGGGGTATATACCAATGTCTAAAAAAATGGTATATTTTCGCTTTGAGATTTCCCAATGTAGGTGCCCCCTTTTCCAGAAAGTGCCCTTTTTTGTTGGTGCCCCCCCCCCCACTTTGGAAGTCGCTCGGCCGCCCCTGGGGGGTCTTGCTAATACGGAACTGGTTTATGTGAAAATCAAGCCAACCTTGCATGAACTTTATAGGTCGCACACCACAAACAAATCTAAGCATATACTAGCCTAGAAACGATCCCAACATAGACTAAATAGTTGGTATAATCGGTGCTCGGGGGCTGTTGATCCACTAAATAAAATTAAAACGTGGTTTTGAATACTAAAATAATAATACTTAACTTCGATACCAGTGATTTACACAAATATTAATGTTTATGCCTTTAATGACATGATTTGCCGTTTTTCCCCCCTCTCATTCTCGCCCATTATGCCAGAAGCGGCACTCCGGGTGGGGAGAGTGGGCACTGTGCCCCCCATTTTGCAGGTGCTGTTATAGAATTCGTAGCATAATTGACAAGACCCGTGTTCTATTCATTATGCTATGTGAGGGCAGTGGCCTATTGTCAGCTAGTGCTTTTTTTTCTTTTGCTACATCTACAACAATTAGTATAAGAATTTCCGTTTCGGTTTAATAAAATTTGGAGTGGACTATTAGGCTATTATTATTATTATTATTATTATTATTATTATTATATAGGCAATTGCTTGGTAACTGGAAGGTACCAGGTTCGACACCCATCTAGTGTTTTTTTTTAAATTTGCCACATGTACAACAATTAGTATAAGTATGAAAAAAATACATTGAGATTATCAATGTGACACTTTAGTCGAGTGGATAGGCAATCGCCTGGTAACTGGAAGGTATCGGGTTCGACACCTGATACACCACATTTACAAATAATTCATATATTTGTTTAAAAAACTAATTTTGGAATTTTATAATAAATATTATTGTTGTTGTTGTTTTTGATGTAAAACAGTAAGAAAAATAGGGACTTTTTGCAGGGGGGGGGGGGGAGCAATGTAGAAAAAAACTATTTGGGGGGGCAAATTTGAAATCTATTTGAAATTTAGTCTGCTGAAATTTGAACATCGTGCCGGTGTGACCGCGTCGTTTGTCCTACCAGTTTAGTTTGTCCGTCGGACATAATATGCGGGTTTTCTGCTCGCACGGATCGTCCGCCGATATTTCACTCAGTGGGGGGGGGGGGGAGTGGGAGGGGGGGTAGTGAGCACTAAATTTGTTGGGGGGGGGGCTCTCGAAAATTTGAAAAGCCAGGGTGGCATCTAAACAAAAAGAAGATAAAATAAGGCATGTTTTTACACGTTTCTTTTCCCAAGGGGGAGGGGGGGGGGGGTAGCTGGCTCTCGTCGGCTAGCTGGCTCTCGTCAACATAGCCTGCGGCCGGTAGCTTTAACCACAAAGTCATACGGTCCATTGATGTTGGCTGCAAATGAATAGATGAATAAAATATGCATACGGAAAATTGAAATGTTATAATCACTAGAATTTGTGAACGCAAGAGACTTCTGGATGGAAAAGTTGAAATACCTCATTGTCTGTCTAGATCTTGGCTAATAGTATTTGATCCGTCAGTGTATATGGTCTGGGAGAGCCCAGAAGAGATGCTATAGCTATAGTTAGGCTAACTGTACTATATATTATTCTGCATTCTGCCAAAGCCTATATCATTTTGGTCTCCTCCTTAATCACCTGTTGGGACACTGTTAAAAATATTGCATAGTAATATATCATACACAGGTCGTCTAAAAATAATTGATTCTCTTCAGTATAAATTCATTTTAAAAAAAAGAGAAATTTAATATTTCGCTTGTTGGAACAAATGAGAGAGTTGTCCGGCACTAAATCACAGTGACATACAAAAAGGCCTACATATTCAGCCAGTTTAACTTTTTAATGGCAACCCAAGTTTGTAATAACTTTACTTGTATGAATTGGCCTATCATAATTATTATATATATATATATATATATTTAAAATATATACGGGATCGCGAAAGTCACTCGGACCGATAATAGGATATTATGTTTGAAATATGAGATCAGTCTGTTGGGAATCTTATAATTGGCAATTTGGTCAGTAGATTGTGATGTTTTCAACTCTCCCGTTTGTCGTGTACAAAAGAAGAAGTAATATTTACACGGTTTTCAAGTTTTTCAAAGTATCTTCTCCCTTGGGGCAAGTCTCAAAATGGATTGTATGTTATTATTGGTCCGCTTAATAGAAAACACCCTCCTCATCGAGACATACATTTTCATATAATATGAAGGCATTTGAAGAGCCATGCTATTCACTTTTCAAAGAATATTTTTTCTCTGATGTTCTTCCATACTAACAATCACAAATTATTTTTCACCTCTGCCCAGAACAGAACAGAACAGAACTCTTTGAGTACTCTCCGAGGGACTAATAAATATGTGTCGTGATCACAACTTGCAAAAAAATTTAACAATATGTAGTTTGTCCTATTTCGTTAAAATTTTCTGCTTTCTTTTAGAGCAATTAGTTAATTTTTCAGCTAATAAAGTAAACATGTTTTAGTATCTGTTTGCAATCTCGCACTAAAGTCGGACACTGCATCATACATGTGCCTCAGTCTTCGAGAACCTTTATTTGGGAAAATAGAATGTTTAAAAAAAATGTACCTAGTTACTAATTACTAGAAAGAAAACAAAATATTGTTTCATTTTTTACTCAGAAGTCGATGCCCCCCCCCCCCCCCCCCCCCCCCCCCCCCCCCCCCCCCCCCCCCCAACCCATTTTCTCTCACTTCGCCGCGCCACGATCATGGACATAGGTACCGGTATTAATCGATATCCTACCCGATCCTATTTACGAACACATTACCATGGCGCGGCCGCTCCTGTGAATAAAAGAAGTGCCGAGCAGACGACGACCATGGGAACTAAAAATGGACGATTAGATGGCAAGAAAACGCCTACAAATAAAAAGTTTAGATCTCGGAAGGAAAATGGAGGCAACAGGGAATCTTCGGGTATAAAGTGGATGTTTTCAACGTGGAATTTGGCCGTGATTTCACTAGGTAGGTAGCCGAAATTAAAAAGCAGCGAAAGCCGAAACTGTGATGATGTGGATGTGCGCTTTGCCGACGCTATATTGGCCCGGCCCAGCCCGTGTTAAAGCTCATCGTCATCGTGGAGTTTTGAGTTGGAGCTGTTCACTCCAGCCAGCCCCGCTCAGTCACAAAGTCAAACTAGGCAAGGCATTGGCAATGCTACTAGTTCTAGATCTATGCCAGACAGATATAGTCTAGAGCTAGAGTCTATCACTTTTTATCAATATCAGATAAGACTAAGATTAAGATTTTAATAAGAACTGCCTTTTTTTTGTTAAACGTAAATCTTATCCAGACCAGACACGGTTTGTAAGAATTAAATTGATATTTGATGTAATATTTGTTTATAAAGACTCAATCATGTTCAAGTGTACGAAGATACACCAACAGCATGGTGGCCTGTATTCATGGGCGTCAATCCTTACGTAATACTAGTCATAATTATGAAAAAATAAAATTCCAATTAAAATTCCCATAATGGCGATAGATGTATACTGATTTATCTTATACATCATATATGCAAAGCAAATTCACTGAGAACTTACCCTAAATCACAAATTTAATTAATAAAGAGATTTTTTTTTTTGCCAAAAATTGCACTGCCACTAACTGCCCACTTCCGTAGGCGAAATCTCTCAAAATTGAACCCGGCCGGGGCGGGAAGGGTATCATTAGCACTGGTATGTTCTATCGCTGAAAGGTTGTGGGCCTCTGGAGTTGTCAACATTCAATCACAAATTACATAAACTTTCCGATAATACCACACTTTAAGGTGGTCCCTACCGGTCTCATAGTTCATTTCGTAAGAACAGCACAAATAATCGCTCATACATGGTCAAAATTGCTCTTACTACTGAGCTGAAAGGTGATTTTGAAGGCAAAGACAGATCGGGTTGACAGTGGTTTTGATGTCAGAAGCTTCGTAAAGTTTTCCAAATAAGGTAAGTGCTTATAAATATTCATGAGAGGTGAATCACAAATAAAGAAAGTAAAATTCATCCGCCCCTCGTATTGGCACACACTGCACAAAAGCACGTTCGCTGGTGACAAAGAGTCCAATGCAGAAAGAGGGTGATTTTGCAATATCGCCCTCACGCGGTCAATAGGGAGCCTAGTAATACCTATTGTTCAGGGGGGATGAATGAATAGATCATCCCCCCTGAACACTATTACGTAAGGCCATGTAAAATTGATTTCATGTTGATCGTCCCCGCCCGCTTCCTTTTTGGGGGCCGCCTCCTATTTTTTGTTATTTGTTATTTTTTTTTTTTTTTTTTTTTTTTTTGAAATTTTTTTTGATTTTTTTTTTTTTTTTGAAAGAAAAAAAACATGAAAAACACTGCTAGAATGGCTCTATTTCTGATTTAAAAAAAAAAAAAATTGTTGGCGGCCATCTTGAAAAAAAATAGCCTCGACTGTCAGGGAAAATGTACCGAGCGGCCATTTTGAGCGGCCATTTTGAAATATCAAATATCAAATAACATGGTACACCCTCCTCCTCTTTTTCAAAAAATCCGGACGATCAACATGTAATCAATTTTACATGGCCTAAGGATTGACGCCCATGCCTGTACTTCAACAGAAGAAGAAGAAATGTGAACTAGGAATCAATCTGCATCTAGCCCTAGGCCTATACACTCAGTCACTTATTGAAAGAATTTGGTTTTGTGATATGATTTGGTCGATCCCTGTTATATGTTAATTCATTTTTTTATCTTCTCTTCCTCTTTATCCCATAGCTCTGACGTTTGGTGTGTTACATGGGTAAGAAACTAAGAATTCATGTTTTATATACCGGTAGAGACATAATTGAGATCAGTTTGTTTGCCTGTTCATCTGTCCATCTTGATTTGTGTGTACTAAATTTCGATATATTGATTTCCAAATTCTCTTGCTGTTTTGGTATTTCCAGAAATTGGTCTTGAAAAAAAAATTGACGGATGAAAAGTCTAATAGACTAGTTGTTAACTTCAGGAATAATTTAGAAAGGAAGATAGGATTTCTGTGTTATAGACATACAGTATACATGTACAGTAGTCTATATGAAGAGTTTAATTCCGAAAAGAGCTACATGTTCATGTAAATCCATTTTTGTAACTTTGGAGAAAAAAGAATTTGTTTACGAGATTTTATACAGGCGTCTATGGAAAAGTGATATTAGAAGGTGCATTTATATCATAATTGCTCCCAAAATTTAGGTAAATACTCTTGTTGAAAGACGGCTACGTAAGTGAACTATTTTCTGATATCAATAACTCAATTTTCATCAAAAGTGGATTTAGCTCCATTTGGAATTAAACTCTTCATATGTTCAACACCTCTATACAATCCAAGATTGGTTGAAATATTTTGTAATCTTATTTAAATTGCTTTGGATTCTGACAGGGCGTTCTAATGTTGCCAGCACCTTTGTTGGCAATGTAGTTGACTAATTAAACAATTTTCACAAGCAGTGATCCAAGCTGTTTCTCTCTAATGTCAACAAACATCAAACTGCTTCACGCAATGATGAAAAATGTAATTACTTTGTAATCTTAATTAGTGCTAGAGCCAATATTACAGTAGACACAGTGTTACTTTTCGTACAAGAGGGTAGTTTCAGTATGAATGCAGCTCAGAATACTTAAAGATAAAGACCAGCTATGGTCATGCGATTGCATTGTGAAAGAAACGTTGTGGAATCGATCAGAAAAGGTTAATCATCTAATGTAGCATATAAGTATTGGTGTGTACTGCAAGGTTCTGGAATCATCAAAATGATAAGAAATTTGGCCCAGTCTTGGTAAAGTTACAAGCACTGTACACAGAAAGATGTATATGGGACTACTGCGACAAGTGCGTTATATCTATCAGGTCCATACATGTAGATATTATAGAAATGATGCATGCACATGAGTTCATTATACGATCTATCCGCACTCGAGTTGAGGCTGTGTGTACATGTATCTATTGCACGAAGCCGTTAGGCTGAGTGCGATCGATAGATACACACAGCATCAACGAGGGCGGATATATCGTATAATGAACGAATGAAAACATGCATCATTTGTTTTATACAACGAAACTCCTACATGTAGATCCTTATTATTTGATGTAAAAAGAATTCATTCAAGATTAGTTTGGGACAGTATATGGCTGACAAATAAATCTCAAGTTTAATAAGGCTTAATTTAGTGCGCACACATAGCTATACATGTATATATATATATATATATATATATATATTAGCGTGGATGGTACCTTTGGGAGACAATAGGGGGTTTGAGCAGGTATATTACGGAGACAAAATGAATAGGGAGACAATTTTGTGTCTCCCTAACGTTTCAGCATGTATTTTACGTACTTTCCAAACAGATCAGCTCAGTTCAACACATATCGGTTGCATCCGTTTTTCCCCGCTTGTTTCATAGCCTGGTCCATTATATTGAGGGGGTCAATAAATTGCAGATAATCAAAGGGACATTTTGTCTCCCTATATTTGGCGTAGTTACAAAACTACATTGTGGAGACTTCATGTTTTTTCTTAATTACTAAAAAACTAGGCTCTATATTTTCATTATATTACATGTGGGGGTCTTTTTTTCGTATTTGTGAGAAACTGACACAGAATTTAAAAAAAGTTTTGGCTCCATGTTAAATATACACCCCTTTTGGAACAAAATTTTGTCAAAAAATCGTGACGTCATCACCCCCATATATCAGTGCATACTAAATGCACGTACATGCAATGTGCATGTGCTGCGCTGTCATGTCGATGTACCAGAGGCTACTGATGATGTGATGTCTTCTATCACAACGAGATCAGAGGAGCGGACCCCTATTCGCTGCAAAACATCCTGCAAGACGAGAAGAGTGCTTCTTAAAAGGTAAAATTGTATTGCCTCTTTTCTAGTTCTGACCTTAGTTTATAAGTTATGACAGGAAGTACGATAGTTTACTTTTTTCCCCTTATTTCCCCCCCCAACTTTCAACTCACACTCACAGAAACTTCCATATGTGGGACTGTGTTCAACATGGTTGAAACCCCGGCTCTGAGGCTCTGTGCCACATTATTCTGACTCTGAGACAACAACGTAGTCTGGTAGTCATGTGTTGAGAAAACTATTCCTTTTTTTTTATGTATGCCCAGATTTCTGTTAAGCTGGACAAACTAGTAGTAGTACTGGCTATAGTATATCGTGGTTTAGGTCCTAGCTGGGCCTGGCCTGGAGGACTCCTATTTTCACAGCACCAAACTTACGGCAATTTCGATGGATTTCTCGGTCTACTAATCTTGAATGGATTTCCTTTGTTTACGATGCGAAACTCTATTTAAAAGCGGTGATTTCTTGGGTTTTCTTTCCACCACGCGTTTTCCCATAGACTTTCTAGAAACAATAATCACAGTGTCGGACAAGAATCACGGAAACATAGCTAGAATCTAGAGTCTAGAGCAGAGCGTTTCAAATTTTATAATCGCAATAGCAAGATGACAAAAACACATAAATTGCTTCCACACATCATCAGTAAAATCAAAAACTGTATACTATTAAGACAGTTGAATAATTCCACTCTCTTTACTTACTCGTGAAATAAGGCTCTGCCCTGTACAAACCTATGTATAGCGCCTTCCATAGAGTTGTACAGGGCGGAGCCTAATATCACGAGTAATTAAAGAGAGATGAACTTCGCCAACTCTCTTTACTTACTCGTGAAATATGGCTCCGCCCTGTACAAACCTATGTAGCATGTTCCATAGGTTTGTACAGGGCGGAGCCTTTTTTCACGAGTAAGTAAAGAGAGTTGGCGAAGTTCATCTCTCTTTAATTACTCGTGATATTAGGCTCCGCCCTGTACAAACCTATGTAGCGTCTTCCATAGGTTTGTACAGGGCGGAGCCTTATTTCACGAGTAAGTAAAGAGAGTTGAAAATTTATTTTTCATAATTACTTGATAATTATGCAGTTTATTTTGTTTGGGCGGTTCTTGCTGTAGTATTCTGACGAAATAAATCCAATCTCATATTTATTTAGATTTAGATCTATTTCGTCATAGGAGTTTATAGGAATATGGAAAATATTCCTATATCTCCGCTGACGAAATAAATCCAATCTCATATTTATTTAGGTTTATTTCGTCAGAGGAGTTTGGGAATGAAACATTTTAAGAATTTTCGTTCTGACGAAAAAAAAACCAATATTCCCAAAAAGAGAAGTAATCTTTGTTAGTTTGTGGAAGCAGACACGCGACGGAGTGCAGATTCATATCGGTCGCGATTTGACTTGTTAGCTGGTTGGAAGTTGTCCGGTTCGAACTGTCCCTCAGAGCCTAATTTCACGATAATGCCGTAGTACTGAGCAGAGTTGTAGAGAAAATGAGAAGCTTTGCTCTGCCTTGAGTTTGACATGTTTGAGTTTGATGAAAATTGACTTGTATGATTATGTCAAATCGTCAAATCGATGCTTGTTTTCTCACCCATACTTAAACTGTTATTGTTAAGTTACTACTAGTCCAAGAGAACTCTAGATAGAGACATTTACATTAACATTTGGACGTTTTTTTTTAACATGTCATACCTTGAGTCCATAGACCGTCCATACCTATACTAGTATACTATGTGTAAAATACTTTGTATCTTACACATACATACGGCCACACACGCGAAAGTGCCTCTGTTCTTTACGCTAGCATCTGGTCATTTCCAATGACAACGCATTGTCAACTGGGTCAAAGTGAATTCGCTCATACCCCTCAAGCAATCAATTCCAAGCCAAACGAAAAAAATAACGCATGGCGGCAATGTGATTGTTCTGTGCTGCACACTAACTGAATAGGAGGCCCAGCCTGTGCTAGATCGATAAATCTATCACTATCATTGCCTCGACATCATAATTTGTATTTTTGGTGGTCGGCTGCTTCTAGCGATAGATGCGAACGATACACTGGGCAGTACGGGCCGAAAGAGCTCGGGTGATAGGGATACATGTATATCACTTACGGAATCAAGTCGATTTCCAACCATAAAATGCCATATTTTGGCACTTGGAATCAACTGTATGGTGCAATAAATATATTTTGGGCTACTATAATAGTTAAACTCATCGATCTCGTGTCTTGCTTGAATGTTATTCCATAACCACGGCGATTTTGCAGATTTTCATAGCATTTTCCATCACTCGTTTTCGTTTATCGCGAGATTTTTTCTTCAGATTTCGTTATAACGTGCATCTCTATGGCGGTAATAGTTTCCGCCATAGAGATGCATGTTATAATATGTTAAAAATGTTACGACCTTGTCTTTGCCGTTTGACAAGGCCATCACAGCTGAAAAATGAGATTAATCGTGTTTAGTCTTGTTTCAGCCACAAAGGTTTGTCAAGAGGCTTACATTGTCCAAAGATCAGGCAGTCAATTTTGATTCGAAGCTCGAGCAGATTAAAGCTAAGTCATATTCCCTCTTTTCGCTTTTGATGTTTTAATTGTTATTGCAAGTTTGTTTTGTTTTGCATGCCCATTGACGCATTATTTTAGTTTATTACCTGTTAGTAGAATTAGAAGACTTTTAATTATTAGATTTCGTCTTTTTCCCGTTTTCTCATTTCATTTTTCAGATTTTAGTACCAGATTATTTTAACATGTCTACATGTATGTACAGGCAAGCGCTAGTTAATAATCATATCAATAATCATAAACCTGTTGGAGTTATTCTAACTTCTAATCATCATGATCTTGAACAAATCAAACATTGGTCTTCTGTTTATCGATTTGATTATGTAGTTTGTTTCTATGATGGTGTTTATTTTATTTTTTATTTTAATGGTTCTGAATTCTATACTTATGAATACTTTGTAAGATGTGTTATGGGGCTATGGGGGGTAACTTTTTATTCATAAATCATGATCCAAGTGTAGGGGCATATTGGTAAATTCAGGGGTTTTTCCCTCAGGGTATAATTTTTTTTTTCTTTCTTTTCTTTTTGCAGTTCTTATCCTTTTTTTTTAGTTTCCTTTTTCATCCCAATTTTTTTTTTTTTTTTTATATTCCCGTTTCTTTTTTTTTCTCCAGTCTTTCTTTTTTTTTTTTTTTTTTTTTTTAGATATTCCTATCTTGTAATGTTTTCATCCTATTTTTAGTTCATTATTTCCCTCTACCTTTCTTTCTTTTTTCTTCTTTCTTTTTTTTTCTTTCTTTCGTTTTCCTTTTTTCTGTTCTTTTCTGTCTTTTCCCCTTTCTTCTTCCTCTTATATTTGGTGCGAACGTACACATCTTTTCACTCATTTTAGATTGACCTCAGGGTTCACGAGTGATCCCTGAGGTTACTCCAAAATGAGTGAAATGAAATGAGTGAACAAATATTCACTAAAAATCTACTCTAATCTCACTCTGAGTTCCATTCTTCTCTTCATTAAACCACTTCAAAGTAATGAGATTTTACCATATATTTTTGTTTACTTTTCATTATTCAAATCAGGTCTAGCATTTTTGAATTTGCATCATCTATGAATAAAATACATGTAATTTTGAAATAGCATGGACACAAATCTGACAAGGGAGGGGGGGGGGGGGGGACGACGACATGTCCCCCACATTTTTCTGGCTTCCTAGTATCTTTATACGGAAATGATGACCGTCTTCAGACATTGATGAGTTTTTTGTCTGCGTTTGTCAGCAATTTCCTAGGCATGCAGGAAAGGTACCCCTGCCATGTACGCCCCTTCCACCCACTTTTCAGCTTTTTCGCGACTTGAGCGACTCTACAGCCGCTGTGTAGACTGGCAGCGGACAGGAAAACAAACAAACAAACGGGTACATGCAAGACAGTTCACCATAAATATAAATATATGATCTTGATTCTGTTGAGTGGTAGATGTGAGATGTCATCTTTTCTTTCCACTCTAGATTTAAAGATATCCTCCAGGATGTTCATGTTTGTCCACAGTCTTATTTGCTATACACGTCATAATCATCATCTTTCTCTACCTGAATTTGTCCTCCTCAATCGTGAAGAATTTCTGCTTTAACATGAATCTGGTCGAGCAGCAAACATCTTTTTATTTCCACTTCAAAATCTAGGATATCCTCCAGGATGTTCAAGTTTGTCCACATAGTCCTATTTGCTACACTCATCATAATCATCTTCCTTCTCCACCTTGAAAGACAGAGTCTGTTTTAGCGTGAATAGGGAGTGGTGGCGCGGTAGACCTGACCACTGCCTCCGCCGCCGCTCGAGTGAATGATGGTGGTGGAGGCGCTGCTGCTGGTGTCTCGTCTCGTTGATGCTCTTCCAGAGGGTGTCCCGAGGCTGGTGTGGAATGTTGGCCACACCACTTGTTTCTTCACAGCAGCCTTTCGTCATAAAATAGCCTCGGTGACGTCAATATCTTTGCCGCCTTCCTTGAGATCTACCGTCTCGATCTTTCCTAGGATCTCAAAGTCTGCAACGAATGTCATCTCCATGTCCAGCTCGAAATAGTCTATTCTTTTTATGACTGCAATAATATTGATTTCATTCTGGACCAAGTAGTTAGTTTGCAAAGACCCATCCAAGATCACCCCAGAGAGGGTAAGATCGTGGAGGGCAACCAGGACCCCAAACAAAATCAGTGTTATGTTCCATCTGCAGACATATTGTATGACTTCTCACCATGGCGATGAATCTTCCTACTGGAGATGGTCTGGGTTGACGGACGAGGCCAGGTTGATCTGCAGACAGTAGTTACATGTATTCTTGTTGGCGTACTGAAACAGGCAGTACATGGGGTTCAGGACTTCGTGGGACAGCATAAAAAACCAATCCCTAAAAATACCAAAACAAATACATTTTTAGATATCATAACTAAACAACAATTTGGGTTGGCAGAAGAGGTCAGATTAAACAGATCTATAATACCAAGTCCCAGACTTTAAATAAGTCTCAGGACAACAAGACCTATCCAAATAGCCAATGTCTGAAAATGACCCTAGTTGGGGTTACAAACAAAATAAAGATCATAATTTTCTTAATATGCTGTAGGTGTTGGAACAGGCAGTCATACATTGGCCAGCCAGCAGCCATCAGTGTCCAGCAGTAGGCAGCCACTGGTATCCAGCAGTAGGCCACTACAGAGTCAGACAATGCAGACCCAGAAAAGTATGTACAATCTGATAAAATTTTCTGCTTTAACATTTTTAAAGATGCATAATAATTGCAGTGCAGTTGCAGTTGCTGTAGGCAACAAAATGTTCATGTTAGCCAGCTTGAAGAGGAGCTGCTTATTAAAGAGATTCTGTACTTAAAAATTCAGGGTTCAAGACTCATTTGCAATATAAGAAAATAAAATAGTGCACCTTTTTAAATTCAATTGACACCCTGAAAATTAAACATTTGCCATGCTATGTCAATGCGCAAGCTAATATTACTCCGTGTAAGATTGCACATCAGAGTGTTTTTGTAGTTGAACTGACATTTTCTTTTTTGCATATTTCTTTTTTGGACTGTCTAGGTACAATGGTTGGTCAAAGAAGGAAGCGTATAAAGCCTGACAAAGAAGCAGAGATATATATCAGAAAACAGGAAGACAAACAAGGTTTTGTTGTCAAGGAAATTCCTCTGAAAGGTAAGGGGTTCTAATATCTTTGTTATTTGTTTGTTTTTGTTTTTATTGTACAGTGCTTGTTTAATGGTTAACACAACTACAATGATTCAATACATGTACCATGTATGTTCTCAATGGTCATGGGACACACGCTGCCAATTTTACCCGAAAATTCACCTTTTCATTGCATGGACCTGTCTTTTTCGACAGCTCCTCTCATGCATAAACACACCTTCCCAAACAGCTCCCTTTAGAAACTGGAAACATTTGACTGCATGCAGTAGACTGGTATGTGGGGCTCCGCCTTTTCGCATTCCTCAATTATTGCTTCGATAGTTGATTTAATAATTTTCCTGTACGCATTCTTGTATAATTCATAATTGGATCCACACATTTAGTTCTAGATTTGAAAGCTTTAAGCCCAATGTTAAATCCCTTTTGTTTAAACTTGCATTTGATTGATTTGTCTTTGAGTTATGTTCTTTTTTGGCATTTCAGTGCATTTTGAAAGCCTACATGTAGGTAGGGTGGATATACATACTTTAGCATAGCACCCATATTCATTAATATTTGGTGGAGGAGGCTAAACTTAAAAGTTGTATATGACACTGAAATTCCATAAAGTAATACTGTAGACTTTCAAATTTCCAAGCTGGAGGTAATGACAGATATGCCAATTCCTTGGCCTTGGCCTTTAACTTTTTACATTCAATGTTACACCAAAATGTTTCTCTACTTTTTTGCTACCTCCTTACCAAATTTCAACTTAATTGGTAATTCCTAGATGGTGAAAGTAGGATTTTCAGATAGAGTTCATTGACCTTTGACCTTTGACCCTGGGTGAATATGGCCAAAATTCCAACTTGCTCGCTGGTACGACAAGTGGTACCTTTGGACCAAGTATGATCAAAATTCATTCAGGATTTCTTGAGTCATCACGTAAACGAGGTAAAAGTAGTATTTTTTGATAAAGTTGATTGACCTTTGACCCTGGGTGGATCTGACCCAAAATCTAATCAGATCGTTGGCACGTCATGGGGTACCTTTGGGCCAAGTATGATCAAATCCATTCAGGAATTCTTGAGTTATCACGTAAACGAAAAATCCGGACAGACTTACGGAATGACGGACGGACGCACAGTGGGCCAGAATGAAAACAAACTGCGCCAAAACTATTTTTGTGCTTTACGTCAGTGCAGACAGCTCCTGTGCACTCAAGTGTAGTTTCTTTTTTCCCCATTGTCAATGCATTTTATCCCTATAGAAATGAGCTAAATTACACAAAACATTGCTGAACATTTATGTTTATAACACAAAAAGTTGCAAGTAGTACCAGCTAATAGCTAAAAGCCCATATGCAAAAATATTGGAATCTCACATTCACCATTTAAGACTTTTGGCACAGTTTGATTTCATTCTGACCCTCTGTAGGATGGACGGACGAACAACCCGAAAACATAAAGCCTCCGGCACCTTCCGTGCGGAGGCATAATAAAACATGAATTTCAATCTGACTGCTAGATTCAGTAACTCAACATCATTCCAAACATGTCAAATTTATTACAATTTCATACCTTTAAAATTCTCTAAAATTTGTTTTTTTATGTGGAACTGGCCATGATCAACATGAAAGTGCCCATGCTTAGTGTACAAAATATTTTCTGTGAGGCTCAACTATACATGTGCTTAATGTGCTCTCTTATTCCAGGAAGAGGAGTAGTGACTCCAGAGGAATTTGACAATGGAGATTTCCTCTTGCAGTATCCAGGAAAACTACTACCTGAAAGTGTGGCTGAAGCTCTGGAGGAGGATGAAGGCCATCCAAGTGTTTTTCGGTATTTTTTCTCATTCAAGGGAAAAACCAGCTGGTGAGTCACTCTTGGAAATTAACTTCCATACAAACAAGAATGATATTTTCTTGCCCTATGCCTTAGGCAAGTGTTGACTATAGAAAAGAAAGAGTGAAGACGAAGGATGCTTAACTTTCTCCAGTATTACTAGCATAAAGCCTTGTTACCAAATGGGACACAGAAGTGTTTATTTTTTTTGCCAGGTTTATTCTGACTGCATGAAAAATGTGCTTTTGAAGGATAAGTCCTCCCTTAGAAAATTCACCTTTATGAAAAATTAGAAAAATCAGATGAACAGACACTTAAAAATCAATACAAATAGTTACATTTTATGCAATAACAAAAGTAGGCATTTTCTAGGGCAGAATGGAATTGCCCATAACTGTAGTAACAATCCTGCCAAGTTATTCTGCTTGAACCTTCTTCGTTAAAAAATTATGCTATTTTGATTAGGGGGGGGGGGGGGACTTACTTTTTTTGTTGGGATTAGAATGACCCATGTACAAACATCTTACAAATTTGTTTTCCCCTCACTGGAAACCTCACTTCTATTTTCACTTTGAATTTTATAGATCCGTGGAGACTAATGATATGTCCTCCTTTTTCAGTTATGATGCCACAGAGGAAACAGAAAAGGGGCCTTCTTATGGAAGACTTGTAAATCATGGGGAGCCACATGAGCGCAACTGTAACATGAAGGTTATTTCTGTGGAAGATGTACCGTACTTGTGCCTTTTTGCCTCAGAGACCATAAGAGTTGGCAGTGAGCTACTTTATGATTATGGTTTACCAGATGCAAAGCTGCCATGGAAACATATGGTGAGTAGTTAAAGGGGACTTTTTTTATTTTGTTTTGTTTTGGGTTGTTTTTAAAGGAATACTCTTCATGGCAATGTAAACATAATTGTTATGCCTACGCTCACAGAAGGTGATGCCGGAGGCATTATGTTTTTGGGTGTTTCGTCCATACATCTGTACGTCCAAAGTCCGTCCTGTTTTCGTTGTGATAACTTAAGAACTGTTAGATGTATTGATTTTAATGTTGGGTCATATGGGACAATGATCTAATTAAATTGTGGTCATGAGGTCAAGGGTCAAAGATCACAGAGGTCTTTATACATGAAAATAACTTGTTGCGATAACTTGAAAATGGTATGACATAGAAATTTTAAACATAGATTATGTATGGCACTGGGAGGCAGACTGATCTGATCAGATTTGGGGTCATTAGGTCGAAGGCCACGGAGGTCATTGTTTACATGAAAATGGCACATTCACACGATTACTCAAGTACAATTTGATATATCAACTTTAATCGGAGATCATGTATATAAATGGAAGGCACATTTAAGGGAAGTAGGTTTTGGGGTCATTAGGTCAAAAGTCAAAGGTCATGTGGTCATTGTGTAAATGAAAATCGCTTGTTCTTGCGATAACTCGAGAATGGTTTAACATATCAACTTAGAAGTGAGATTATGTATGCACATACAAAGGGCAATAATCTGATAAGAATGGGGGTCATGAGGTCACAGATCAAAGGCAACAGAGATTGAATGCATGAAACTAGCCCCTGGTTCTTGGAATAACAGATAAACCATTTGACCTATAGTAGTATAGGAGAGGTCATTATTTGACAATTTCTTCAATAAGGCATGTAACATACTTCTGATTGCACGCAGCAGTTGAGTATCCATCTAGTTGTACAAGATGTACTGCATAATGAAAGTAACTAATAACTTGCTGCACAGCTGCAGAACAAATTTAAGAGAAAAACACAGATTTTTAAAAAGGTAAATTAAAGAACTGAGATAAAACATAAAAAATAGTGAGAGAGAAATGATAAACTCTTATAGATTAGTGAGAGTTGCACCTGTACTTCCTAATAAATTTCATGTGATTTGTGCAAAAAAAAAAGTATTTGCCCTATTTTAGATGAATTTTTTTCAACCTGACAGGGTGAATTAACTTCCACTTCCTAACAAACATTTTTGTAAATGCATTATAACTTGGGTACAGTCAATAAAATTCTGGTTTGAGTGAAAATTGGTTTCATGTGATTATTTATTTTTATTATAATTATTATTATTGTTATTATTCATTTATTTATTTATTTATTTATTTCTCACCAGGAGCAGCCCCCGTCTCCATCTAGCAGCCCACTTGATACTTCTCACCAGGAGCAGCCCCCGTCTCCATCTAGCAGCCCGCTTGATACTTCTCACCACGAGCAGCCCCTGTCTCCATCTAGCAGCCCACTTGATACTTCTCACCAGGAGCAGCCCCTGTCTCCATCTAGCAGCCCACTCGATACTTCTCACCAGGAGCAGCCCCCGTCTCCATCAAGCAGCCCACTTGATACTTCTCACCAGGAGCAGCCCCCGTCTCCATCTAGCAGCCCGCTTGATACTTCTCACCAGGAGCAGCCCCCGTCTCCATCTAGCAGCCCGCTTGATACTTCTCACCAGGAGCAGCCCCCGTCTCCATCTAGCAGCCCGCTTGATACTTCTCACCAGGAGCAGCCCCCGTCTCCATCTAGCAGCCCGCTTGATACTTCTCACCAGGAGCAGCCCCTGTCTCCATCTAGCAGCCCACTTGATACCTTGTCTCAAATTGTCCCTGAATCACATTACTTGCGGATGCCAAATGTCAGTGTAAGAATGTCAGTTTATCTCTCTTTTTCCTATTCCTGGTTGCTTTTGGACTATTCAGAACTCTGGGAGCACTGCCATTACAATGTGAACACTATGCTGTTACAGAAAAGCATGTAAAAAGTATTGTTTTTCACAGGATGATGATGTATGTGTTTACCATGAAAAGGTTATCAAAATTGCAATTATCAGGTAAAAGTCTATACTTTTACAATATCTTTACTTTCTTAGGGTGGGAAAAATTTGCCAAATAACATGTTTAGGGTATCCTGAGACCGAAGTATAATTACTTATTAATGGTCTTTTTTGAAATTTCATGTGGTGGTCTTCACTTTATTTTATGACAGTGTCTCATAAAATGAAACTTGCATGTATACTTGGTTTTGTTTCAAATATTTCTCTGAAGTTTACATCAGAATATATTATGTAAATGATAATTATAATACCAATAATAATAGATAAAAAGAAACAAAATTGTAGTAGGGCCCCCTAAAAAATGTTACCCCCACAGGGCCCTTATGGGTGCGTCATGTGTCGTCCATTGTGCGTAAACTTTGTACATTTTAATCTTCTTATCCAGAACCAATGATAGGATTCCAATCAAACTTGACAGGAATCATCCTCAGGGGTATAGGAACCAAAGTTGCTAAAATGGTGGGCATGGCCCCTAGGGGGCCCTGGGGGATGACGCCAAATGTAAAAAATATGTTAATTGTAAACATCTTCTTCTTAAGATCCAGAACTATGGTGTAAAGATACCTCTATTGATACAGAATGAAAGTTGTTCATGACATTTCTTTGGATAGCCCCTGAGGGGGTCCTGTGGGGATAACATGTTGGGGGGAACTACCAGGTGAAATGAGCATTTTTTCTACTTCTTTTAAATAAATGATTATATTTCATCCAAATGTGGTTGAAATCATTCTAAAGTGTAGGGGATCCATAGTTGCTTATAAATTACAATTCAGCCCCAGGGGCCCAGTTGAAGGTCCCCAAGAGTAATAAATTATGTAAATGCCAAACATCTACTCTAGATCCAGAAGTAAGCCATACCTGGTATTATGCTTACAGATGCCTCAATTTATGAAGAATACACATTGTTCATGACATTTATGTGGGTGGCCCCTGAGGGGCCAAGTGGGGGTAACTTGGGGGGGGGGGGGGTGGCCTCCAGGAGAAACGAACATTTTCATATCTCCTGTGGGTGCCAGAGAGAACATGCGCCAGATGTGAATTGATCGACCTCGGGTGAACGTTGTGCCCCCCTAGGGCTCTTGTTTGTTTCAGATGCTTCTCTGTTAATGAGATTTTTTATTCTCTCTTACAATCTATTGTAAAAAGTTGCAATGTTATAAAACTTCTTTGTGTGTTAAGTTGAAATGGCATTTATATCAAGTTGTTAGAATGTTTCTCATGTTTGTAAATATGGAAATCCTGTTAATTCTGGTTGATGTTTGAGGATTCAGAAGCCCAGATGCACTGCCATTCACGATGTGGACAGTGCTGGTGTTTTTTTTCAAAGAAGGATGATGTATATGTTTATGTGAAAAGTTTATCAAAATTTGCAAATATCAAAGTAAAAGGCTATACAGTACAATGTACTTTAAAATTAGCGCTATCTTTTGAGGGTTGGAAAACCTGATCAAATAATATGTCATTAGAGTTTCCTTAGACTAAAGTACATGTATAATTTATTATTCACAGTCCATTTTGAATTAAGAAAGTGTGATGAGGCATTAGAAAATATGCATAAGGTATTTCATGAACGCAGGATATAATTCTGAAATTTCAGTCATTAGTACAGAATAAAGAACGGCCATTCCGACAATTTAACACCTTCTAAAATTCTGTTTTATCTGAAATTTAGGTCATTTGTTTTAACATAACATTCATATAGAAGTTTTAAATGTACAGGGGTCTCCTACACACCAGGAATCTCCTTGTTCCTATTGTATTATAGGAAAAGCTGAGCCGTACAAACATTTCGATGTTGTTATTGTATCTGTAACTTTTTAGTAAGATTATCTTAAGGGCATTTTCCATACATACTGGAAAGAAAATATTCAAAATAATTTGCAGAAAAGGTGGAAATATTGAATATTTGTAGAGCTGCACTATGCACATCACAAACCCTGTGTTGTTACTGCATTAAATTTAAAGATATACACAAATGTTTCACATCTTATGATTTAAAAGATATCCTTAGTAACATAAATACAGGGAAACCCCATTATAACGAGGTAGTCAGGACTATCAAATTTACCTCGTTATAAACGGCCAAATTCACAATTAACATTTAAATGAATAAGTGAATCGGGGTCAAAAGATTAGCCTCGTTATAACTGGTACCTCGTTATAAGTGAGCTCGTTATAACCGGGTTTCCCTGTACAATTTACCAACACCTTTTGGTTGAACCATGTTTGAGAAAGTTTGTGGCCAAAATCTTGTCATTTTTTTTTGTCCGTTTCTCATGAGCTTGTTTGATTGTGTGAATTATGTTTGTTTTGTTTTTCTAGTGGAGTATACAGGGGCGGCGGAACCAGGGCGGGGGGGGGGGGGGGGGGGGGGGGGGGTAGGGGGATACCCCCCTTCCAACTCTCCCCCTGTAGTACATTTGATTATCTGGAAAGACAAAAACGTAGATAGCGGGGTGGGGTCGGGTTTATTACTGTATGCACCGGATTACGTAATTCTGATCCCTAAATTTGAAAAATCTCCCTGCTGTGGGAGGGGGGACACGCCCTCCCCCTGTAATACATTTGATTATCTGGAAAGACAAAAACATAGATAGCGGGTTGGGGCTGGTTTTGAAAACCTTATTACTTTATACACCAGATTACGTAATTCTGATCCACAAAATTGAAAAATCTCCCTGCCGTTTGAAGGAGACACCCCCGCCCCCCACGCTCGGTCGCTCCGCTCCCTCACGAAGTGCCCTTTTTAACATAATAGTGTCCCTTGGGGCCTTTGCCCCTCCCCCCCCCCACAAAAAATAAATGAATAAAAATAGTAATAAAATAAAATAAAAATAGGTTCCGTCGCCCTTGGGAGTATATAACGCTACTAAATGAAATATATAGCATCAATGCATCATCATTTAGAAGCAGAGAAGCTGCGTCAAGAAATACGGAAGATAAATGCACAAAAAATTCAAAATTGCCATTCAATGAATACAAAATATATTGTGCAAGGTTGCCTTCGTAAAGTACTTATTCCACTCGCAAGTGTCTGCTTATTGTACTTTGTCAAACTACACTGGAATGAAATATGATATAATAATTACATCAAATGAAATTTTGGACTTCATTGACATATGTTTGGTTTCATAACCATGAGCACAATAATCTAGGTCAGGAATCTGCGTTGAAAAATAAAACGGATGCAACCGATATGTGTTGAACTGAGCTGATCTGTTTGGAAAGTATGTAAAAGACATGCTGGAACGTTAGTGAGACAAACAATGTCTCCCTATTTATTTTGTCTCCGTGATAGTCCTGCTCAAACCACCAAAGGTCTCCCAAAGGTACCATCCACGCTAATTTAAAATCGCCCCCATCAATATATAATATATTGTGTAGAATTGTCTCCTAAATATACTTATTCCACTCGCAAGTGTCTACCTATTGTACTTTGTCAAACTACACTTGAATGAAGTATGATATAATAATTACATCAAATGAAATTCTGGACTTCAATGACATATGTTTGGTTTCATAACCATGAGCACAAAAATCTAGGTCAAGAATCTGCGTTAGAAAATAATAATACTAATAATAATAATAATGTTTGGAAAGTACGTAAAATACATGCTGAAACGTTAGGGAGACACAAAATTGTCTCCCTATTCATTTTGTCTCCGTAATATACCTGCTCAAACCCCCTATTGTCTCCCAAAGGTACCATCCACGATAATAATACTAATACATGCGATTTATACCGCGCTCGCATCCCCTTTGTAGAGTGCTCAAGGCGCACATATATTACCCCCTGATCATCAGGTACATTGCAAACCCGCCCAATTATCTTGAGCACACTCTCAACTCCCTGGGGAGCATACAAGCCGAGGCAGCCACCGGGCGCTCTGGGCTTTTAAACACCCGACCAAGGTTCCCATCACTCCTGGGTAGGGAGCAGCGTTCACAGATAAATACCCCTGCTGAAGAGTATGAGCAACTGGGCAATAGTGGGACTCGAACCCGCGACCCTCGTATTGAAAGACGAGAGCCCAAACCACTACACCACAGCGCCTCCGAATATATATGTGAAACTTTAAAATCGCCCCCATCAATATATAATATATTGTGTAGAATTGTCTCCTAAATATACTTATTCCACTCACAAGTGTCTACCTATTGTACTTTGTCAAACTACACTTGAATGAAGTATTATATAATAATTACATCAAATGAAATTCTGGACTTCAATGACATATGTTTGGTTTCATAACCATGAGCACAATAATCTAGGTCAGGAATCTGCGTTGGAATATAAATAATACGTGTGTTAAACTTTAAAATCGCCCCCATCAATTATGCATATAAGATGTATATTTTTGTATGTGCATTGATGTATAGAATTGTCTCCTTAATATACTTATTCCACTCAAAAGTGTCTGCTTATTGTACTTGTCAAACTGCACTGAAATGAAATACGATATTATGTTACTAAAGTAAGAAAATACTTTGTTTGTTTAGTTATAGTACTGGTGCATGGTAATGAGGCTTTCATACCTTTTTAACATTGTAAACAGGTAAAACTACACAGTCGTGTTGCACCTGCATAGTTATTTGATTTTGCTCATAAATATGTATTAGGGAGACATGTCTCCTAAAGGTGGCTAAAAAAATTACTGTCTCCTGAATGTGCTATCTGGAGTAAAAAAAACGTTAAGGAGACATTTTTATGCACATGTAAAAGCTATATCTGGAATTGAATTTTTTACTGACTCAAATTGTAAAAGCATCAATTTATGCTGCTATAAGAAGCACTCTCTAATATTGTAGAAGATACATGGTTTCTATATAGGGGCAGTCTGAACAGAAATGTAAAATGTCCCCCAAATATACCTATTTTGATGATGTCTCCCAAAGGTCCCATGCAAAGTTATATATATATATATATATATATATATATATATATACTGTAGCAAGTGCACTAATTACCTCTGTACCCATTTATGCATAGTGCTGCGCAAGAATAGGCTCATGCTCACGCAGTATTAAGCGCCCTAACCTCTATGCGTACTACTGCGCTCTGAAAACGAGTTCAATAGTATTGGAAAATATTGCACTCCTTTTCATGAAAACGAGTGCAATAGGCTCAGTAAATGAATCACACGTGACCGCGCATGACCAATCATTTGATTAGGATCTGGGAGTGAGTTGTATAAATAATTTACCAAATATATCAATTAGTAGGCAGTATTGATGACGTTAATTCAGCACAAACAGTACACCCTCATCCACCAACTGTCTATTTAAAAAAAGGAGTCCTGCCAATGCCGTGTTATGATACCATGACGTTTAATGCGCAAAGCGCGAAGCAATGCACAATGACTGAACTTCTGAAGCGAAGTGACGTGTAGTAACCATGAAGTGTGGTTCAATCTGTATACAAACAAACAAAACATAAACAATAATAAATACCTTGCTTATAAATCAACAATCCCAAGCATTATCTAATACTCTTCTATTGTAAGTCAAATAGCGGAATCTTATTACCACTTAACTGCTTTAATTAGCTTGACTTCGTCAATATTAATGAACATATCATACAAAACGTCCATTTACACCCACTGACTGTCAATGTCATTAGTCAAATTCTACACAACTCAAAATTAACCATGCCAGTTTTGTGGCTAAATCATCCTTTCACATTACTAAGTAATTTACCTACGGCTATCTTGCCTGTTAACCTCATAACATTTATATCCCTAACCTTACATGTCATTATTTATACGTGCCTTTACCAACTCACACACATGTACAATCTTATGCACTTGTTTATACATGCTCATGCGAGCAGCCATTTTAAAATGCCCAACCATGTAGCTATTTCAAGCTTTTCATCAAATACAGTTACTAATACACCTTAAATTATCAAAAATTAATAATTATACTATTCTTTAACATCTTACATGTAACTACATGATTGACATTAATTAACACTTACAACATTGGGCCTCGACAGGATTGACTTGATTAATAGTCGGCGGAATCACTGGGTAAATCTTCCCACTTACATGTACAGAAGAATTTGCTGTCCGTAGTGATAAACGCCCCCAACGGCCAAACTAATTTATTACGAAAATGAGGACAAAATTCTGTCCGCAACAGGCGGTTTCTCTGCAAAATTTGTATGATCAAGTTTAAGTCAAAACATTCTTTCACATGATTGGTAATAAGAGCTTCCATTTCTTTTTTTGAGAGGAGGGCGTTTTCAAAACTGGTCTTAACCTTTAAGAATTTTTTTTACTGAAAGTACTACAAATTGTTTTTCGTCATGTAGGTGCTTCACAATTGTGTAGATGATGAGAATTTATTCAGAATTGTTTGATTTATATCGTAACAGGTGGCACATCTCTAGTATGTTTGAGAATGACAGATTCTTCTCACATTTATCTGACCTGGAAAGAGAGATGACATTCAGAACAGAAATGGTGAGCTTATAAATTATACACACATGCACACCATCAGTTATCATAGGCCTTCCTTTAGTAGTATAATTTTATCAAAGTAAATCAGTTATTGTAATGACTTCTTACTTGTACCATTCCATTCTGTATGTAAGTTATTTCAACTTTCCATATTCTCTCTTTTCATGTTTTAAATTTATGTGATAAACAAAATAATGGATTTTCAAAACATATTTCTCAAGCATTGTATTTTTGAGTAAATATAATTTGTCACTTGACCTTGATTTGCAAGTTTTAATGGTACAATGTAAAGTGAAATGATATTGCAAACATGCACAATTCAGTCTTTTTTTATTTTGACAAGGGGCTGCCTGAGGTTGTTTCCATGTTAAGCCATTGTGATTCCTGTATTAAGCTCTTGGCGAGCTCCACGCTTTTCTTCTTACAAGGGGGCTGGATACAGAAATTCAAGTGCAATGATCCCTTCTGAACCCATTGCCTACTGGAACCGGATGGTCCCTGTATTAATCCAATGGGGATAAAAGAAATTGGTAACCAATGGGTTAATATTTAATAACTTGAGGGGTTTAGTGTGAATTCATGTACAGGAAGTTCATCTCAGACTCCAGGAGGGTGTTTCACAAAGCCTTTTTTTCAATGACAAATGACAAACATCAGTGACAAATCTGCTGATAACCAATCAGAAGCAAGGATTTCAGTAGCTTATAACAAAAACTGTAATTTGTCACTGATGACAGGTTTTGTGAAACGCCCCCCTATTATTGTCAGGTCCTGTCAATGAGTATTAAAATAATTTCTTTCTATTTTGTCTTCAGGGGTTGTATTACTCTTACTATAAGACGATGATATCGGCCCCTAGCATGGGACAGGGTCTACTTGCTATCATGCATGATAATGTGACGGAGTATCCCAGCACCATCAACACGCTCAAGAGATTCAATCTCTACCCTGAGGTGAGGAATCATGATTGAATTCATAATTATCATAATCATAGGAACAGGTACTGTCTTAAGTGCCAAAGCCAATAGAACGGTTTACTATCATATTTACATTTAATGCATACTTTTTAGAAAAAGGTTGTTCTTGACAACCTGTTAGCTTTCCCAAGGCTTACCTGGCATAGCAACAAGTAATGTATGCAGACTGGATTCAAAGTATTGTAATTCATTCATTATTAAACGGTTAATGGAATAACTCAATATTGGGATCCAAGGAAAGAAATATCCATACATTTGAGTATTTGGGTAAAGCGGTTTTATTGAATCACCAGTATGTTTTAGTTTTTTTTTAAACTACTACCAGTAACTTAGCTTTGATTAAGTTGCAGCATTATGAACAACTAAAGATCATAGATGTAGTGCTCTGTATATTCCTACTTGGTTGCATCTATGTATGATAATAGTTGGGATATGTGTATCTAATTTATCAACATATTTCCATTGGCCTTAAAAACTAGATGTATCCCTTGTATTAGTAGGCTACATGTACATGTATGTAGCCAAATATTTTCAAGGTTGACAAGAAATACATTGATTCCTACATCTGGGACGGGACAGATACATGTACTGTAACTATAGATAGAATCTTTTGTCTGGTACAGTAAAACATTTTTTCACCAAGATAAGAATATTTTTCTTTATTTGAATATTTCCAGCTTGGTTCAGGCATATTCTCACATTTTTGCGCAATCTGAGATGCCTAAATTCTTAACTGAAGCTCTGCTTGTACAAGTGATTTGATGTGTTTTTTTCCTGTCAGGTTGTATTAGCAGCTGGTTTTAGATTCTATGATGGAGTCACAAAACTCCTGGATATCAAGACTAAGGATTGTTACACAGTAAACAGAGGAAGAGGTCTCAGTCCAGTACTTAATTGTGAAGGTAAGATGGGGATTTTTTTTGTTTTTAAATAAATATTTAAAAAATATATAAATGTATGTAGAGTCAGTCAAGTGGTTTCATAACTTGACTAGGAATGCAGAGGTCATGGGTTGTAGCCCTAGCATGGCACATGTATACATTGCTCCTCTTCTTCCAGGGGAGAAGAATAAGAGGAGAAGGGGAGAAGAACAAAGAATAAGATCAACTTTAAGTTGGACGTAACTATGGCAGGCCTTTCATGCCACTATTTTCTCTCATTATTTGGTTTCTCAAGGGCAGACCAATGGTGGTCACAAATCTACAGAATTTACATTTTTTTATCGTTCATCATTGAAGGAAAGGTATTATCTAAAGATCAATGGAGAGATAAATGGAGAGAGCAACCAGTGGCATGAATGGCCTACCATAGTTGAGTCCAACTTCAAGTTGATCTTAGTCTTTGTGAAACACCCCCTGGTATTATAAGTCATTGTGGTTTGATAAGCATGTGATTCTTTGATAAGGGCAACTGGCTGGAATGCTTCCTAGAGGAGTGGAAAATATACATTTAATTTGCAGAATTGTAATTAGGAATCCAGTGACCAGGGTAACAATATTTTGCGTTGAGAATGGATTGATTAAAGCCCCACTGCTCTAGTTATAGCTACTTGCGCCCTCTATACATACAGTCAACAAGGCATAAGCGGTACCCGTTGATCCCCCACGATGCCCTTTTTCTTACGTTAATTGAGAGCTGATTTGATGAGAATACCACCTGCCAGTTACCATGCAGGGAGGTCTAGTTCCTCCTGGCCAAACTAGTGCAGAGAGGCTTTAATGCATCAGGATTCCTGTAATACATGTACTTTATCCTTCATTTTGTCCTATTTTAATTCTCAGGAATGGGAGATCCAGCTTATTACTATGTGAATTGGATCTTCATTGAGAACGGCTTCTTGGTGTCTCTCTTATTCATCTTTGCTACATACCTCAGTGAAAGCCTTCTTGGTGGTCTAATAACTGTAGCTGCTTTCTTCTATAACCATGGAGAGGTAGGAATGTTTTTTTCATTTATTCAAGCCTGATCATTACCCAATTTAAATCTGTTTCCCGATAAAAAATAAAAAAAATCCTGATTTTTTTTTTCAGCTTTAATTTTTTTTTTTTTTTTACTTCCAGATTTTTCCTGATTTTCCCCCAATTTTGAGTTAGATGTAACTTTCATACAGGGCTTGATATGAAATCTCCCCCCTTGTTATCTGTAGTCCTTAACCATTTGAATATGTTATATATTTGCATGTGTCATATGTAGCTTTCTTGGGGTGATTTTTATGCTTTTTAACAATGTAATGTGCAGTATTCATGTATTTAAATTATTTTATTTGTTTTTTTTAAATGTAGATGTTGCTCTTCAAACTTGTAAGATTATCTGCACCACAAACTGTCCATATTACTTATGAGTCAAGATGATTCCTTGTAAATAATTTCTGTGCCAGTTTGTTGTTTCCTTTCGGCATTGATTATCCGGTTCCAGTAGTGGGTTTATCTGCTTTTTGCAACTCACAGAGGGGGTTTATATATTAGTTTACTTATCAACTGATTACAATTGCACTTGTTATTTTTATTTACAACAGTGTACACGAGTGCAGTGGACCCCTCCGTTGAGAGAGAGCTTTGCATACCCTGTCTTTGTTCTTCAGATGCTCTTGGTTACCCATGTCCTCAGGTCAGTCAGTCAGGATGATGAAACTTCCTTTGTTAAAGGAGTTTATTTTCCACAAAAATCATCTTTTTTGGTGCCATAAGTGCGATATCTGTGTGTAGAATGATACAAGTTACCACCTTCTGGCTCCAAACAGATGAAATTTTTATTAGCGTCAGATATTTGTAGTGGGTTGAGCATAGAAAATCAATATGAAACATGTTCAATTTCATATGTTGTCCTTGAAAAATATGTTTGATTATTTCTGCATGGCTACCCTTTTATCAAATGACATTGTACTGATTTTCTATAGAATCACCTTATTTGTGTGTTTTATTGTTGATTTACTCTATTACCAATTTGTAATTCTTGATTGTATATCATTATCTGTACATTAATGAATTTCTTTTTCAAAATAAGGTTCATTTTTCCTTATGTGGTGTTATCTTTTAAATCTATTGATGCCCCTGGGTATCTTTGCAGAGAAATGGCAATGTAAGCGCATTATTGTTGTTCTTATTTCCAGGATTTCCAAGCCAATGTGGTATCACAGTGTAGCAATCGGTGCAGGTGTGGTTGCCTTCATGCTGCCATGGCAGTTTGCTCAGTTCGCTCTACTGACACAGGTAAGCGTCTGTTTTTCCGGTATATGTGTAGATATGTTTCCATTTTGCGTGTGTTTTCTGTTTTCTATATTGTATATAATCTGTATCTGATGTGTTTTTTATGGATTTGATTTGAATTGAAATCAAACTTGAAAGTTGAAACTTAATGATTTGATGTTTGACATTGAATCATTTTGTTGTTGTTGGTGTTTGGATATCATGAAAATGATTGTCTTCGTATTTATGTTTTCTGTCATGTCAGTTTTGCTCAGTTTGCTGTACGCTCTTGATTAGAATATTTGCACCTGTTCATATCATTGAATGTTCAGTAGATTGCACACTGAGAGACCTTTAACCTTTTATTCAGTTAATGTTTGTTCTTTTTTCAATTGGATGTGACTGTAATTGCCTCTATGTTTTCATGTTAGTTTTGCTCTGTTTGATCTCAGATCAGGGTAAAGTTATTTGCACCTGTTTTCCTCATTGAATGTTCAATGGATTGCCCTCTGAGTGACCTATGACCTTTTACCCTTCTGAGTCACTTTGTTCTTGTTATAAGGATGTCATGACAATAATTGCCTTCATGCTGTCATGCCAGTTTTGCTCAGTCTACTGCGCTAATAGAAGCACCTGTTTCGTACATCCTATGTTCAGTGAATTGCACTTAGAGTGACCCTTGGCTTTTAACCTGTGTGTCTTGCTTCTGGAGCTATTTGGATAAATGCAGTTGACAACATCAGTTGAATGTCTAGACCATTCCTACGGATGAATGCGTTTACTTGCAGTTTCTTTCAGTATGTCTATGTACATCTCTCTTTCTCTCTCTCTCTCTCTCTCTCTCGCCCTCTCTCTCTCTCTCTCGCTCTCGCTCTCGCTCTCTCTCTCTCTCGCTCTATCTCCTGCTTTTACCTGTCAAAATTTATTTTCACCTCTGTAGACATTAGCTCTCACTTCTATTGCCCCTGACCTTTTTATGTCACTGTCACTATATTTATTTCTCCATCTCTTGCTTTCCTCAGCAATTCTTCAGCGGTATTAAGCATTGATGTAACTCCTCATTCCATTATTTCATGTGAATCAATCTGTGTCGAGATTATGAATCAATTTTCAAAAATATGTTGCTATTGTTTGTTGTGTGTGAGTAATTTTTTTTTTTTTAAATCATTTTTAATTTGTAGTTTTAAAAGGGATGGGAAGGTGTTATTAATTATGTTTAGGGGCTGATATGTACATTGTACAAGTACATTTAGCAGGATTGTATCAAGTTTGGAAATATTACTAACATATTAATGTTTTCCTGTCATGAACTTGGCTATTGCACTGACTTTTCAAATGGGAAGCAAACACTAGCTGTCACAAAGTCTAAATGGCTCTAGACCTATAACAATGTAACATGGGCAGTCGTTTAGCATCACATCTATTTATCAACGCTACACGCACACCTCAGCTTAGCGGTGATCAGGGCATGAATTTAGCCGGAGTTGGCACCTTAATGGGCTCCCCACTGTGAGGTTAATCTAATTTGTAGTCCCACCTATGTCATTGTATGTTTGCTCGTAACCTGATTTTTGGGTCACCCTTTGTTTTCCTCTACCCAGACCCTGGCTGTGTTCGCTACCTACATGCTGGGTTTCGCAGGCTCCAGCAAGGTCAGATGCATTCTTCAGGGGCAAAGTGTAAGTCAATGCCTCGCTCAAGTACGGTGTGTGATATGAAACATACAAACAATAATACATACTACCACGTGAGGCAATATGTAGTAGTATGTGGTTATTTTACCTGACTGCTAAGAAAGCATAAATGCTTGTTAGTTAGCAACCAGAAGACCGACGGCTTTAGGTCCTCGAAGGGGCCTGGTAATGAGAATTAATGCCTTACCAAAGGGCACTTATGTGCTTTGCTGTACTACGTTGTTGTTAGGCCCTGTAGGCAAGCTCTAAAGTACTAGGAAATTAAGAGCAAAATCTTGAAAAACATGACACCCCCAATCTTTGTTAACCCCTGCACATGCACACATTAAATCAACTTTCTCAAGGTCTTTTTTTTATACACATATATATTCTAGGTTGATACTTGAAAAAACATATTGTTGATATCATTATTGGTACTACAAAAGTTTAACAACTTTTTTCTCTGTATCTATGTCTCTTAATCATCCAGATTGTGTGCTCTATATTTTTCAAGAGAATTATTTGTACTCAGAGAATTTGCTGATGATTTTGTCTTGAAGTAGTGGTTTATAATCATTAAACCATATCTCAATTTCTCCTTTAGCTTGGCCTATTTGTGAGTTACATAATGCTTTTTGGTAATGAAATGCTATTTGTGAGTTAGAACTAGAAATAAGACTATATGTATACACACAGAATTTGCTGATGATTTTGTATAGAAGTGATTGATAACGATTGATTCTAATCTCAATTTTTCTCATTTAGCTTGGCTTATTTGTGAGTTACATCATGCTGTTTGGTAATGAAATGTTACTTACTTCATTCTTTGCTGCCTGTCTTCTCACTGTCTGGGTAAGTAGTTCAGGGTTTTTTTCCTTTAAAATCATCGATTAGATTTCACTCTCATTTATTAATTAATTAATCCATTTTATTTAAGCAGGGTTGCCTCTTCAGTCTTCAGGTAGCAAACTGCTGTCCCTGAGGGCCCTGCACAATAAAAACAATGTATATAAAATATTTATAGACTAAATGAGTTCAAATTGAGCACATAAATATCCTAAAAAACAAAGGTTAAGAAAACAAAGATAAATAACATAAGAAGAAATATGAATACAATATTGTAAGGTGTAAGTTAACTAATTATAAACATATGGTATGATCAAAACATCCAACTGATAAATTATTCAATTGTCCAATACTGATTACTTTCGTTGAAAGAAAAAGAGGTAAGAAATAGAAAACTATAGCATTGATGAACTTGGAAGGTACTAGACATATTTAAAAATATGTGTGGAGAAATAGCTTGAAAGATTATTCCTAGTGAAAATTGAATATAATCATTCAATTTTCTGTAAATATTTAGAGATTTGATTTTTGGTTAATGCATTATTTTTCTCAAAACAGCTTATTCTTTTTATGGAACCTGTATTGGAGAAACTGCAACATAGGATCATTATTTGGGTGAGTACAGTGCATGAACCCAATGCAAGGGTGTCCTTAGCTTTTTGATTAATTCTTATATCATTGATCAAAATTTTCAGTTATATTGTGACAAAGATTGTCACAAAAACAAGACAATATGGTAGCTTTGTTAAAAAATTGTATTGTACCTGGTTAATGGTAACTTTGAGATCTCAGAAGGAAAGATGAAAAATTTTACATTTGATTCAACCATCAGCATTCTAGCTTGCTTCAATTTGAAATCAATTGCATTTTATTGTCCAGCAGGAATTTGCTTTGCCCACAATAACATGTGAATATATAAATAACCTGACAAGATGTTTTTCATTAAATATAATAACACAATGTGTAATTGTAAAAGCTTAAATCAAAATATTGTATGTTCGAATAGTGTCTAGCGTAAATTTATCAATGCATTTCAAACAGATAACTTGTAAAAAAGAATAACAATTTTGTTTTATTATGTTGCTTATTTTCTTCATTTTATGATTTTATTTTTCAGATATGTCAGCTATGCCTTCTGTTTGGTGGGACCTTAGTGGTGAAGCTAGTCCTCTCCACTTGTCTAAGCATAGAAGACGATGTAAGGTTCATCAGATTTTTTAATGTCTGTTAAGGGAGCTTTGTTAGGGAAATGTAGTGGCATGAAAAAACATGTCCAGAAATGGAGAGTGCATAATAGTTTCTTTTTTGACATATCTGAAGGAAAATTTAGCTTACATTAAGCCTCATCAAGATGGTACATGCATATGCCGGCTCCATATCATAACGTTGGGTTCTAACTTTTGTGTGATGAAATTATGATTTTAACCAATGCAGTTTGCGTTCTGGACCCATCTTTTAAATGCCACAACATTTATTTAAGGCATGAGTGTGTTGATTGATCTCATATTTAAGTGTGTTTTTGTAATATCTTTTTATATGTGTCTTTTCTTTTGGGTGTGTGTGTGTGTGTCTGTTTGAAAAACCAGATTTGTTATAATTTCCTCCTTTTTTAGATTTTTTTCTTCTTTAGGCTCACTTTGCTAACCTTTCTGTTTAGATCAAAGTGCTCTGAATACAAAGTCTTTCAAACTATGCTCTGAAAATGTGCTTCATCTTATGGTTTCAAAAAATTATGATATGATTTTTAGATTGAATTGCCTTTTATAATTAGCCAACTTTTCCTTTTTTCTTGTTTAGGCTCATATTGCCAACTTGGTCAGGTCTAAGTTCTCAAGATACAGAGTAGTTCATACTGTGCTCTGAATGATGATATGATTTTTAGATTGCACTGTCTATAATAAATGGCCATCTTTTACTTTGTTTCTTGTTTAGGCTCATATTGCCAATCTGTTCAGGTCTAAGTTCTCAGGATACAAAGACTTCCATACCATGCTCTATACATGTGCTGCAGAGTTTGACTTCATGCAAACAGAGGTAAGCAATCGTTCATTCAAGCATCATCGGTGTGTTGGCTCAGTCAGTAGAGCGTCCGCCTCACAACCGGGAGGTCATGGGTTTGAACCCGGCCGACGTTAAAAGATGGGAGTTGCTGCTACCTTGTTTGGCGTTCAACAATAAGGGATAGAGCACATTGATCTGGCGTGGAACAGTGGCTGCCGGGCTCTCGATCAATTGGGCAAAAAGAATTTCCATTTTTGATTTAACTTAATAAAATTTAGAGTTGACTTTAAAAGATTATCATTATTATTAATACATCAGAGGTTTTGACTTCAATGGAAAGTGATTGTATAACACATGCTCTGGCAATGATTGCTCCATGTTCAATAAACCAATGTAACAGCAATCCAGGACCTTACACTGCATGATGCTTTATCCTAACCTAACCTTTAAAATAAAACAATCAGAACTTTAGCCCCATCTATCAATATTTTTGATGAAATGAAACCGGGAACAAATGCCAGACAAGATTTATGATTATAGATTGACACATGTTTTGGATTGAATTTTAATCTTGTCAAACATAGCAAAAACTCTTCTTCAGTGATTCTAAAGTCAGATATTATATTATCTTTACAATGCTGCTTTATATTCACAACATGGAAAATTCACTGAAGATTCGTTAAACATTTCTAATTCTAATTAAAAAAAAGAAATATTGATTGAATATTTACATTTGTATGTCAAGCTGTACAGTAGAACATGTGGTTGAAATATTGGATAAAATCATTCAATATTTTTCTTAGCTTTAATGTATAATTATATATGATTTTCATCACTTTGCTTTGCAGACGGTCATCAAATTCCTGAAGACATTTCTCCTGCCTAGTTCAGCAATAGCAATACTGGTTACAATAATTCATGTAAGTATTTTCTGCATGCAACAAATTAATCTTTTCAATCGCAATGTGTTTTGAAGTTATCAAGGGAGACCGAATGCATGGGTGTATCAGTTTCCTCAGTTATTTTAAGATTCTTAACATGATAGTTAATGTTTAGTAGCCCCTACATTTTTTTAAATTTTTGGTTGTTGCATGTACATGTATTTCTGAAGGAAATATTTCGTCAGTGTTCTCACATGTATTTCTGAATGCATCGTTTCATCAAATTCATATTGTACCTTTCATGTGAGGTCTTATAATGTGTGATCATTTTGAAATAGTAAACAAAATATATGTAGGTAATGGGAATTTACTGCAAGGTATGCATTACAAAAAAATGTGCATATTTGCATTCAAGAGATCTTTGTCTTGCCACTTCATTTGTAAATTCTTGCTTGTAAACCTCAATATATTTATTAATTTCTCTTGAATAAGTACCCCAAAACATGTTTTGTTGCTGTCCCAGTGCCTACAATTTTTTCTTTATATAAATAATTATATCGCCATCAACCCATTGGTAATAATGGTTCAAATTTATTTTTATTTTTTTAAAACAGCTATTCAGGGTATTCTTACAGCCAAAGACGGAGGAGACTCACAAACACAAAAATGGAAGCAGCAGGGAACATGTAACCGAGAGGAATGATGATGTTCATGCCAAAGACGAACTGTGAGTCCCATTTTATGCACTTAGCAAAGGAATGATACCTTGTACACTGTAGCTTCAGTTTTACTTGTGACTTGTTAGCTTTATAAATGATATTCAGTTTTTAACTCTAGACAACAAAAAAATGTGTTCTTGAGAAGAGAGACTGATAGACAGATAGACAGGAAATAAAGTGAAACCTTACTGTATAAATTACTGCCTCTAGAATGCATGAAGGGAAAATGATGGTGCACATAAATATGTTTTCTTATCTGAATGTCCTTTCCTGCATAATTTAACGTAATTGTTGTGATGGAAGCATATTGTACGTATCTTATCCACATTTTTATCAGTTGATAACTTGATACCTAATGTTGCCTTTGTTTGGAATAGCACAATATATAGGGGGGGGGGGGGAATGGTGAAAAGTTATAAGGAAACAAAATCTGACTGTTTGCAACTACGTTCCTTTTACAGTACACTGGGATTTGTGAAGATTGTGACGTGCATTTTGACAAAAATGTTCTGAGGCATCTAATGCCTTACATCTTAATAGGCCTTTAGGAAAGCTTTATTTCATGTAAATCCAGCAGACTTTGATTCTAACGCTTTCTTCTCTTTCTTCACAGAGAGATCAGGCAGCTTCCTAGTGCAGAGGTGAGATTATTTTTAACATGAATACCAAATTTAGAAATTTGTCTTCTATTATACTTTCTTATGATAAAAAAACCTCATAAACAGTTTATTAAGGTAAAATGTAGTTTGCTAATTCCAGACAACAGTTACATGAACATGTACATTTACATGTACTTCCAGAGCAAAGTGTACTGCATTGCTGTATAGTAGTTCCCCAAACATGGATTCAGTACTTTTGCAGAAACAGTATACTAATACAATTGTAATAATACAGCAAAATTCAGGAAATACAATTTCAAGACTACAAACAGGTTTTTCGACACATGCTCTAGCAAAAACTGCTCTGAGGTCAATTTTCTACTTGTACAAATTTCAAACCACTAACTGCACCCCTGGATCGAATACAATACCTACTTTTAGCCCTAACCCCAACCTAACTTACAACACAATTGCAACTGTAACCCTAAGTGTAGTCTGTGACAAGGTAATGCGCAGGGCATGTGTCTGGTTACCTATGATACCAAATGTTTTAAAAGCTCCATCTTCTTTTCCATATTGTGCAGTTGGTTTACCATCTGTTGCAGCTGTTGGCTTTCCTGGTGATGGCAGTACTTGTCATGAGACTGAAAGTCTTCTTCTCACCTCATCTTTGTCTTATCTCAAGCATGCTGGCATCAAAACAGGTTGGTCAATACTTTAAGATTTTATTACTACATCAGATATTACTACTACCTAAAACCTCCTTACATGAAGGACACTTACTACCCCTAATCCCCTCCTTGGTTAGCTCTCCTAGTAATGACAGTAACTGTCATGAGGCTAAAAGTCTTCTTCTCACCACACCTATGTCTTATCTCTAGCATGCTGGTATCATGACAAGTAGTTCAATACTTTATGAGTACCACATTGCACCCAACAGGTTAATACCCTCTTGATAAACCCCTACATGAAGGATCATTCCCCCTTTCTCTTTGTTAGCTTTTGTAGCGATGGTAGTACCGGTCATGAAGTTGAATCAAGACAAGTAGGCCAATAATTTATGATTGTATCAGAACAACTGTCACTGGACAATTACCCTCTAGAAAAACCTGCTGGAATAGCATTATATATTACTGTTCATTATGCACGTGGAATGAAATTACTCTCTGATTTAGCAGAAGAATTTTGTATGGTCTTTTCAGTTCATCACATGCCAAGATTATTTGTTCTTAGTATGTCAAGAGAAGTGTGTTTTCATCTGCATGTTTCTCTTATCAGGGTATCCCCGATTATTTGTAGAGTAGGGAGGGGGAAGGGTTCAGATCATATTTTTTGGACCAGTTAGCAAGAAAAATAATCCAAAAGAGAGTGAGAGAATAAAGAAGGATGATAATTCTTGCAATTTTATGAATACAGTACTGTATTTTTAAAAATGCAGAAATAATTTTGTTTGAATTGACATCAATCCATAATTCTCCTGGCCCTCATTCTCTTCTTTTTTTTTTTCCTCACTGCACTCTGTAAATTAATTAATTTATCTTGTTGATCCATCAGATATTTAAGTTCTTCAGATCAGACATGCATCACCAAGCTGCAATATTCATCTTACTTGCAATGATGTCCGTCCAGGGCTTTCTGAATCTTCAGCATCAACGGAGCATACAGGGAGACTTCTCTAATCCACCACAAGAAGAACTGCTTGAGTGGATTATGCAAAACACATCAAAAGGTATTATGATGGGGTGTTGGGTGTCCGGACACTTAACAAACATAAAGACTTCTCTTTTGCCTTTTGGAGTAAATGGAAAATGTTTATCAAATAGCACTATTACCATCATGAATATTTGTCGTTTATAATATAATATAATATTTATGAAATATTGCTTTTAAACTTCAAATTATTGATTTAAACAACATCTGGGTATACCTGTCTTTTTTTTATAAACAGACAATGAGAACTACAAAGAAAACTACAAAGTACTAGAATAGCTTCAAACAATGGTATTCTGATGCTTTTTGTCTTCCACTCATCAGTTACCGTAAACACAAGAATGAATAGAAAACCAAGATCTATTGTTATAAATAGAAGATAGAGAGAGCAGAGAATATGAAAATCTACCTGATTGAACAACAGAACTCATGCTTTTTTCCCTCTCACAAATGTCTTTCAGATGCGGTGTTTGCAGGACCAATGCCTACCATGGCTTCTATCAAACTATCAACAGGGAGGAGGATAGTCAATCATCCACATTATGAAGATGCTGGACTAAGGTATGTACGAGTCTTAAAATGCACTTCTCATTACCCTTTTTAAGATACCTTTTTCCCACTTCTGTTTTGGCTTAACTGGAGTATACCCCACATAGCTTCAGCATTATGACATAACTGCCAACCATTCATTAAGGTTAGGGTTAGGGGTTGGGTTGGGGTTAGTGATAGGGTTACTTGTGGGGATGGGTATTTGCAGTTGTTCCTAATTTTTCATCCAGAAGAACATATGTATTCTAGAATTTGTATGAAAACCTCTTTAGAAAAGATTTCTGCAATGTTTTATTGAATTGCCACTTGTCTCTACTCATATAAAGTTAAATAATTGTCTACGACTTGTATAGAAATGCCGCTTTTGTTGAGTTTTCCAAGTGCTGCTTGTTTTACGCACAAAAAGTCCTGTGTTTAACTGTCATGATAATAGACCCTACATCTACATAACTGTACATATAGTTATCTTCTTATTCTTATATTATATCAGTAAATTTTAATACAGGATCACCCAGTTTTCCTAGTCGGTGAGTTAAATGGTTGCTCGCTCATGAAGAATTTTTTCTTTCTCCTTATGAACAGAGCAAGGACCAAGTTAGTATATGCCATGTACAGTCGCAAACCAGGCAAGGAAGTTCATGAGGGTTACAAGTCTCTCGGAGCACAGTATGCCATCCTTGAGAGATCCTGGTGCTCCCGCAGATCCAAGTGAGTTCTCTATATGACATCCTTTGAAATGTACCAATCGCCTACAAAAATAATTTGTGTATAACTCAGGGATGCCAGTTTTTTAATTCAGGCCCTGGCAATTTATTTTCAGGCCATATTTTAGGCTTTTTTGTGTACAAAATAGCTAATTTTTTTCTACATTGCTTCTCTCCACCCAAGTGTTTAATGGTAACCCTGTAGGATGCAAAAGTCAGGATTGCGAGTGTGTGTAAAATGCTTCAAAGGGAGTGGAGAATGTGTAGTAGACATGTTATGCCTGCAAGCCTGAATTCGATGAATGGGGTAATAATAGTTGTGAAAAGTGCTTTAGAGACATCATAGATGTACATGTTTTGAGCACTATAAAAGCCAAGAATAAAAATAATTGTTATTCTTTTGTAGGTTTGGGTGCAGCATGCCAGAGATATGGGACATTGAGGATCCGACAAATGCGTTTAAGAGACCCTTATGCTTGCGGATTGAAGAAAGATCTACACCCTACTTCTCACCGGTGTTCACCAATGGAGTGTACACAGTTCTCAGAGTCTGATGCAGTAATTCTAACTTGAGAATATGTTGCTAGAGAATTGAAGAAGGCAATCAGGGTTTCATAAAGTGCTGAAGAGAGAGAGACCAATGTGCTTGTGGATTGAAGAAAGATATGTTCCAGCGGTGTTCACAAATGGAGTTTACACAATTCTCAAAAGTCTGACAGGCTTTCAAATTAACATTTGGAATTCAGGAAGGTGCTACTCTACAGGTATATTAACCAGTGATCACAATTGGAGTCTATACCTTGCGAAATGGTTGATAAATTGGTGACGAGAGACCATCGTGCTTGCAGATGGAAGAAAGATCCACACCCTATTTTTCACCAGTGTCTACGAATGAAGTGCACACAGTTACCAAAGTCTGAGCAAATGCTGGCAAGAGAACATCGTAGTTGAGAATTGAGACAGGTTCCACACCATACTTTACACCGGTGTCTACAAATGAAGTGCACACAGTTTGATCAAATGCTGACAAAAGAACATCGTACTTGAGAATTGAGAAAGGCACAACACCGTACTTTACACCAGTTTGTGTGGAGTGCTGAAAGCCTTCTAAAGTTATGCTTTGAGATTGAGCATTACAAGACATTTAACTTTCCACCTCTTGTTCAGTAATAATGGAACCTTACCATTTTGAGTTTGGTCATCACATTTGTTGATTATGAAATAGTATCTTATAGCCAAATGCAAAAGTTCTAAATTTTCCCCAGGAGAAGTACACCCTTCCAATTTTAATCGTCACATTTTGAACTGTATTTATATGTACTACAGGCCAATAGCTTTCCAGAAAAAGAAACTCCATTTGAGGTTAAGTCATCCATTTGTTCAACTTCTCGAACATTGTTATTATTTTGCTTATTTATTTGTCTTCCCTTTGTTTCTCAGCAGTATATATACAATGATCAGGAAAATTCAAGGTATTTTGTTTTTTCTGCGTTAAGCTAGGAGAGCACCCACACATATACTATAACACAGAGTTAATGCCCTTCTGGCTCTATACAGACAATTTCTTGATTGTAAATTGTACATTTCTTGACTGAAAATGCAGGGTGATTAACAATTTTGAAACTTGCAACGAAGAGGCTGAAAGTAGTTGGAATTTGTTTCAAGTACTCTGTAAATGTTTTAACCAGTTTTCTGTGATTGACAGGAGATATTTCCTGTACTAGAATTTTAACAGACAATTTCTTGATTGTAAATTGTAAATTTCTTGACTGAAAATGCAGGGTGATTAACAATTTAAAACTTGCAACGAAGAGGCTGAAAATAGTTTAAATTTGTTTCAAATACTTGGTAAATGTTTTCTAACCAGTTTTCTGTCGTTTACTGTACTAAAATTTTAGTGACATACTTTTACATTGTAACAAAGAGCCTTTTGTATCCTTTGTATTTCCTTCTTGCCTTGGTATATTCACCTTGAATGTTTGCAATGTTTCATCATCTCGTGAGAACTAGAAAGACCCAAATCAACTTAATTTGGGAGTCTGAGAAAATAGTCAGCAGCAAAGGTATGATGTGAGATTGTAACTATCCAGTTTAAAATACCTTTACAAATGTACTTGCATGTAAATTTAAATGTTTCAAGTTTCAAGTTTATTTATTTCACTTTATCAAAGATAACATAATTGAACATAATGAACAATGGTAAATATTATAACTAAACATACAATATAGAAAACATAATATACATGATAATAGCTATAGCAGAGACTACCGTCATATAAATCAATCAATAAAGTGGGGGAATCTACTAAAAAGCAAAGCTTGTATTATGTAGATCCCAGTTCATAGGTTTATGTATATATAAGGGTATCTGAATTAACATATTTACAAAAGCATATGACTACAGGAGGGTTATCTTTAAGTGACACATTTTACTAAACATATTGTAAACAATTGAAAAAAGGAAGAGTTCTGTGCTTTCCTCAGCATAAACAAATTTATATATACATTAAATAAAATGATCAGTGCTTATTTTAGCCCCTCCGTCGCAATTAATAGAAGATTTTTACCCATATGTTAAAATTATACTTCAATTGATGTAAAATAGAAATTGTTAACATGAATAAGGCAAGCATGATTCTCATTGTTTCAAAAACTGAGTCTTGTTATCATAAAAACTGTTAACAAATAAAAGCAATACTTATGCATGCAGGAGGTATTTTTCCAATACATGCAGGATTTGTGTGTGCAACAAAAGAAGCAATGATTATGGAAACAAGGTACTGTTTGTTCTAGTTGCAGGAATATACACATCAAGCCTACCAGGGCAATAACATGAATATACATGTACAACATATATTATTCCAAGACAGAATATTACCCACCAAATGTAGTAAAAATACAGATGAAAGGTGTATTAGATCTATGAATTTATCTACATATATTTAATGAAAAGTGCTTGTAAAGTTACTGATGACTCCATTTCTTTTTACCAAGATATTGGCCATGTTGATGAATCAGTTTCATAAACTTATGTTTAAATTAATTCAAAGTTTCAATCCAATTCTTTAAATGGTGCAGATATACAATAAACCATTGTAATAAAACAAATATTTGTCTGTTTTTTTATATAGTGTATAAAGATGTCAATAGAACAATCAGAAGGAGGGTGAAAGAAATTGTAAAGCGAGAGAGTAAAATAAGGAAGAAATAGTGAGAGAGAAAGAGAGAGAGAGAGAGAGAGGGAGAGAAACTTGAAGAGAGAGACAGACAGAAAGAAAGAGATAGAACATTGAAGAGAGAGAGAGAGAGACAAAGACAGAGAAGAGAGGGCTAGAGAGCGAGGGGAGAAATAAAATGAGAGAGAGAGAAAGAGAACTTGGCTCGAGCAATTGCGTATCCAGAAATTGCAAACCGTAGCCTCCCCCGCCTCCTAAGGGAAATGTTTGTCTGTGTGTGTGGGGAGGGTGGGTAGGGTCAACGTACCTGATTAGCCCCCATATGTTGTAGGTCCATTCATGCTGTCATGCTTTTGTCCAGCACCTGCGAAAGGGAAGGGGGTGTTTAATAGTTGGCTTCACTCTATGTTGGACATGCCCCTCTGCCGAACGGGAGAGGGAATAAACAGAAAAATAAGAGATTCAAAAATTGGTGGCACCTTTCAAACTTTTATGTACGCTCTGTGTTATTTAAGGACTGATACTTAAGTGCAAAAAGGACAATATTAATTGAAGCAAAACATTAACAAATGAATGAGCAAAGTGAGTAATTGTCTGAGGAAGATGTCTTAACAAGAGAGTGTACGTAATCCCCCACTTTATACTAGTTTCCTAAATTGCCTTTTGAGAAAGAGTGCTCTAAAAATACGTTTTTCTCATAATGATGTATTCAAAATCTTAATTGGGGTGGGGCTTCCAATTAAAAATCGTTGTAATCACTCTCATGACAAGAAATGGTTCCTAGCTGCTTCAGCTAGTGATATCAATCTTTTAAAAATGACGCATGAATTATTCTGAGGTCAATTCGTCACTTTTTGCTTATGCAACACTAGTTTCATTAATCTAGTTTCAAATGAACGACACTTAAAACAATTTAAAAAAGATCTTCACGTAAACTTGTGAATCGCGCCCGCACTTTCGCCTGTTTGTCCTTCACAAGTCACATTCGTAGTCATTGCATGTACTTCGGCTATCACTATTGGTCTGTAGTTTTAATTGTTCTTCGAGGAGTACTGGGAAATCAACATCTAGCATACGAATTAGTCGTGAATCCTCTTCAAACATTTGTTGATTTGGACACAGCTTGTTTTTGACATATTCAGAGGTAAATATATGGTGTCGATAAGTGGCATATTTTCTAATGAATATATCTTGTTCGATGTTTTGTGCGATAGACCCTCTGCTATAAAATTACATGGAACATTTATGCACGAGTGATTGACTTGTGGTTTACGCATGATGAATGTGTCTGAAAAGTAAAGTTAGCATGAGTTATCCTTTTTGGGGAATTACATCCTTATATACTTATACATGTATAAACTTATAAACTAGTGTACTCAACGTGTCCCAATATAATGTTTCTTGTTCTGTTTTGTTAAATCGATTTAACAGTTATGATAACAATATAAGTTATTTCATTGTTTCTCCTACAAAGATCAACTACATATACCACAACATAGTAAGCTACCATGTCACATGAAACGGTAGCTTACCCAAGGGCCACATCTTATAATCCTAAATAAAAGGCGAAATTAATATAAATCTGAGTATCATTACCATTATTAGGCCTAATATCTGAAGCTTTCATGGTTTGAAGAAGACTCAATATTTGATATATGAATTGCACGAGTTCTTTGATTATTATGGTGATTTCATTTTCTATTTTTTTTTGTTCGAGATGCCGCTGAAAATGTCGTCTTTCAAACATTGCGTTTTCTTCTTGGTGTGTTTATTCCTCTTCATCGGAGACACGGGTAAGAAAGTCGGAATTCCATAAACAAGACATAACTAGATCGCAAGATAACAAGACTTTCAAAATAATAATTTAAAGGCAATTGTAATACTTTATTGCTTTTTTTTCTTTATTGAAATCATGTTTGGACGTCATTGTAATGTTTGCAAATTTAAGGGTAATGGACATAATATTTGCATAGGCTGTAAATGATAATTGTAATGAGTGTCAATGATGGATGATTAATTATCAAATATTAAGTAACCAACAATCTCCCCAAAAGTTTCTTAACCAGTTGGAATCATGGTTGTACGGGTGCAGTTTTGCAGGGGTGACACCCCGTGCCCCAAAACTTTGCTGTTTATACAAATGTTTGCTAGCGACCGACAGCTTACTTCGTGGTGAACATAAACCAGTTAACCATATAATAATAATAATAATAACAATATTTATAAAGCGCAACATATCCATCTCTAGAGATGCTCAAGGCGCATACACATAATTTTAATTTATATTCAACATACTTAAGATTAAAAAATATTAAATGTTAACTTGCATTAGATCATACAAGTTCATATATGAGTTGACGATGGCTCGATCGGACATTGGTTATTCGAAATTCTCGGCCGGGCTGCAACCCCTCCCCAAATCCCGATCCTCAATGATGGTGGTGTCGTGGTTCACTGGTTCACGCACCGCCAATCAATAATTTGGGGTCCAAATCCCTTGGCAGCATTAATCCTCTTTTACCACTCTCGACCCAAGTAAAGGATACCTGCCTGGTAGACATTTAGCAATTCATTAAATATTGTTTCTGCCTTATGGTAGCCAAGCTAGCTATATAGCCTTGATAGTGTTGGGGCTCCTGGAGCACAATGAAAGGTAGTTAATGAACGCTATAACAAACCAATATTATCAATATTATCAGACTGAATTTGATCTGATGTAGTATTCCAACACAGCACTGGAAAATTCTTTTGTCCTGACCCAATTGCTCACCTCCCCCTCCCTTGTCCCCTTTATTGTACTCGTCACTCAGGGATTGACAAAATGGCTGCCTATAGTTTTTTCTCTCATTTTGTCAACGCTCTGTGGCGAGGATAGTGATGAAAAGTTGAAAACAACGACTTACTATTATCTATATAATTATTCTGAGATCATAGTTTTTAACAAATCAACCGCAAAAAGCATGTGATCATTAGTATGTCATCTGAAATCAAGTGCAAGTTCGGGTTTATTTCAGTTTCATTTTAAGATCGAAAGTCCATGATATAGGCCAGAAGATAGCAGAATCATAATCGGTTTCTTTCAATAAGTTCATTCTGTATACAGTTATATTTAGCTCTCGTCATACTCATGGGCAAGTTGGTGACAACTAACAAGAAAGCATGCAGAGGTTTTGAAGTTTTCGTAAATAACTACTTAATATTTGTTTTCAATTTAATTCACTTCAATTCAATGTGGTTTATAAGAAATACAAAGCAGTAGTCAATAGGAGTAATTGCACAATGCTTACCAAGTAAAAAGCGTCATAAAATATGATCATCAATTAAAACAAAAAAGAAAAGTTATATGAAGTTAAAGTACATAATCTATATAAATCAAAATTATATTATCATACAGGTATACAGCTTTGGAAACAAAACGTTAATCATTATACAAAGTAGAAGTAAAAGATCACTCGAAGATTCGGCTGACAATTAATTGATGTATCATCGTTATGATGCAATATAAAAATCCAAATCTTTCAACTTGATTGTTTGAAGAATTGATGATCACTTGATAATAAAACATATTAATGAAACATATCGTAAAAATTAGAAAATGTTTGCATTTCCCATTGTTTATGAATTTCGACATTGGAAGATAAAGAGCATTTATTTACAAAAGCAGGGCATATCAATTTTGCAACAATTACATTGTTAAAAATAATGATAATTTAAAAAAAAGACTCTTTAACATTATATAAAAACTTAGAGATTAATTATACACATGACAACAGATGGCCCAATTGCTGGGCATATTGATGTTACTGGGCATTTTGATGATATGAGAGAGTATTTATATTAAAAGGGGAAAAAATCAGATTCGATCTTTGATCTTGACTGGTTATTCCCATAAAGCTTGTTTCAGTAATTACAAAGTTTATACGGACTTTGAACCCGATCGACATCGCATAAATCATTTCACCCATACAGTCGGAAGTCACGTCCGGTAAAATGATCTTCCCAGGGTAGCGAGTCAGGAAAAAACAAACAAAGATGACTTTATTGTTATCTTGTTAAATTTTGCACGTCTGCAACCTCCTATTTGTAAGAAGATGATATGAAAGAGCAATATTTAAATAACTCATGTTATTGTTAAACTATTTCTTCGTCAAGTTAGAGAGAGAGAGAGAAAACAAAGATATTGATCTGCTTCGAGCCGCTGGCTAGCCAAATCTTAATCGTTAAAAGAAATAATATCTGGTGCAGTCAAAAACACCAAACCGACTCAAAACAGACCATGCCAATAATTGGCAATTTATAATTCATTGTATATTGATAACACAAGTTCGGTTGGTGTCAGAACAGACCAATTCTGGGCCGTTTGGGTTAGCTTTATCATTTTGTTCGGTTTGTTTTAAGTCTAAGCAGCTCTAGGTATTGGTATTACGTTTGTAATAGTTTCTGAAAAAATTCGAAAGACTCAAACCAAATCTGATCGATATAGATATCATTGTAATTAAAAAAATAATTGCAAATTATTATCAATCTTTAACCATTAAAGAACCATGATCAACATTATCATGGATTTCTTTAAATGTGATACTTTAAATCACGCGACTTCCTGTTTCTGCATCATCATGAATTCAAGGTTGAACTTTCACCTGATGCCTGCATCCGAGTACACTTCAATCAACCTTCAAACAAGTTATATTACTTACTTTTTTAAATGCTATTCTCTTTTAGCTTTCAGAAATGCCACATGGGCGATTTTTCTGAACACATTTTTCCCCTCTTTTCAAGGATATTTTATTTTTGAAATTGTACACATTAAATGCATTCGGCTTCAAACTAATTTTGTTTCCTCTTAGCCCCGACTAGTGATTTAAAAGTTATAGTAGCTATAGCTTTTGTCTTATTAATAATCATCATTTTATATTGGGTTCTCTGGGAATTTTTTCATTTTCTTTCTATTGTCTGTACATAAATTCATGAATTCATTAACAACAAAAATTCCAAGAATTCACTTGTTTTTATAATTTCTCTTTCTTCTTGGGGGTGAGGAAAGGGGTACGAAATATAAAGTCAAAGTCTGCTTGGTTGGGACGTAACAAAGGAGTTGATTAGCTAACCAGGAAGGGAGGCGAGCAACACTCACACGCGCACACACACCCACTAACCCATCCACAAATACAAACCCACACATACACGACAGAGACATACATTGAAGGGAGAAACCAATTGAGCCCCCCCCCCCCCCCTCCATTGGATACTTGGGAAACTTTCGCTTCGGATGAATGTTTTACTCCCACATATTGCATTGGTGTATCTCGGCCGCAGGGCTGTGTTTGACTGCCCAATCGTATATGTTGCAGCAAAACTTACCACTGTACTTACATTTATTTGATTTCATTTGAATCTTTAGGACACATGCGAGCAGAAATAAATCGTGTTTCCTTCGACGCTCACCAATATCGGCTACATGGCCATTTACAGAATGTTCATTTTGCAGAAGAAATTAGATTCCCTCCAAATGAACAAGTCAATAAGTCATGAACATAATATTGTAAAACGCTATTAGTCATAATTGAAAATTCATTGCGTTTTTAATTCACTGAATAGGGAGGAGGTTGTATGATATAGATACTGAGTGATCCGGAACACATTCTTTTGCAATATTCTTGAATGTTTTATGATTATTTTAGATGCTTGGAGGAGAAGGAGACGAAGGCGCGCACCACCACCACCTCCACCACCGCAGGTGGCGCCAGGTTTGTTCAATACATTTATTTCATAGGGGACAGATACGAAGATTAAAAAGTCTTAATTTTTGAATCCTCAGCAAAAATATAAACTCTTTACAAATCCCATACGTTGCATTGTAAAAGGAAGCATATCCAATGTAGAAACATACATATGTAATGACCTTGTTTTATGTTACAATGTATACGAAAAAAATGTCATCGATTGGTAAAAGAAAATGAGAAAAAAATTGCATCGAATATTATTTTGGCCAGCCCATAGTCCTTTCATTTTCTAGATATTTCATAGCATTCGTCCGTTTCCCCTTGAACAACAACGAAGAGAGAGAGATAGAGAGAGAGAGAGAGAGAGAGAGAGAGGGAGAAAGCGAGGGAAATAGAGAGAGAGAAATATTTAAAAGAAACATAAGCTACTTACTATTACTATAAAAGCTGTTCTGGTAATACAATCTTTGCAATACTAACATTTTCAACGACAAAGACACATCGTTATATTAAGATCACTTATCATTAAAATGACCACTTGTAATAATAATTATTATTTTCCATCTAGTGGTAGTAGATACCACCGCGCCCACCTTCACTTATTGCCCGAATGACATCGGTGTCTTCTACACCTCAACGACATCGAGTTTCGTATCTTGGACGACACCGACTGCTACAGATGACACAGATTCGTCAATTACTGTGTAAGTATAGTCGGTGTAGGGTGTAAGTATGATCAGTGTAGGGTGTAAGCAAAGTCGGTGTATGGTGTAAGTATATATTGTCGGTGTAGGGCGTAAGTATTGTCGGTGTAGGGTGTAAGTATAGTCGGTGTAGGGTGTAAGTATGGTCGGTGTATGGTGTAAGTATAGTCGGGGTAAGGTGTCAGTGAATTCGGTATATACATGAAGTATAAGTGTATACACTGTACTTTGTAACTATAGTCTGTGTACGGTGAAGTGTAGTTAGAGTATGTGTAAGTGTAGTCGGTGTATGGTGGAAGTAAAAATATATGTGTATAGTGTAAGTGTAGTCAGCGTATGGTGTAAGTGAAGTCGGAGTGTGATAAAGTTGAAGAGTACGATGTAAGTGAAATCGGAGTACCGTGTACGGTGTAAGGGAAGCTGGTGTACGGTGTAAAGAGTAGTTGGTATACTGTTTAAGTGTAGTCGATTTATGCTGTAAGAGGAAATTAATCCTTCTTAGAATGTTGGCCCATGTGCAAACAGGAGGGGGAAGTATTGACAGAAGTCGGACCACGGTCAGTAATGATATTAATGGTTGAAAGTTGAGATCAATAGAAATATTACCATTGGCAGTTCGATGATGATGTGTTATGTCATACAGGGCGAATACATCCAGCTAAAATTATCTGTATATTATGTTCCGTCGGTTAGCATAGTCATTACCTTTAATCTGGACTTTGAGAGAGGGGGATAGAGAAAGAACCATTTTATCCTTGTCATCAACATCAGAATCGATCAGCCGGAAAAACAATATCTTTCTATTATGTGATTGTGATATATTTTCGTCCTATACATTGTGAAATAATGAACAAGGAATTGTGTTGTATTTATTTTTGTTTATCCAATGATAACAAATCTTTGTTATTATTATTATGTTGCAGTTTTGTATGAACTATGTTATGTACGAAAAAGAAATTGGAGTTTCGAGAAATAAAATCAAACAGAAACAAATATTTTCACTTTCAATTCCGCTTCCCGATATTTTTGTAACAAATATGTTATGTTTTGTTCCGTTTTTAGAGAAACATCAGGCGGTTTGCCCGGATCACTATTTCCAGAAGGAAACCACACTGTCATATATACGGCCCGTGATGGTGCTGGAAATACAGCGGAATGTGTCGTAATCTTCACCGTTAGCGGTAAGTAAATCGGCAACATGAGGAATCAGGGTGGGTCATATATTTCCCGTGTTTATTTCTGAATAAGTTCTTATTTGAGTTTTTACAAGCAATTGTCATATACATGTTCACCTGGCCTGGGTGTCGATCCGTAACTGATACCTATTAATCAGGGGGGGGGATGATCTATTCATTCATCCCCCCCCCCCCCTGATGAATAGGTATTAAAGTATCGACACCCATGTCACCTGGCATAAGTAGCACTTAAAGATAGTTACATTTAAGCTACAGGTTTTGGACTCCATTATGTTGCTATAAACTATATTTCTCGTATTTATACTGTTTTGATTTTCAGATTCAATATATCATGTGATGCTATGTTATATAGGCCTATTCCATTATGTGTTATTAATTTGTTTGTAAACTTTTCTAATTCGGCTAAACGCCGTGATGAAAGTTTATTTGAAATAAATCATTTTGAATGAATGAATGAATGGACTAAGCACAATGCAGATATTTACATGAAAGCCTATGCCTGGATCTCTGGATCTCTAAATGTTGTGTTCATAAAGACACATTAGGAACTGCCCTATTATGATCATAACTTTGACAAAACTTTATGAATACGAACAACAGTTGCCCATTCTCGACCCAGATAAGTGAAGATGTTATTCAAAGTTGCTCTCTTTATTATAAAAGCTCAGATAATTCGCGGGTAACACGTTATCATCGATTTATATTTTCAAGAAAAGACTCATCATAAACTGCGCTATTGTGATCATAATATATTATTAGATACTTATGGATAGGAAGTTGATCAATACGTAGCATGGAAAACGTGACATTTGCACTTTCGTTGATCTTTAATCACGCGTTTTTTAAACTATTATATTTTATAAATGTCTGTAATTGAGAAAGCTGTATATACTTATTTATTTATTCTAGGTTTCGATTAACACTCAGCAACAAAAAAAGAGGGAAAATAAAGAAAATATTTATAATGAAGATTTCTTAATAAATTTGTAATATAAACTTTTGTAATATCATTCATGTATCAAAATAACCATAAATTAATCCTGTTTAAGATGATATGCAATCAAAATCATTCCACTCACGCATGAGTGACGATAGCCATGTTTAACAATAAACGAGTATTTGACAAAGTCTTTGGCATATTTATATATTTGTTTTAAACGGTTTGTTGACAACAACAAAAATCATTAATCTATTTTTCTGAATCACACATCGACAGCTTAAATGAATGTACTCAGCATCCAAGCGTGAAATCCAAAAACGTGATCTTAATTGATGTTAGTAGAGTACCCGATTTTCTTTAAATGAATGTATATTCTTTTTTATTTATTGACGGTTTATATATGGAAATTTTAAACAAAAACGAGTGTCAATTTTGTTGCTGTTGCTGAATTTATACAAAGGGATCAAAGCCGATAGCAAAATAGGCCATGTACGTATTAAAACTATCCAGGAGATTAGTTTCAACTATTGGATCTATCTAAGGAAGTTGTTTGTTTTGATTATTGTTATTAAAAGAAGCTAATGACCCGATACAGGAAACAGGCAATGTCTCACTCTAAGCGCTAACCTTTGATAGCAATGATGAAAAAAGTTAGATCTAAAAACAACATGTCTGGTAACCGATATATTTTCCGGTTACAAGTCTTAAGAATTGCAAGATTTAATCACCGTGTATTAGATATTGCCATCGCTCTTTTTCGATGTAAACCTCGGATTAAAATATCCTAAAGTATCATATAATGTTTGAGAAGCTTTGCAAACTATTCAAATTTGGACGATATGCAGTCTCGTTGGTGTAGATCATTCCATCGTATTTACATTTAAGCATATTTTTGTCTAAATGTTATGACATTTTTAGGATCCTTATGTGTTAGTTTTAATCAAGTTCAAGTTCAAGTTTATTTTGTTTCACATTTCACAAAATAGACTTTTAGAACATAATATGAAATATACTAAAAGTATCACATTGTATAATCAATTCTTTGTAAAGACGTCGAAATTAATTGTATTGAATAGTTGGTTATACAGGGTGAAATGTGAGGAACCTATTAAAAAACCCAGCTTGTAGATTATAAGTCCCTCTAATGGCTCCACTTTCGTCTCTTTTAAAACTTTGCTATGCCATTGCTTTATTAATTTTTAAGTCATCGTTTCTAACACACTATTTCTACATTATACTAAACTCTGCTGAAAAATAAAAAAAGAGTGGATTGCTTGTACATATAAACAAAACAGAAAAGTCTGATTAAAATTTCTGTCGTAGAACAGCCCCGGCTTTAGACCACATTCAAATTGTATTGAATGTTCGGGGGCATTTTTTGGCGTCACACTAGGTACGCCCCTGCATAATATAAAGTAAAGTAAATACAGTAAACATAGATTTTGGTTTGAAGGAACAATGTAGCATAAACGAGGTTCCTTAAATACAATGTATACATAGTTTTTCGACATTTAAACCTATTTTCAATTTGGCATTTATAGATAAAAAAAGGAAGAAACTTTTGAAATTTTGTTTGGAAGTAACAGATACGTATATGAATACTTTTTTTTCTTCTCCTTTTTTTAAAAATATAAAATTTAGTTCTGCGATGCCCAGTTCTAACTCCTCCAGTTCATGGAAGAATAGTAGGTTCGTGTTCGAGGTTGAAGGATTCTAGATGCGAGTTCGAGTGCGAACAGGGCTACAATCTTACCCATAATGCTCCTCAATGTGTCGTCACAGTACCAAATGCATCCTGGGACGGGCCTACTCCTTTCTGTTCAAGTAATAATATTAATATCTTTCTTTTAAAGGTTAAGTAGCCTATTTGAAATCCTACTTGAAAAATGAGTTATGGAAAGCATAATCAATATTGAATGTGCATGCCGACAAAATTGAAAATATCCACCAATGAAGAGGCTAGGGACGGGAGTCCTCGCTCTTTCGAACAAGTAAATGGTGAATACAGAAATTGATATCAGAAGCATATAAACGTATGGTATTGAAAGGGTGGGGTTACATTGTAACTTGATAGAGACGTCAGCACTTCCTCTTACGCCTACGAACAAGGGTGGGTTCGAATCCTTCTTAATCGGAGAGGCAGGGGGTAATAATAATGTACACGGTCCCTTGTTCGGTAGACCCATTCTGTAGAACCATTCAAGTTCTATTTAATTTTCTCCTTGGCATTAAATGGGAGGGGTACATTGTCACCGTCTTCGTACTTTACTGGATAATTCACCCAGGCTGATCATTTTATAACGTTTCTCGTCTTCAGGTTCACAATGTGGAGCAGACGAAGTGCTCCTCCCAGATGGTCAAACGGTGGTATTCAACCAAACACAGGTTGGAAAGCGCGCCAATACTCCAATCGTCTGCGTAACAAATATCGGAGTTGGTAAGATATACACAAAATCTTTATTTACAGTATTATAGTACTGTTTATCTATTAGTTGTATTCATTAATTTGTCCCATGAGCGATAGGTATCTTTTTAAGTTACTGCATAATTATGTATGTTTTTACATAAGCTTGTGTTATATTTCGTTTTATTATACTTTATGAGGCCGTACCGATGCAATAGGCGTCTTCAGTACTCCGGTAATTGTGTTTAAGATAAGGACGCTTCATTAACAAGATACAGTAACATTTTGTTTTAGAGAACATTCAGTACAATAACGATTTAGAAAAATGATAAGATGAAGAAAACCAAGACATGGAAACAATTCAAATATAAATAAGCATTTTATTTTTATAAGTTATCTGATCTGCCCCTTAGTCAGGTCAAGTCCTGAACTTCAATTTTTTTTTTATTATTGTGTCCTTTGTCTTTGGCGTAATGTCTCTGTTCCTTCATTGCTGATTTATCAATAAAGTGATGCTTCAAACAAATATGCCGATAAGCATTATTCCAAAAGAGATTACATTTTCAGAAGACGGCCGATGAAAACTCATGCCTTATCAGTTTACACCGACTAAAATGATAATGACAATAATGAGATTAAATGAAATAAAACACAATCAATGGGGAAATTTGGTATATTGGTAAAGGCTCTTGACTGTCGTTCACGAGGACATGGGTTCGATCCTCATAAGATGTTTAGGCCTACTTTCCTTGAATAAGGTTTTTTGCTTACATTAGTCCCTCTCGATCAAGGTGTAAAATGGGTACCTGGCAATAATGGCTAACAATAACTGCAGTGCCCGCAAGAAGAGCAGTATTATAACTGATTTTGCTGCCCTGGTTAAATAGGACGCAATTATCATAATTATTATTTATTAATAATATCTTCCCAAACCCTTGCTTGCAGACCGCACTCACAATGTATCCCGTCTGTGTAGTCCTGATGATGAATCCGGAGCTATGTGGAGCGATCCCATTTATCCACAATGTTCCATGAACGACAGCGTCGATTCCACCTTCTCCCCTGTAGCGGTAAGTCGTTTAACAAGACAATGAAAATTACATTTTAAATTTTAGACTCGTGAAATATTAGTCACTAAAAGAAACACTGATTCAAACCTACACATCGTTGGAATCAGTGCATAAACATTTTAATAGTCAAAGATGGTATTGTAGTCTCTTAAATAAGTTTATTCATTAATATGTCACATTAATCAATAAAATCTGGCCACTCAGAGTTGAACAGTAGCAGTCGTCATGACTCATGTCTACTTCGACTCTCCCCAAGTTTTGAATGAAATGGGTAGTCATACTGATCAAAGCCCGGTTTGGTTGAATTTATAGCCTCCATTCCATTTACAACGTAAATGCACTTCTTCTTTCGTGTCCATCATCTGAGCTCAAATGTTCTGTCAGGCTCTTGTACACTAAAAGAGCCTTCTCATTTGCTGCCACTTGGTCTTCCAGGCAGCATTGGTCATCTCGGAGTAATAAGTGTGACATAGATGCACTAAATGGGACAAATGGGATTTAACTCGCCACCTCCCAACCACATCGCCGTATCTGACACATCGTAAAGAGCTTGTTTCATTTGTAAAACAGAATGATCTTTCATCTGAAGACGCTACCAACCAAACTCGGTCTGAGCTAGCTACCTTCATCGCAAACCCAGATAACATCCGACTCGATTATTTTGCGTCACGCCTGCTCAATGCAATAGACGAAGCTACTCTGTCTCCGAAGGTAATCATTCTCTCGTATCAATAGTGATTGGGGTACTACAATTTACCTTCTTATAGTTACCCTGGCACCAAGTCTATTATTTCAAAATGGACGGGATGGTTTTTCCATCACTCATCAAAGAGCTTCAAAATCAATGGTGTTGGGCATAAGAGAGAAGGGAACATTTTGCGGGAAGAAGAAGAAGAAAATATATCGAAATTAATTTGTACGTGACCATTAATTAACCTTGTGACCGACCCTGAAGTAAAAAGCTATAAATAAGCCCCACCCCCGGTAATTCCATTAATGTCAAAACACCCCCTTGATGGAGTTTTGTAAAATTGAGAAATTGAAAATCACATCCAATTTTGGCTTCTCCAGTAATCAACACGAGTCATAAAAAGTCACGTAATGGTGCTCATTTTATAAGCAACGCGATCGCAAAGACATTCGAAAAATCAAGCTAATACACTTTTAATAGTCTTCTTCATCACCTATTCAAATTTGGGAACGTTAAAAAGAAGTTTATGCAATCAGAATATCATTTCTAAAGGCATTGTACTCGTCCTTAAGTTGATTTCTCCGATGTATTTGCGGATGTATTTGTGATCGTGTTGAGGTTAAACTATAGTGTATGATCCTTCTGGGTTTCCAGGAAATCTTCACCCTTGTGGACATGGCTCTAGACATCAACGGCGATACCTTCGAAGAGGAGAGCACTCAGGCAGTCTCAGACTCCATCCTCTCATCCGTCGATACTTTCCTCAGCCGTATACAATCGACCAATTCTAACAGCAACTTCACCTACCGCGGCGAGAACCTGGTTGTAGCCGCTTTGAAGGTCGGAAGGACAACTTTCCCCCTTACCGCTAATATTGAACCGCCGAGTCGCGATGCGGATGATGACTTCATCAATCTTTCGACCAATGGGGAGAGCGAAAATACAGGGGAAGGTGTGTCGTCCATTTTCTTTCCAGGAGAGGTCCTGGATTACTTACCAGGTATAACAACATTATCTTGTAGATTTTTGCTTAAATGAGAAATATAGAATCAACGTAATCTTAATCTTCGTTCTTGTTAAAGGTACTATGTCCCTTTTGCAGTCAACCTCAAATTCTGTAGAACTTTGCAGGAATTATGAATATGTCATGTATGTCCTATCTGTGAAATTTAAACGTTAGCAGTGTCCTCATATTCAAATTATGCAAGGAAACCCGTTTACTTGCTAGACTTTACTGTCAGACACTATTGAGTGACTGACTGGCTTTTTTTTCTTCTTTGGTAATAACATACATGAAAAGAGTTGTAAAGGGTACATGAGCATTTGTCTACAATAATAACCCACTTCTTGTGATGGCCAAGATTAAACTGATTGAATCTTTGCGCAGCATAAAACGTATGACCATTCGGTACAATTGTCTGAAAATCAAGACTATTACTTTTGGGCTCTATAGCCCTAAAGTCGATTTGACAACTAATAGTCGTTATTTTCCCACTTGAAGACATTTTCAAGCCCCACCTTTTTTAGGGAAGTTCTAAATTAGTAGTTTCTTTCAAATGCAGTTGGAATTTAACTTTTTCATTTTTTGGGCCTGCAAATGGGACATAGTACCTTTAAGTTATTCTTATAAAAAAACAGACCATTATATTACATTGCAATGACGTTTATACTTCCATAACCAATATGATGTTGGTTGCATTCCTTATTCTTAAAACTAAACACGAACAGCTTACTGTAATGGTGTCAACAGCACTTTAATAACATGATCGCATTTGCCATGGGAAGCCCTCCCTTTACTACAATTTACACAAAAGTAAATTATTCTTGTATTTAAAGATTTGATTGCAAATACCGGGGGGGGGGGGTGTTTCATAAAGCTGTTCGTAAAGTTACGCATGACTTTACGAACGACTTGTATGAAAAGCCAAATGGGATGCTCAATCTTTATTAAATACATCAACTAAAGTTGAACTGTGCAGATGTAGATTAACATTCTTATGATAACAAACATTTTTAATGCAAAGTATATTTTTGCCATCATTAATTGAGGTTATTGAAAATATCGGGAAAAAACTTAGGGCATCCTATCTGGCACTTCATATACAAGTCATTCGTAAAGTCATGCGTAACTTTACGAACAGCTTTATGAAACACCCCCCTGATATCTTTATTGGATTAGTCCTGTCTTCCAACGGAATTCCTGTTTCAATTATAGGCCTAATGCAGACAATGTCACATTTTTTTCTCTCTCAATTACAGATGGGAATAACCCAGTAGCAGTCAGTGTATTTGTCTTAGATTCTCTCAAGCTGTTCCAGCCAAACTCGTCAACCCAGGATGAATTGGAGGAGAGCTCCATCCTAGTCTCACCAGTTTTATCCGTTACCATAGAGGGAGCTAAGATAAAAAATCTCTCCGATCCAGTGGTCTTAGACTTCACAGTCAATAGGGTAATTAATGCAGTTTCTTTCTAGTAGACGGGTTTAGAACACGAATAAGCCGTGGAAAGGCTTATTCTCATTGAAGCATAGATTTAAGTAGTATAGTTCGCAATGGGTAGATTGTATTTATTTTTTAATCTGAGAAGAATTTCAAATGCATGTCGAATCAAAAGAATAGATATCGGCTATTATCTAAACATTTTATTCAATGTCAATTATGTTTTTAAGATAAGAAAAAAAGAATATCATGATTATTCAGAACAAACAGAATCTGCCGGTCTGACCTACTCGTATGTTTTAGTAGATTTTTTCCTTCTGAAATCTATATTTTAGAGACATTAAATTACGTTCTTTTATTTCTGTTCTGTCATTGTCTGTAAAATATTGCAATTATTAAAAAGCCATTAATATCAGAACTAAACAATCTCATAACCTTTCAATGTTTGTCACGGTTTATTGCAGGAATTAATATTCTTTTTGTTTTACTCTCCATTATCATTTTATCACTTCTGATGGTTTTATCTTTTACTAGCTCCATGACCTTGTTGATGCCGCGACAATGATCAGTGTGATTATGGTTGCATTTTGTGTGTTTTCATAAACCATAAATCTATTTCTAATCAGAGTCTGATATCGGTCGGAGCTAAGCCCGAAATAATCCCTCGGTGTGTCTACTGGGAAAGACCTACCAATGTGTCTGAAGGGGCGTGGTCACAAGAGGGGTGTCAAACAGGTCCTATTTCTTCCAAAGAACTGATAACGTGCCGATGTAACCATCTTACAAGTTTCGCTGTATTAATGGTTCGTATCCCTTATATTGGTATAAGCTGATCAATGTTTAGTTGCCTTCCAATATCATCATAATTTAACGGTGTTAATTTATCTAAAAAGTCCCCGACAAGAACCCTCCCTTCACAAAATAAATGGAAGAAAATGAAATACAAAATGAAAACATAACGAGATTTTCCAGTATGGATTCTCACATTTGAATCAAATAAATGGATAAGAAACATAGGGCTTATGTTGTACAAGACACATTTAATAGAATTGTCCATAAATGTTCTTGACATTAATTAGTTTAAAGTCTAATGTTATTCTGTATTTCTGCTTTTGTTCATGTCTATATTTTTCTTCCTAACTTAAATTATGTCGTTAATGTGTTGAATAATTTGTATGTATATTGTGTATGCAATTTTATTTTTTTAATGGAAATGTGGAAAAATAAATCAATTCAATTCAATTAAAGGTAACTTCAAATCTATACTTTGACCATAGAATATTAGAGCAGCATACCATTCTAGGACCCTGGATACCATAAGTATATTTGGATGCATCGCTTCCATTCTCTGTTTAGTCATGACAATCGGATTCCTTGTTGGTATCAGGTAGGTCTTATCTCTATGTTAAAGATATCTTCTATTTATGACATAGCATAAAAATTGTTCCACACAGCAATCAAGATCGAGCAGTAAAATGTTATACATGTTATACAGATCAATCGACTGATTTATCTAATGTTATGTTAAGTTATTTCTTTCCTTAACATACAGAATTCTGTGCTATTAACATTATCTTTAATGATTTATCATTTTACTCATGGTATTCGATTTTATGGAAAAACTTTTAAAATGCTTTGTTACTGTATTTGAGAGTAGATAAGTCTGTTATTCGTTGACATGTCCAATAAGATAAAGGATTTTTTATTTTATTTTTTTTTTTTTTTGGGGGGGGGGGGGTTGTAAACTGTGACATATCTAAAGTAATTGTAACTTTTGTAATACTGCACAGAGAAAAACATAACATCCTGATCATTTTAAATCTCTTAATTATGATCCTATCAAGTCCAATTTGCTTTCTTCGAAATTTCACAGGAGTTTACGTCGGAGGCTTCCCCAGCAGATAATGATTAACCTCAGCTCGGCTTTACTTTGTCTTTACTTCGCCTTTGTTGTTGGTGTGGACAAACCCTCTTGGGGACTAGGCTGTACAGTTGTCGCCATCTTGTTGCACTATTTTACTTTGGCAGCGGTGGCCTGGATGGGTGTGGAGGCTTTTAGCATGTATCTTATGTTCGTCCGAGTCGTGAATTCTTACATGCCCAAGATGCTTCTGAAATCTTGTCTCGTTGGATGGGGTAAGAATCGCCTTCTATTATGCCTAACCCTGCCAGTAACTCAAGGGCGCATCCATGATCCTCTAAATGAGGAGGAGGAGGAGGAGGGAGGGGGGGGGAAGGTAAATTCTGTGAAAGTTGTAAAAATATAAATGAAGATTATAACAGGCTTATGTGACATTTGGGACTACAATTTTAGGAGGACATATTTTCCATTTGCATGACTTGTTTAAGGAATCCCATATTATGCTATTTAAGGGGCGAGGGCTGTAGGTCTACCCCTAAATCCGTCAGTGTAGTATCAAACTAGGCGAAGTTCCCTGTAAGAAATGAATAAAGAGTGACGTCTTTCGGATGGTGACGTAAATTGATACACGTCTGTAAAACCACAAATTACACACGCACAGACACACAAGGCTGTAGCGTTGGGGGATATATATGAAAGGGGGTAGAGTCACCTAGTTTGCACGTTTTCTTTACCATCTCTCTTTTTCATTCTCTCCTTTATCATCATTTTGCTCCCTTTTTTATAGGGGGTCCACTGCTAGTCGTTGGTATTACGGTCGCCATAGACTGGAAAGCATACCAAAACACAGAATAGTAAGTAAAGCCGAAACACATTTTAAAATTATGAACCCTGCAATATCCTTTCATTAAAATCATAACTGGCTTAACTTATTGGATGGGCAGCAGAGAGAAATGAGGATCAGGAAGGAGACGGAAAGGAAGACACAGGAAGAGTTTTATTAATTGTATTAAGGAAGATGGGAGATAAATTGACTTGGAAATTGATACAGACAGGACGAGATGGGGAGCGGTAACGAAGAGACCCAACCCTCCATGTAGAGGACCAATGTGATGATGATATTGATGATGATGATATTGATGATGATGGTGGTGGTGATGATGGTGGTGATAATGATTCAGACTAATCTTATCCTGTACATAGGCTTCGTTGGCTGGTTATTGTTACGTGATTTGCCTTTGGTTATAGGAAGCGTTAGTGGAGGTGTCCCGGTAAAGTGGTTCATTCACTTGAATCTTAATCCAAGAGTTGAGGGTTCGAATCCCAGTCCGGCCCTAACGTCCTTTGTCAAGACATTCATTCACATTTTGACAGTATCCACTCAGGTGTAAATGGTTTCCTGACAAGTAGTTGTTTAGTAGTTGTTGGCGTGCTCTAAGAAAGAGGGTTATGTGTTATGTACAGCCGTTGTCTCTGAATGCACCCAATTCAAACTGGTTATATTCTGCTATCTATGCCCTTACAGCTGCTTCATGAATCTTGGGCCGTCATTCTACTTCGCACAGTTGTTTCCCATCGCCCTTATCCTCACCATCAACACAGGCGTCTTCATCATGGTCATCTACAACTTGACATGCGGCAGGAAAATGGCGTCGATGAAAGAATCAACCGCTGCAACACAGCGAGCCGAGTTACTTCGCCGCCTTCAGAATGCTATAGCTATCGGTACATTACTCGGGCTAAGCTGGGTGTCCGGATTCATGGCGATCGGCAGCGCGCGATTCTTCTTCAACGTCGTTTTCGTGATCTGCACCTCCCTGCAGGGGGTCTTCATTTTCCTTCTCTTCTGCGTTCGCCTGCCTGAGGTTCGGCAGCAGATGATGCTTCTAGCCTCCCGTCTCATCCGGGCACTGACGTGCAGAAAGTCGGCAGTGTCATCGCGTGGCATGAGCACCAGCTCCACGTCATCGCGCATGACGTCATCACTTCCGTCTACGGTCACTGTGTCATATTCGGCGGGAAAATCAGATGTTATGCTTTGAATCCAAGAGCAACAGAGTTGTGTCCCCAAGTTCTGATAAATATCAGCGAATTTAATAAAGTGTATTATGGGAAAACATGAGAGTGTTGAAATCTATAGTAGATGTTGATATACTCTAACAAAGTGGGTTTTCACTAGTGTTGTGAGTCCATTTATTGATTTATCCTATTTTCTTATATTATTCCACTATGTAAAAACGATTTATATCCGTGTTTCCATATGAATTTGTCATTGTACATTTGCTGCTTTGTATTATCTATATGTGTATATTATTTTATATGGTATATTGTTCATGTGCTTTATGTAATACCAACAACTGAATTTCCAAATGGACCAATAAAATTTATCTGAATCTGAATCTGAAGTTATTTAATGGGTTACGTTAGAGGGTCTCCTAAGATACACGTACGTCTCTGTAGCATATCTGTTTAGGAATTCGTCTGACCTTAGAGGTGAATGACAACCGATATTTTTGTATCCTAAATCTGAAGAAAAAAACTATATCAAATTGCTAACCCTTAGTGCACTTATAGGCTGATTGTTTGCTGCATACTATTGGCGATTTTGATAATTTTCGGGACCAGAATTAAGGGAAAAATAATTTGAAAACTATTAATGGACCTATTTTTCTGCAAACAGTGCTTTTAAGACTTTTTATCGTTGTGGAATTGTGGAATTTAAATAATTATATCAAGTAACATGATTGTAAGAACTACTGTAGAATGCTATGATGAGCAGAATTTATAAAAAAAAATAATTAGCAAAAATATGTCATTTTGCCTTGTTAATTATATATATCATTATGCTGTAGCTTAAACGTTGAGATTCTGCAAGCGGATTTATTTAATGGAATGCGATGTAAATCCATAAGGTGACTATTGACGTTTATTACTTTAAATATGAGCTTTCTCGCTTCAGTATGTTCTCATTGTATATAATGCACTTGTATTACCACATTTATCATATTGTGTCAGTGTCTGGTGTCGGTGTCTGTGGCAAACTGAAAATGAACATCTTATTTAAATTACAGAACAAAGTACCGCGTATTTGTACCAGTAGCCATTATCTTGCTCATTCTGCTCAAAACCTTGAATATATTTGATTTATACCAGTATCATACAGCAGTGCTAGGGTTCCTTTATTTTCATAATCTTCTAATATACAATTTCGATCATGTTCCCTACGAATCTTAGTATTCATAATTATAACACACGAAATTGAACCAATTTTCATCGTTGGAAAAGTATGTTTAAGTATGAGGAAAATCTCTTCGGTGTAATCTCCCGGTGATTTGAAATTCATTACCTATGCAATAACCAAAGATTATTCAAAAAATATCTTTAAAATTATTATTTGTCAAAACACTGACATAAAACATTACCATATTTTACGCCATGCTGTTTCTCTAGCTTATTTTTTTAATATTTTTTTTATCCACTGTTGGTTTTTAATTTGTTTACATGTCTTTCAGTGACATAATAAGTTGAACAAATAAAAATCGGGATACAGGCCTGCATAAATTATTACCTTCAGCAAATTTCAGATGGTGCAAGTCTCATTAAAAGAGTGTATGATAAGCTAGCTCTTATCATCTCTACTTTCTGCTATGTAGTTTTTCTTTGTGTTTCTACCTAAGTTTTATCTATCTTGAATGTACTACTCACCAATGATATTAAGGCGTGATGTGTGGTATAGCTCTCTACCAATACCCTCTACCCTACTCAATCCTCTCTCTCTCTCTCTCTCTCCCTCTCCCTCCCTACCCCTCCCTCCCTCCCTCTCTCTCTCTCTCTCTCTCTCCCTCTCTTTCTCTCTCTCTCTCTCTCTCTCTCTTTCCCTGTCTCTTCATCATCCTGTGAAATGAAGAAGGGCATTACCTGTACATTCAACTCATATTGTTGGACCATGTTATTAAAGAGATAACTCATTTGACTGTTAGCAAACAATATGTCTCCCCTCCCACTATATCGCCCCTTCCTCACACCTCTCTGCCTCTCCACCTGTCTCTTTTGCTCTCTTTACTGTTTCCACTTTATTACTTAATAAGGATCCATTGAATACAGTTCATTACATTTCCTATAAAATTATCTTTATTTACAATGTAGAACAAAGTGATTTATGCAGATATTAAACACCCCTGTGAATAGTTAATGTGTTGCAATAGAGATGCCAGATTGACAAACAAATGGATGAAATAACGACCTCTGAATCCATTAAAAAAAGGTTAACAAAAATTAATCCAGACAGACAAATTAAATGTGAATAAAGTCACATTTCTGATCTAAACATGAATTGATTCCAAGTGTTTAAATTATTTGAATAAATTGTGTGTCAAAGTAGTATACGATCATTTAACAAAAATGCAAGTTGTTATTTGAAAGCATTTATATTCAACTACAAACTGCAAAACAGGATTTAAATAGTTTGTCACATTCTGAGTAGAACAAAATTAATTCAGATCATTTTGTATATATATATATTGTAGGTTGATAATGTACAACCATTTGTATATAATCCACTTAAAACAGGCTATTACCAAATTGGACAGGCATGATTCATGAAAGAAATCTATTTATGTCTTGACATTAAATCATGGATCATCGCTAGATCATAATGAAAGAGAAGGTGTAAGACCTTATTTGCTGGCTGTAAGAAAAGCCAAAGATTTCTCACATACTTGCCTAAAAGGCCTCTACATACAAAACTTCAAAAGTTCAACAAGCATGATTCATGAAAGAAAGATTTCCTTGTCTTGATATTAAAAAAACGTAGGTGATGCATGGGTGATCGCTACACCTTATTGAAAGGAGAGACAAAGATGGGGGGGGAGGGTGACATCTACATCCCCCTCTTGGAAGGCCCATGGTGACACAGAGTTTCCTGGGCACTGTCGCATCAAAGTTTGTGATCAAATCTGGTATCCAGCTTCTAAGCTGACATCCTACAACATAGTCAAACAGTGTCAGGTGCCCAGTAAGAATCAATTATCCGTCGTCAGACTTTGTCCAGCTTTCATTTCAGAGTACAAAACACAACAAAGTCAGTAGGGAGCTTAAATCTCCTTCACAAAAACATGTTACATTTTCTCCTCCGCTTGTACCTGGGTTCCAAACGTAGTTGGTGTTTGAGGTGGAAGATAAACCTTCAAGTCATCCTCCAGGTTTGTGCCAAGCTTGAGGGTTGGGTATTCCGAAAGAGAGACCCCAAAGGTGTCGATGTTGGACAACTTTTCTTTGGAGGAGGAAACATCATCACCCCCAAAGATGAAGTCATGGTTCTTTGTGCCTTGTTCCTCATAGGCGTTGTAGGTAAAGGTTCCTTTGGTTCCGGCTGCTGCTGGGTTTAGCAGCTGGATATCTTGAGTGGCAACCGATCCAGTCTTGTTTCTGCAGAAGGGAATGGACACAAGGATGGGAAGACAAAATGAGTTGTCCAGTCCATTCATACTTGGATTGAAGAAATACGTGTGTAACCAGATGATAGGTAATAATTTAAAGAATTTGAAACTGAAATTAACAAAAAATTGCATATTAAATCAAAGAAAATTAAAGGCCAAATAAAAGAAACGTTGGCTAAGGAGGACAAGATTGCACTTAATGTTTGGAATATATGAATAGCTCAAGATTTTGTACCTGTTTTGTTCTCTGGGCTGCTATTGACATCTATAATGAATGAAAGAATTCACATTGGGGGTCAAACAAAATTATGCTAAAGTAGTTCATTTTGTTAGCTGCTTGCAATAAGACTGTTATTGACCCTAGACAGCTCTTACAGCCTTCTTGAGGAGAGCTTATGAATTATGCTCGTCAATGCATAAATAAAGCTCCACAAGGTGCCCTAGGACGGCTGTAACAGGGAGAAGGTGACTAAAACAGAATAAAAATGCTTTGCCGTGACCTATATATCTGGCTAGCTATACATACCGGTGTCGGTGTTTGCACCGAGCAGCAATGACAAGGATGATGACTAAGAGAACAACAACTCCTATTGCCGTAGCGGTGATGAGAGGAAGCGGGAAATGGTCTGGCTGATGAGTAGGAGGCAATGTAGTAAACACAGGAACAGTAGGAGGAACTACAGAAAAGAAGACAGACACATCATACTCATATTACTTTTACAGAGAGAAATTGCAACTTTAAGTAGCGAATATAAACTTGAAATTAAACTTAAAGTACAGGTGAAAGTAACTAATGGATGAACATGCATACAATTTGGTATGCATGAAAGTTTAATCAAAAGTTAACTTTGGTGCAGGCCGAAATATTTGTGATCTGGCCTTTCAACCTAAATCATTTTGATATCGTGTAAAGTTTTTTTTTTTTTTTTTTGTTTGGGGGGGGGGGGGTATAATTTTAAGTTACCTAACAATATAAAGGTAAAATATAGTATTTCTTGGTGATATAGCCCTCATTGAAATAAGACAATAAACAATAAGCCTGAAGACAATTATTTTCCCTGTCGGTGACTTAATTTGTATTGCTTTAAATTTTAATAGAGAAATTTATAAAATCTGATTCCCACCTTTACACTGGGTGACGTTAGAAGCATGGAGGTCATCTGTGAACGTATCTGGAGGACAGAGGATGCATTCATCTTGGGCTTCTTCATCCTGGTAAGTATCCTGAGGACATGGGTAGCAGTCGTAATCTGTGGTGTTGCCTTCCGTAAGTGCCCAGTAAGTGCCAATCCCACACGGCACTGCATGACAAAGATATATTGGGGGAATTGTATTTAACTCATATCCTGCCATAAGGCCGCATGCACACTACCATTATAGTGCTTTCTACACGCAAGCGAGCCACCGCTTCTCTGCTTCATGCGTGCATGCTCATCATACTCTCTTTTCTTTCCTTTTTTTCCTTACACATAGTTCTTTCACACAGTCTTGTAAGAGGATTTCCACTGTGTTATATATTTTGAAGTAGATAAAAAAAACATTTCCATATTTAAAAAAAAATCCAAAAGATTATTTTTATTACCACAAAATCCATTGACGGTGCTATCAATGTAACCAGATGGACAGTTCTCCCAAATATCTCCTGTGATGGAGGACGGGTCACCGTGTAAGACCTGGTCAGCAACCTCAAGGGTCAAGGAATCATTCCTGAGAAGCGAGCTCATGTTATAGTAGAAAATGTCCAGAAGTTCCATGGTCTCGAATTCTGTGGTATTATCTGAAAGAAAATCATGGGCTCCATTTAGGATTTAAGATGTAAAGGCATGGTAAATTCCCAGAATTCTTCTTTGTAAGGTGAGGAACACAATTGGCCTAAATAATACAGAAAAGCTCTTATTGGTATACAATGCCTTAAACATGCAAGAAGCATATCATTTGATTTAGTTCATATGATATCAACTGTATCATCCAAATGATTATGGTTATGGTTAGGGACATACTTTGAATTTTAGATTAAGTTTACTGTTATGGTTATATAACGATATTATTTTGGTAAACAGTCTAAATCAGGAACTCAATTAGTTTAGGGAATTGATAACAGAGTAATCATTACCACAGCTTATAGATAGTATGTGATAGCATGTCATCATTCTGCGATGTGAGTGGAAAGGTAGGAGTGTTCTGGTCGAGTGGTTTAAGGCGTTTGATTGGAGATGGTCGAGAGTTCAAATCCCGACACAGCACTAATATCCTTTGAAAGATCATATTTACCTGCATTTTCTACTCTCCACCCAGATGTTAAATGGGTACCAGGTAGGATGCGACTGTCCTTGTGGGTCAAACAGTTTTTGAGCGTCAAGTAACGCCTGGCTGTATGCTCCCCAGGGAGTGGATATTGTGCACACAATGTGTGCGGGCAAGTATTGAATCCAATGACCGGGGTAATAGTATATCTGTAAAGCGCTTGGAGACATCATAGATGTATCAATTAAGCGCTATATAAAATCAGAATTATTGTTATTATTAATGACACTCACCTGCTCCTACAGAGTGATGTTCAATGCTGTCATTGTGAGAGACAGTGATGCTTATTTCGACCTCTCCTGCTGACTCTACTGACCGGCGCTTGTTGGTCAAGAGTTGGCAGTTCTGCACCTGTTCACAATGGAGGTACATGTATTAGACTAAGGCAATATAGAAATATGAAATGTTCATGAGACTAATAATAAAATCAGAACATCAATGACATATAGTCGCATCTGGCTAAGGCATTTGCCACCATTTTCATCACCAATTGGTTGGGAAAGAGGAAGAAGAAGCATTTTTTTTTAAATTCATTTCATTTCATGGTATTTAATTAAAATCTGTCTCACAGCAAAAAGAATGAATCGTACAAATTTTGAATAAATGTGCATAATTTAACATTTATCATAATCAATGCTAAAGGGAAAGGAAAAAAAATAAAATCCAAATTCTGTGAAGAAGTTCTGTGTATCTCACTTAGCTTTACAAAATAAAACAAACAGAATGAAAATAAATCAATAAATGAAGCTTCAGCTAAGCGTGAACACCCATGAATTCTTTACCTGGATTTGAAGAATTTTGCATGAATTCTCTCTCAGGCAGTCGATGTCTTCAGAGTGTGTATTCAATGAGCTGTATGCAGCTTTTCTTAGACTCTCCTTATCACCAGCTGTGACACACACAGCACCAGGATAACCAATGTCCAACACCCCCGTCATCCCAAGGCTCTTGGTGACTTCTGAAATTTGAAGATACTTGATCAAATGATATACAATTTCTCTCCCTTTTCAAACTTCTTTCAAGGCATCGGTGACAGTAATCATACATGTATACAATGATTTACACAATTGTTAAGCAATGTAGATTACACATGATGTGGTAATATCATCTGATAAGATAGATCGCGTAGACAATAATGCAATTAAATTGTACTACATATATTTATCTTAATTTGATAAATCAAACTGTTTCTACTTTACCCAGAGTCTATGTATATATCCTTTGGTCATGAAAGCGTAGTGAAGGGCTTATTGTTATTATCACAATCTTGTTCTCAAACAATCACTGTCGCTAAAAAGAGGCGTTCATTAATCTACCATAAAAATGGCAGGTATTTCAACATAATAAAAAAAATTGACTATTGGGAAGAGGAAAAACAAGAGTTGGGTATCCATTCGAATTTTGGTTTATATGAAGAACTTTTAATTTGAAACCTGTTTTGTATGTGAATGGCCTTGAGACAAAAATTAATCAGATTTTTACCTGTACAAGAAGGAAATATGGCCCTTCTATTTTTTGCTGTTTGGTGATTCCATCGGTAGTTCGTATCCTTTCCACAGAAGTAGAATTCCATGGCCCTCTCAGCAAAGCCGTAACCATGGCGACAGCTGATGGTGCAGTTAGTCATCTCTGGATGCTCCTCGCAGTGGAGGTAGCCCCTGAGTGGTCTTCTAAGTCTGAGACAGCCTACAGAAGGAAATGTATATATAATTAAATCCCATACAGTTTGATATTATAGTTTAATCCACAATGCAATGAATTACAAGGTAATATAGCCTATAGTAGCAAGAAACAAATTGAATCCATTTTTTTGCAGAATAATCATGTACAAAATAAAAATTAAAAAAAGAAAACAATTTGTAATTTTTATTCAACAGGTTCATTTAATAAGCCTGTACAATATTCTTTTTTTAAGAATCTAAGAGTAAACAATTTGGGGCAAGCTGAGCTAGGAGGCCAAGCTGATTCATTTAAATTAAATTTTGGAATTTCTGAACTCCAATGGGAGGGGAAGGGGAAGTCCATGTAGTTTTAAAAAGGTCACTTTTACAAAATTATAAAATCCACTGAGACTAATACTGGATATATGCTCACGAAAGTTATGTAATCATTATTCATGTATGCACCTGTGATACATTCTATTGAACACAGGTGGAAGTAATCCTTTCAAGAGGGCAAACAAAGAATCACCTCCATGACTTTAGCTGTGATTATTCCAAAAGGCATAAAGTGGGATTTAGCTATATTTAAAAGATCTGTGGATACTTGGGATCATCTGAAATACATGCTAACTACCAAATGGTCTTTTGTTTAGGTTCCAGTCCAATATTTGTTTTACCTGGGCATTCAAACGCATTGCATATTCCATCCTGTTCAGCCTTCCCTGTACAGTTCAGACCTCCTCCCTGTGGAGCTGGGTTGGTACAGTCCCTAGTCCTGGACCGGGTACCACCTCCACAGGTGGAACTGCACTCTGTCCACAAGGACCAGTAGGACCAGGCTCCATCAACTACATTGACGAGGGCAAGGATAATGACAATGACAATGTGAATGACCATAATAATTTCAATTACAGTGACATGAAAATATATAACATAAAATAACACAACTACAACTGTGGCAATGATTATGAAGGTGTTTAATCACTATGAACTTGAGAAGAACACCAACACTGGTGATGATACTGTCACAATGACAGTGACAATAAAAGCAATAAACAAGTTGAAAGAAAATAAACAATTTTTAGGAGCCGTATCTTAAATTACTGTTTCAAGGAATGAACCATTTGCAATAGCATATGTTTGTAAAGAATCACAAGAAAATAGCTAGTCAACTTGCACCAAGTTTCCGGATGTAGAAAACCTTGTAATGTTTCTACATTTTTTGAAACAATTACCTTTTCTAGTTTCGCAGAACTGCCCAGAGAATCCTTTCCTGCACAGACACTCAGGGGCTCCCTCTACTGTTTGACATGAGGCTGCATTCTTACATAGTCCATCGCTGCACAAGTCTTGTGTGTCTGTACACAGTTCTCCTTTATAGCCACTTTCACACTCACAATGAAAACCTTCTAGTTTGTTTTCACAAGATCCATGGATACATGGGTTCGACATGCACTCGTCAACAGCTAAAACAAGGGGAATTCAGATTAACAATGAGAAAGAAAACAGTTTACACTTCATATATGTTGTATATGCTAGCCATTTAAAAGCGATAGTTTGAGGCGTTCATTTTTAAAGCTATACTATATGGAATAAAGTTTTAGCCTAATTGAATACCTCATAAAAGAAAAAGGTTAGTGGACAGTAGGAGTAACAAATACTTTGTCAGTATGAATTTATTTACTTTTTTTTAAAGACTCTGCTTATAAATTACAGACATATATGGAGTTTTACTTATATGTAAAAAATATTCTAACTTATATGTAATAGATATGACACCTGCAATGGTCAGCATATGAGAGCAACAGTGATCAGAATGAACCAGCCAATTGTATAGAATTAGAAAAATAAATGTACCAGTGATGGTTTCTGGTATATAAAACATACTTCTGTTGATACTGTTGTCAGTTCATCAATAAACATCCTAAATATTACAAACACATGTGGCTTTAAATAGGTCCTTTTATAATTGCAGAGGTTGATATTACATTAAACTTCAAACTTAAAAAATGTATGGGTTTTGGTGGTGTCATGGTAAAGAGGTTCATTCACTTGACTCTCAATCCAAGGTTAAGGGTTCAAATACCAGCCCAGCACTAACATCCTTTGGCAAGACATTAATCCATTTCTGCAATCATTTACCCAGGGGTGAATGGGTAACTAATGCTAGAGGGCTATATTTTACTACTTGGGTGTGGCAGTGGTACTGCAGCTGGAGTACCAGGAGTACTATGGCCCTGTTTCATAAATTTTTTAAATAAAAAACAACTGCCAAATATGTGCACAGCCAATCAAAAGCAAGGATTTTAGTAGCTATAAATATTAACATAACTTAATATTTAAAACAAGTTTTATGAAACAGGGCCCAGGAGTGTCACTAAAAAAAAGCCATTATCATTATTATTCTTAATCTGCCAACTGCATCATAACAGTCACTTAGTTAACATGCTCTCGCTACAAAAAGTTATTAACTCACCGTCACACATGGATGGGGATTCTATCTGAGTGGATGTAATGTTTTCTGATGACACCATGTCTGTCCATGACACAATGTCACCAAAGAGGGCGGGCTGGCAAGTAGATGATATTTCCTCTAAGGTTTCCTCCTCCAGACGAGAAGCCCAAACATTGATACCACTCATGATGACATAATCTAGAGTTTGACACAAAAAGTACATAATTGCATAATATAGCATAAATCTATATATTAAAAGAATAAAGAAATATCATCATCAATAGTGAGTGATCTGTCAGTTTATGACAGGTTCAGTGACCCAAAATTCTTAAGTGTCTCTTTAAGTTCCTTGGTCTTGAGCCATCCGTTTCAGCGTTTCATACCCTGTTGCTCCACATTATGTGATTACATCGTCTAGAAAGACTTTACAAGGTCTTCCCACCTTCTTCTTTACATGAATACGATCTCCTATGACTCTGATCATCAAGCCCTTATCAAGCCGCATTATGTGTCCAAGCCATTTCTTCCGTCTTTCTCTTATCGTTTGAATCAGCACCCGCTTTTCTTGAGCTCGATGCAACACCTCTTCATTTGAAACTAAATAGATCAAATATAAAAATGCAATATATTTAGATCTTTCTTCAATAGTGCTTACCTTTCTGTTCCATGTTATCTGAGCCCACCACAATATATCCTGGTCCTACAACCCGAGAGGATGGCATGGTTCTATTCCTGTATACAGTGTTTCCTTGATCAACAGACAGGATCCAGATGATTTCAGGTTCAAATGTCCATTGAAGACTAACATGATGCCAGGCATTGTCACACAGGGAGGATCCTACATTGTATGACGTACTAAATGGAAAAGAAAGAATTATTTGTATTTAAGCATTGATTTCATGCATGAAAATACTCAGAAAGGCACAAATAATGAGGCCAGCCAAGATTTGCAAGTGCTGTTACCTCTGTTATCAACCAGCCCTGTAAAGGGATTCTTGCATTTGATACCATGACAAATGTGAGAATACCTGTTACTCAAAGAGTATGAAGAGTTTGAGGATCCGAGTACGTACCCCTCATCTTCAACGAGGTTTGTACAAAATGCAAAGTCTTTTTAATTTTCAAATACAACTCTAAATGGAATCCTTCTCAAATGTCAATATACACTGAGATTTCTTTTCAAGCATTTCTCAACTTTCCATAGTAGGAAAAAGGTAAGGAGCACTTTAAATGGAACCAACAAATGATTGAGTTTACCTTTTACTTAAGAGTTTGAGGCTGCAGGGATTAGAGAGTGAGTACTCCTCATCTCCAACGATGTATGCAAAGATGTGAAAATCTTGCGGCGCGTGCAAGATGCGTATCCAGGCAGAGATAGTCATGTGACTGATATCACCTGACTGAACATCAGCAAAATGTACTACTTCAGATTCAGGGTTGAAGATGAGGTCAAAATCAGAAGGAAGAGCTGTGAAATAACAACATATTGGATTCAAACAAATAATTGCTATAATATAAAGGTTTGTAGAAAATGGCTTCATCATATATCATTAAATAAACATCCACATTAATTTCCAAAGCGAAGTTATTTCACTTTACATAGATGTACATGTAAAATTAATAATCACCTAGCCTATTGGTCACACAAAATGAAGGAATCATTAGTACAAAAAGATACTTCATACTTTATATACTACATACTAGCAGCAGATCGAATCAAAATCTAAAATGTATACCAAACTCTGATCAGTTAATCCATTCAACAGAATAACCAGATAAAACCCCTACCCGATGAATACAATTTAGTTGTCAGCATGTACAATGAAACAAAAATCTATCTTGAAGTATTAAAGAGAGCTCATTTCAGTACATAAAGTGCACTTAAGTTACGACAGCTAAATCATCGAGATAGAACATGAGGAGCCAAAACAATGTAATAACATATATTGAAATTGATATTGATATTAGTATAGTGTATATCATATTTTCATCTTATTTGACCAAATTATAGTGATACATCTAGATTGTTCTATTATGTAAATTTTGCATACCATATGAGATTGCACTGATTGTGACCAAACCATTTAACCATGTAAAATGTACACTGAACAAATAATCGTAATGAAATACAAATGATATCAAATATCTATGCATTTTTAAAAAAAAAATTCCCTCGATGAAATATCAAAGTTGGAGGTGTGGCCTATGCGGGGCAGCGGCCTTATCGCTGGCAAATACTGTACCTGTTTCACATAGTAATCCTGTGTAACCAGGAGCACAGTCACATACAAACTGAGTGAACCCTTCCACACAAGTCGCTCCATTGAGGCAAGGGTTGCTCCCGCACTCCATGCTGGCCTCATCACAATACAGTCCTCTGCAATAGTCAATTAAACATTTGAAATAGAAATGGGAACATATCCATGGCAAGGAATATATCCACATATAGCATCACAATACAGTCCTCTGCAATAAGTCAATCAAACATTTGAAATAGAAATGGGAACATATCCATGGCAAGGAATATATCCACATATAGCATCACAATACAGTCCTCTGCAAAAAGTCAATCAAACATTCGAAATAGAAATATGAACATTCTAATAGCAAGGAATATATCAACATATAGCATCAATTTGGACAAGGGGATGCTTTCTAATCCTCTTAATGCAGTGCAGTCCACTGTATTTTAATTACATGCAATTAAAATGATAATGTGGACATCTCTATAGAAGTGTCTCGTTGTATTATAGTATCACATAATGGTAACTCTTGTTCTTATTTTGACTGGATTTATACTGAAGCATCCCAGTTGGCAATAACGAAAATGAAACAAACATGATAGAAATCAACAAAAACATGATTGTGTGTATTTAAAGAATTTATAGCTTGTATAAATTCTTCTTATTTGTAGACATGTTAGACATGTTTAATGTTATACCCATCATTGTATAAAGTGCACTTCGAAATACAAGAAATTCTTGAATATTTACAGACACCATTATAATTTTACTTTTATATGCTCTTGTTAATCCAGTCATGAAATGCACAAGATGGAACCTGTATGTTACCTGAAGCCAGCGCCACACTGACAGATGTAACCACCTATGGTATCCTCACATGAACCATGATTCAAACAAGGATTTGAGCCACATTCATCTATGTCAGTATCACATAATTCCCCAGTGTATCCTGCAGGGTAAATAGGAAGTCAAGATAATGAATATAGTATTAATAAAATACAATAATTAAAGATAAGTAACATTAATTAATGCTAACAGATTACGGGGGTGCGATTTGAAAGTGCTTAAGTTGATTTCCTTGCTCTTTGAATTTATTTGAGATTTCAAAGACTGTTAAATTTATAATATAATTGAGGGAAGTTGTCTTCTGGTTAACTTCTAATTTACATGAGCATTCCTGCTACAATTTATGTCTGTTTTCATTAAAAGCAATGCCTAGTACTAACTTTAAACAAATGGCTGGTAATGCATTATTCTCTCACCATTAGAGCACAGACATGCGAAGCCAGACACCTGATCAATGCAGGAACCATTGTTCAAACATGGCTTGGATGAACAATCATCAATATTCATCTCACAATATGTTCCGTTGTATCCTGGTGGGCATTGGCAGATAAAGCCACTGACCTGCCAAACAGAAAGAATAAAAATGCAATAGCTCTGTCGAACAAACACACAATCAAAGAATATGTTGACCTGTATGAGTACGATAATCATTGTCTGTAAACTGTTTATTTACCAATAGTGATAACGGGCACATTCACCTGTACGCCATGAGTGCTGATTGGCACAAACAATAGGCAACACCTAGCAAAGTTTTTGTTGCATATCATCACGTAATTCCCACCCTAATTGCCTTCATGAGAAGCCTTGTATCACCTGTAAACAATGGTTTGGTTTGGTTTGATGTTTGTTTTACAAGACTGCTAAGAAAGCAGATATACACATGTATTAGTAAGCAACCACGGGACCGACAGCTTTAAGTCTACTCTGAGGGACTTGGTAATGAGAATTAATTCCTTACCAAATAGCACCAGTGCATCGACTTGATTTTAACCCATGACCTCCCAGTTACGAGACCACTGCTCTACCACTGAGCCATATCATCTCCTTATATAATAGACTTAACATGAAATTTTGAGATAGTCGAGATGCCTTTGGTAAAAAATATATCTTGATAATTACAGCATGGGAGAAGGATTTAACACGAGTGGCACATAAAGAGTTCACATTTACTGGATCTGACCTGTGCTTTAAAGCCCATATGTACTAGTTTACAGGAGGGATTAGACCACCATGCAAGGTCACTGACAGGTGGTTATCTCATCAAATCAGCTCTCACTTAACATAAGAAAAAGAGGGTCATGGGGGACCAATGGTCACCGATTGGGCATTTTTTGCTATATAGAGGGCGCAAGTAGCTATAAGTAGTGGAGTGGGCCTTTAAATTTGAATCATACCTGGTCTAAACAAGTAGCACCATTCTCACAGTCATTGTTCACACAGTCATCCACATCCCTCTCACAGGCTTCCCCTGTGAAACCTTCTAGACAGGCGCATCGGAATCCCCTATCACCATCCTCCTTGCATGAGCCTCCATTAGTACAGGGATGGGAGGAGCAGGCTGGGATCACCCGGAGCTGGCATTGGATTCCTGTGTAACCAGGAAGACATCGGCAGTGGTAGCCTGCAACTTCATCAATACAGGTAGCATTGTTTTCACACTCGCTGTTAAAACAGTCGTCTACATCAACCTGTTAATAAGGAATGAAACATGGGTATCAAGACCAATTCCAAGTAAAATAGGACATTAACCCTAATATTTGATTTAAGTCTGATCATATCAAATTCGGTGGGTAAATCAAAATGTAAGTATCTAAATTGTCCCAAATCTGCACAAAAATATTCACACACTCCTGAATATCGGAATCTGCTTAACTTTGAAGTCAAATGTAATGTGCCTAGACAGACTCTCCTTACCATGCCATTCCTTACATAATAAATCAATTGAAATATCATTACAAATCCGCTGCACCTTACCTCACAGTTTGTTCCATTGAAGCCTGAAGGACACTGACATGTATAACCCCTTGGTCTATCGGTGCAAGTCCCGTTGTTCAGACACGGAGCACTGATACACTCATCTTGGTTGGTCTCACAGTGGATCCCACTGAAGCCCTCATCACAGAGGCACATGTATCCATCAATATGATCAAGGCATGATCCTTGAATACAGGGGAAGCTAGAACACTCATCAATGTTGACTTCACATGTGGTACCGGTGAAACCCGAAAGGCAAGTGCAACTTTTGGAGACAGAGAGGATATTAAAACATAATTACACATTTGTAAAGATGGAGAAGAGAGTCGGGACACCTAATGCTACATCCCTTAGAGCGCCAAAATGGCAGCTGTGCTAAAGCTGGGTATCAATTGTGGAGCGCCAGGAGTGTGAAGTCTGACAGACATGAGTGCTATAAAGAACCCACTCTTATTATTATTGTTATTATCACCTTTTTCAAGAAAAATATAACTGAATTCTTGTGCACACATAGAAACAAACAGGTCAGTGATTTGATTGCAAAATAGTTACATTCCACAGATTTGATGGCAAAAGAATCTTCTGACCCACATTGGTATTAATGCATGAACATACTCACGTGAAACCAGTTTGAAGACTGGTGCATACACCATCGTTTAAACAGGGTTCGCTCAGGCAGAAATCAACTGGGATGTTGCAAACATCACCTTGGTATCCTTGGAAACAGTCACATGACCAGGAGTTAATCCCATCATCACATGTCCCGTTGATGCAGGGACTGGAAAATCAAATAAAGTAAACTATTCAGATTGCATAGATATTGGGCACAAAGAGGAGTACATCCATAGAATTAAATCTATGTATGCATGTAGCTCTATAAGTAATATTATTTTATGTAGTCAATGCCATTGTGTGGTAGGGGATTCTTAACTAAGCCAAATGGGATTCTGTGAGGTAATATCAATTATAAAAACTCTGAAACAAATGTCAGTTCAACATAATACTTCTCTTTAGAAAGTGTAAAGTAATTACAACTAAAACTTGAAGAAATAACATCATCACTCAAACTGAATAAGCCCAGAAAACTTGCTTTCCTTTTTGGTCAAGACTTCCCGAACAAATTTGTAATAATATCCTAGAAATAGAAACCTTACCTTGACAAACAATCATCTATGTTTTCTTCACAAGTGGGTCCAGAGAATCCAAGTGCGCATACACATGAGAAGTTTCCTATCAAATCCAGGCAGGTTGATCCGTGAAAACAGGGCTCACTTACACACTCATCAATGTCTATTTCACATTGCGACCCTGGTTACACAAATGAAAGTGAGGATCACAGGTATTTCAAATGGATGACATACATTGAAAGAAATTCATGAAATACTACTCTTCATCTCTACAATATATGTTAAAATGGCAATGGCCTTACATGTTACATACATATACATTAGCTGTACGAAAGGAACAAGCACTTTGCATCTACCATTTATCTTTTTCAAAGTTCAAAGTCTGTGAATGACTAGGAATCTTAGAAATTATGGGTTCATTTTCTAAGCAATAGTTGCATTCTAGATCCCTTTTGCAGTGGAGGCAAAATTGCTGCTCTTACAATCAGATTACTGACTACTATTTCTAAACTCCGTAAATAATAACTTCTGAGCAAATATCTACCAAGGTAGATGTTCATGAATCTGTGGCACTTTTATCTTGCATACCTTGGAATCCAGAGACGCATTGGCAGGAGAAAGTTTCTCCCCTGCTGATGCAGGTTCCTCCATTCAAACACCGCCCACCTCCATCACAGAGGTCCACCGCATCCAGACACTCCTCCCCAGTCCTGCCGGGTGGGCAAAGACATTGGTAACCACCGACCTTCTCCAAACAGGTGGAATTAGGCCCACATGGGTTACGGGAGCACTGGTCGATATTATCATCGCAAGTTGGGCCTGTGATCAAAACAACGACATTCATATTTAACCTATTTGAAATAAATTATAGTTTGATGTTTACCATTCTTTAAAGCATTTTTAAAACCCATAAATCAACTGAATTGAAAAGATACATTCTAACAAAGGTGTCTGTTAATACAGAAATTATATTAATTTTATTATAACGATTGTCTAAAGAATACCTGAATAAAAAATCTTCCTTCAGGTTATTTTGCAGAGTTACTGAAATAGAAAAAGCTTTAATAACAATAGGCATATGCATGTAACTACCTTAATATTTCAACACTGATATAGTAAACCCTGTATTCTTGTAACACTTGATTAATAACAGGTCATTCAGTTTGTGTAAAGAAATACTCGTAACCAGCAATGATTCACAAACCTGTAAACTCTTCAGTACAAGTACAGGTAAACCCATCCACATCATCCAGACAGGTGGCTCCATTAGAGCAAGGACTTGATGCACAATCATCCCGATTGACCTCACAATCGCGACCTATGAACCCTGGTTGACATTCACATGTATAGATATGAGAAACGCCCTCTCCTGTCCCAGCCTGACACGATCCTCCATTGAGACAGGGATCATCATCACATGCGTTTCTCTGTCGCTCACAGAGCTGTCCTGCATAACCAGCTTTGCAGAGGCATTCAAACGTGTCGACGAGGTCAAAGCAGGATCCGTTGTTAAGGCAGGGGTCACTGGAGCAAAGGTCAATATCCACTTCACACTGTGGACCCTCATACCCTGAGGTAGTGCAAATAAAAAAAAATGAATCAAAAATATTGCATGTGATCTGATTTGATTTGCATTTGGTCAGACAATATAATTTGAAACAGATTTTGATGGGAAATGAACATAGTCATAATAGAGTAGTGTTCTTCATATAAAGGTGATGGTATGCCGAGGCAAATTTGACTGTACAAGAAAAAAAACACTCTACCATCATAATGGCAACCACTTCTCTACCTCTATGATAAACACAACCACACTCTAAATATTTCAATATTCATCATTGCTCCAACATCTGGCCTTTAAAGGCCGTCTGTACTAGTTTTACCAGGGGGATTAGACCACCCTGGAAGGTCACTGAACAGGTGGTCATCTCATAAAATCAGCTCTCAATTAACATAAGAAAAAGAGGATCATGACCAATGGTCACCGATTAGGCATTGTTTGCTGTATAGAGGGCGCAAGTACCTATAAGTAGTGCAGTGGGGCTTTAAGTACTGTGAATGAATTTCTGAGAGGTTTACTAACCAGTGCTACAAGAACAAAGGAATCCATTGACTACATCCTGACAAGTCCCTCCATGCAGACAGGGATGGCTGTGGCACTCGTTGATATCTCTGGAGCAGTTCAACCCAGAGAATCCAGGAGCGCAATCACACTCGTAACCACCACCATCCTCCCCATCCAACACACTGCAGGTAGCAGCATTGAGGCAAGGATTTGGGGAGCATGGGTTAAGCACCATGTCGCAGTCATTACCATGGTATCCTGGTAAACACTGACATTCGTAGTGTGTCGCAGAGCTGATGCAGGTTGCATTGTTCTGACATGGCAAGGTCTGGCAGAGGTCAAAAGCTACTTCGCATTCCACTCCTAAACAAAACAAGAACATGTATAATGATAAAGTGGCCTAGCTATTCAATAAGTGTACATACTGTTACACAGTGGTGTAACTACATTAACAGAAGATAACACGACCTCCTCCCCATCCTTAGACGGACTTGCTCTCTTATCTAATTCATTTATCAAGGACTAATTCCTACCATAACACATAACACTCAGTAGCATACTCACACAATTCTTAATGCATAGCATACAGGAGTCTTTACTCTTTTGTCAGCTTACTAAGCAAATAAGATAAAGATACAGAAAACAGGTTCACTATTTTTTTGATTAGCTTATCAAATAAGACAAATAGGAATGTGCCAATGACTTCTACCGTCTCGGTTCCAGAAGAGCTCTACTCACCTGTAAATCCAGGAAGACATACACAAGAATAACTATTGACAAGATCTACACAGGTCCCATTATGTAGACACGGCTGGTAGAGGGCACAATCATCAATATCAATCTCGCAGTCTCTGCCACTGAAGCCTGAAGCGCATATGCATTGAAAGCTGCCTGTGAGGTCAACACAGGTCGCACCATTCTGACAGGGGTCGGATGCACATTCGTTGATATCTAAGAAAGAAGTGAAGTTAGAATATAAAAACATTATAATCTCTACTACTCACCATGTCTTACACATTATAGGAGCCAGACAGTCACTTAAAGAAAAAAATTACATATCATTATGTGTTCACGTAGTGTATACCAAAGCATACGATATAACAATTATAGAACAATTAGTTCACTCACTATTTTAGACATACATTCTTTAATAATTGCTTACAAATCTACCCATAGGTAAAAACAGAAGAACACTGACATTATTTTTTGTGTATTAGTACAATGGTAACCATGAAAATCATGTGTTGTGTATAAAGGAATACTCCATATTTACAAAGAAATGGTCGACACTTCTTGAGCATATTAATCAGCTGTTACAACACATGTACATGTCAAAGGCATCAAGTACAAGAGGAATTCGTTATTACATTTTTGTATGCAATAAATAACAAATCATATATGAGTTCAATTATATTGGGATTGTTACCTGTGCACTCCTGCACTGATTGTGCTCCGCTGCTATTGGTGGAGAGTTGTCCAGGGCAAAGGTCACATGACGTCTGTTGCGCACGACTTTGATAGGAGCCCAATGGACATGGATTGCAAGGATCAACACCAGAGAGGGAGAAGGCACCGGGTGTGCATGGCTCTATTGGGAGGGGAATAACAAATGATGTAGTACCACATATCAGTGTTAATATACCATGTTGTAATGTAATTAAATGTTAAGCACAGATCTTTGTTAAGCGCCTCGTTACAAATTGTTTTATTCACCTGTTACGAATGATAATAAACAAAATTGAATAGCGAATTGCATACATTATGTGTTGTTAGGTAAGACAAGTCATAATTTTCGTTCTACCTAGCAACAATTAATGTATGCAATTCATATTCAGACTATTGAAACTAATATTATTGGTATCAGGTGAATACAATATAATTTGTAACAATGCAATTAAAGAAAGATTGGTGCTTTCAATTATATTACGAAACTGGCCTATCAAAAAAAGGACATTATGATACATCATGTTTTACATCCGTCATATATTTTATATTTGTAATAGCATTACACCCAAAGTACAAACTTGACAATACTGATTAGATTTCCCCATTTTGTGTTTGTTTTCTCTCAACTTAGCATTAAATAATAAGATCAAATGTTATCTCAATCTTCATCATACATTTTTACCTTATACACTGAGAAAGTTATGAAGAAAATTATTGCCTAACTGTAATTTTCCAAGCAAGTATGCATACCGAAATATATCATTATACTTTTAACAAAACTAAAGGCAAAAGAATCATATGAATATTTAAAAGTATTCACATTTGTTACTTACAAATTTCAAGATTCAAGATTTTAAGACATTTTATTTAGCAATCACCATGAAAATATATAAAAATGATACAAAATACAGTATGGAATATAGAAGGGACCCAAAGAAAAGCAAATGTTTGCCTGGAATTGCCCCGAAAGAGAGAGAAGAAACAACAAGAGCAAAACAGAAACCAAGTAGATACAGAGTAAAATGAATCAATAGTAGATAGTTTAGGGTAACAATAACTTATTATAAAAGACACTAAAATTTACTAAAGTTTCCTTCCTTTTGACTTACCCATACATTGTTGCATTTCAATGCAACCAGAAGCCAATGTGGTGGTTCCGTTAGGGCACTGAAGGCACGTAGTGCTCAGAGGGAGAGACTGGTAAGATCCAATAGGACACGGCTGACATGGGGCTACGCCAGTGGATGAGAAATGGCCCGCATCACAGACATCTGAAAAATAATCAACAGGTTATGATAATTAGTGAGGAATTAAACCAATTAAAACATATAAGCAAAAAAGTTATTCGCAATTCAAGACAAGTCGCATAACAAACTTTTTTTTCTTGGGGAAGAAACAAGGTAGTCAAAGAAGTCACTGAAGATAGAGGTGGCAAGTGGTGGGCTTAATGGGTAATTGGGTGCCATCTCCCCAGCAAAACCCATTCTGACATATAATCTGTTTTGAGGCAGAATGGTGCTAGCATTGTTCTAGAGCATGCTTGAATCCATGCCTTTCTGACTCCAAACTGCTGACATCTAAACTACCCAGTGAGCCTAAAAATGTGGTAACCTTTTAAATATTTTTTTTTTTTGTGGTCTTGATCCCCCCTCTCCCCTTTTCTACTCTTCCGGCCAAATAATCTTGGATCGGCTCCTGATGACCATTGTAAAAGCTTTGACTGAATATGTCTTGAAATGCTTCAACAGCTGACTGCTTACCTAAACACTGTGTAGCATTGGTTGACCCTTCTTCCTCTGTCCACTTGCCCTCTTCACATGGGGTACACGCTGTCTGTGCTTCAGAGTCTTGGTAGGTTCCCCTGGGACAGGCCTGGCAAACCTGGGTCACGTTGTCATAGAAGGTCCCCACGATACAAGGAACTGGAAGATAATAACAATACTAATAATAGGTCTTATTACCCAGGGTGGCATCATCAGTATTAATAATGTTCTCCCTGAGGGCCCTGCAATCATATTATTACCCCAGCTTTAGACGAGCTGCTTTGATAAGGCGCGCAAGCATTCAAGTAATTTCTTCCTACGCCGAGATGGATTAGGCCAATTCAAGGAGGTACAACAAGGTTAATGACCAGTAGTCACTCTTGCAACTTATTGGGGGTTTTGATCATCGTGTCATGAATATTGATTTAGAAATAATGAAAAATAGAGATCAAACTTTAAAAAGCTGTAAAAAATGTTCTCACAGATATTCTCAAAAAATGTATAAAAATTATAACAAATTAAAAGAAATAAATAATAGTTGTATAGGCCTAAATGTCTTCATGTGACTATTCTCTGTCAGTACATTGCTAATATTTCACTACTCTGTTGATATTTTGCTTATTTCACACAGTTTAAACTAGTTAAACATAATAAAAACGAATGGATTTTTAAAACTATTTCTGCATCATACCACACTGTAGATCTTGATTGTCCGCTGTGAATCCATCATCGCATATGACCTCTGCATAGTCGTATGTCAGTGACTCCTCGTCCAGGGTGATGTTGGCTCCAGAAACATCTGTGAAATCAGGAAAGGTTCCTTCTATGATCTGATCGTAAAGGATATCGTTCATGGACACCATGATGTCCTCAGCAGCTCTGGCAGCGTCAAAGTTAGCCAGGCTTGGGTCTTGATCGATGTTTACCACAAAGTCCCATTCAATGGACACCAGGAAAGGACTGTCAGCCTGTCGCTTCAGGCGGTGTTCTGCCTGCTCCTCCGTCTGCAATGCAGAATCCACTTTCCCCTTGCTTCTAAAGAGTCTCCTTTGAGGAATCTCTCTACGGCCTCTTCGTCTGACCTCAAGGTTTGGTCCACATGTGACCTTGACATTATTAGCAGTGCACTGGTCAGACTGGGTGCAGACACCGCTGAAGTCAGTTCCCCGAAGGACTCCCAAGAAGGCATTTGCAATTTGGTTCAGGTTGTCCTGCGTGCCACACGCTCCAGAGAAGTATAGAAGCTCATTTGGAAGGTTGCACTGGCCTGGCCTCTTGATAGCTTTTAAGAATGAAAGCACAAATATTTAATCATTATGAAAAAATGTAATGAAATGAATAAAAACATTCAACTATGTCTATAGCCAAATCATTTATTTCATCCTATGGCGAAAAAATCTACCCTACTTTATTCTTGGTACATTGTATTTGGTATACAAGAGTCTCCAAGGTAGAACTCTCACTTTTCTCGGGTTTCTTATTCAACAGTGAAGATTGTAAAACAAAACATAAAGAATGTCAAAAATCAAATGTTCAAGGAGAGTAGTTTCAACATTAAAGAACTGCTGTTAATAGGATAAATTTAAGAAACACAGTTAAAAGGGCTGAAGCAACTCTAAACCATTATGTCCATTCAGCTGCATTTATCCATTCCAAGAACTACAAGATGCATGCATGCATCAACTAAAAAGAATTTTTCTTACGAATACCATCTTTTGTTTTACCTGAGCAATCTGGTACATAGGCATGAGGGCTCCAGAGGCCGCTCCCTCCACAAACATAATGTTCAGGGGGCTGCCGGGATGACCGAAGCCTTGGGATGTCATAGTCGTCACTGCAGAAAATGCTGCAGAATCGTCCATACGCCCATTGGTCACAGGACAATGCTCCGTTCCCAGGCGCTCTCAGCTCATTGCAAGTAACAGCTGAAAAATAATGAAGAAGTTATAACTTTGTTTTCATACAGCGCAATGTTTAAATGAATCATGGCAACATTTAATATTTGTTAATGTTTAATAGCCTTCTTGTTCATTTCGACTGTGCTGACAGGCTAGTATATAGATGGCAGGTTTAAATCCCTCTGGTTCCAAGATTTTATCTGACTTGTTTTTAATTACAAGATCGAGCATGCGATCTCTATTTTACTGGGTGCACGCCAACAATTTCTTTAAAACAAAATTCAATATGTTCAGGGGAAACAGCTGCAGAGCAAACTTATGCAGGAGACTTAAGATCACATCTTCAAGAAATAATATTTACAAACATATCATCTTGATACTTCCTATCAATATATAAACATGAAAGAAAAAGTGCTAATTTCTACAACTTACGTGCAACTGATACAGAAAAGTCACATCCAACCGTTTTTCCGTTGTCTGTATTTGAGGCTAGATAGCTGACAACATGTTCTCCCCATGGGAATGTTGCCATATGGTTGTCATGGTTACTGGTGATGAGGAGGTCATCACCAGTAACTTCCTCAAAGACTGGTATTTCCCAGGTGACTTCGGTCAAGACCTCACTGGTGTTGACATGGATGTCAGCAGGGCAGAAGACTACTACAGGAGGTATTTCATCTAGAGTACAAGAGTCAGTGCAATAATACATTATCTGTTCCATCCACAGCAGAGAACCTGGATGACAACTGACATGTACATACATAACTTAAAATTAACTGAAATGAGCTAAACTGACCAAATAAAAAATTGAAATAGACTGAACTAAACAGAACTAAATAGAAATTAATTTCCATTAAATATTTTAATCTTAACTGAACTATTTGAAACAACACAAAACAGGAAAACACTATGGTAAGCTCCACGTCAAAAACAGAACAGAAAGAAATATGACACATCAAAGAAACATAGAACCGAATTAAAGCAAATCTTAACATATTTGAATGGAGCTACATCAAAATCAAATGTGACTTAAATTTGAGAATTGAAACAATGAATAACCTATTACAAAACCTAAATGTGAGTTTAGGAGTTGTCTTTGATCCCAATTCTAGAGTTTCCTTGGATCTGATTCTGTGTATAATAATTTGATCTAAATCGAACTAGTTAATGCTGAACAAACAAATAATATACATAAGTCAGAAAACAAAGAAAACTGGCTAGAATTGATGTATTCTAAGAAGAACTATCTTTATAAGTTATCAAGATAAATTTGACACATCAATATACCATACACATCTTCAATCATAATAGTCACATTAATACAGCCCTTAAAACTACATTTCGAAGTGGTTTACATCAATAATAATAATAATAATAATATTTAGTTTTTATATAGCGCTTAATACAATGTCTCTAAGCGCTTTACAAATATACTATTGTAATTATTATCTCTAATGTTGTCCGCATTAACATATGCCTTCATTACCTTGCACATAGACAGAGAAAGAGCATGTCACAGAGTTGCCAGCTGAATCTGAAAACGTATAGCTAGCCACAGCATCCTCTGTGAAGTTAAAGGGGGAGATCAGATTTTCAGGCAAGGTGGTCACAGAGAGGACTCCATCGGCATTATCCTGAGCTCTGGGTAGGTCAAAGGTCACTTCTACACCCCAGACTTCAGTACGGATTATTGATATGGGGCCAGGGCAGAATGTCAACGTTGGAGCTACTTCATCTACAAGAGAACATAGAGCAAAATAGATTTGTTCAACGGATATTCAGATACAGCATATCTGTGTCGAGATCTGTAGAGATATTTTCACAGCCATGTCGAGAGGGTTTGTCAGGGAGGTAAACATTTTGAATAAAAGAATTTCAATACTGAGATTTATCATTATCAATCTACGCGTGTATATCAAGAGTAAGCAAATCTTGATATACAGTTGGAATGATTTTACAAAAATGTTTGACAGCTTTGTTGTCATATACATACATGACAGGTTACTTAAAATGTTTGCTCTCTACTAATGCATGTCACATCAATCGCAAATTTAACTTTAGATTTGATTATAATTTAATTTTGATTTGACTTTTGTTGAAGCAACTGATTCTGTTTCAAACAGTGTGGATCACTGCATCATTTCATCGTCCATACCAACGCATGTCACATCGATTGCACCAGCATCTAAGTCCCACTCTCCATCTGCGGCACAGGAGACTGAGTGTACAGCGCCCTCTAAAGTAAGTCCATTGTGGCAGAAGAAGGTGCATTCTGTCCCGTAGTAGAGCTTCTCCATACTGGTGCATGTGGCAGGGTACACATTGATGTTCAGTGGAAGATCCAGGGGGTCACATCCAACAACTGGTATGCAAAAAGGAAGATTTAAACCAAAAATAGGGGTAAACAAATTTAATACAAAAAAAAATCATAAAAAAGATACAAAGAGAGAGAGAAAAAAAATCCATAGATATGAGCTTTAGGAAAGGGAATTTTATTCTGGCAACTTCTGCTTAATCCATTAAATAGAGTAAGGTCACAAAATCTAATAGGTGATGCACACTGCTCTACAAAGTCCAAACTTCTACATCACAACTAAAGCATGCACATTTTACAGAAAAGAAAACAGATGAGACAGCGATTTAACAAACATGCAAGATCATAGGTTGCTGTATTTCCCTTCCTCCCTCCTCTAATGAAAATTAACACTTACTATCACAAAAGGGTGTTGTTTCTCTCTGCCAGTGCATGCGTTGCCCTGTGTAGTTACAATGAGTTAGGCTCGGACCAACGAGGAAGTATCCAGTAGCACATTCCACTTCACACTCGCTTCCCCATACGTTGTCACATGATCCAACGACATTACCAAACACGGGCGGGTAGAGAGGCTGACATCTTCTCACTAAAAATGAAATCAATATAAGAGGAAAATAATTGTGAAGACGGATTTAGGATTCAAGTTTCAAAAAATGGTGATGGTTATTTTACCTGACTGCTAACAAAGCATAAATGCTTGTAAGTAAGCAACCAGACGGCCGACGGCTTTAGGTCCTCTCCGAGGGACCTGGTAATGAGGATCAATGCCTCACCAAAGGGCACTAGCGCATCGCTTTGGTTTGAACCCGGGTCATCAGATTACGAGACCACTCCTCTACCGACTGAGCTATCGCGCCTCCTTCTAAGTAAAAGGGTAGCCTCATGAATTTAAATACTACTCTCCCTGATGGATCTCCGATCAAAGTTTACATGCTACTGCATTCAGTATTAAATCTATGTTGTATAATTAAAATAGAAACAAGAACATTGTTATCTCCTCTATAGGATACCATAGAAATGAAACAAAGAAGTTGGCGAATAGACATGAAAATCACCAGCTGCCACTAGATAGTGCACTACTGAGCCAACCATAATTATAACTGGGGGTGTTTCACGAAGATCCTAAGTTGGACTTAACAATTATGGAAAGCCGTTAGCAGCTATGAATTTAGAAGTCCAACTTAGAGTTAGGATCTTTATAAAACACCCCCAGCTCTCAAAAAATTCTTACATCTACTAACCTCTCACAGTGATCTCAAAGAAGCAGGTCTGTGTATTGCCTTTGGGATCCGATGCAGTACATTCTACAGCATAGTCCCCTTCAGGCATCACTCCTTGCTCCAGGTCACACACAATACTGGTGGCAGCGGTGGGATCGTTATCAGTGGCCTGTACATCCCAGGTGATATCAGTAAGCAGTTCTCCTTCAGGGGTATAGACAATGAAGTCATTCGGGCAGGCTGTGAACACAGGCTCTTCAATATCTGGAAAGAAGAAATGTAGTCCAAGTCCAAGAATAAATTCTTACCCTTCGAGCCTTTACAGTAGAATAATTACCTTAACAATATATCATGAGATTATTCACATTATGTTTCCGATTTCTTAGATCTAAAATACTGACAATGGTTCTTCTACAGATCTATCAGATCCAATGCCCTATTCGTAAACATTCCTATAACCACAGAGCCTTTCAAGTGACCCACAATTTTGTGTCAAATACAATCCATTTGCAGTCTCCTCATTATTTCATTCACTTTTCTTTTTAATTCAGTTTTTAATTAAATGCATACTACTACTCACTTTCTGTTTTTGTCTGTTAATAGAATCCCTGTTTCTTTGTACCATTTACTTTGTGAAATCATTGCAACTAAATGTTAAAGGTATGTGAAATATTTTAAATATATGTGCATTATGAAACAATGAACTGAAACTAACTTGTTTAGGTAGAGATTCTCGGGTAAACTCTATTCGGATTTCAACAAAATTGATAATTTAGAAATGAAATTGATCTGTTTTCCCCCTTTATTAAAGTCCTCGTAGTCAAAAAGGCCTAGAAAACAAAGAATGACAGCACTGTAAACCATCCAAAATTGCTGTTGCCCAGAAATCGAATATGATAACAGGGACTACTAACCAACACATGATGCTTGGGTGATGTTCCTGGACCAGAACCCAGTTCCTAGGCAAACCGTATCGCTCAGAATCCTTGGCTGGATCTGGAACCCAGGTGTGTTACATCGAAGCAGACATGTCTCTCCAAACGTGGGGTCTGTCTGGCAGTCAGCAGGTGTGATGGTGGCTCCATTCACCACTCCCAGTGGAGCACAGGCAACGGCTGTACAGAAACAAATTGTCAATTTTTAAATAGGTACATTATCTTTAAAAAAAAATCTATTCATGTATCTATGTATGTATCCCATTTCAGTCTGGAGGCTGATAGCAACATTCTTATACCCTTTCCATTTATGTACACGACTCCATTTGGTTACCACGCTGAGTATTTTTTTTCTTCAAATGGGTACTTGGCAATCTCTTTGGTCTTGATCTATAGTCATTATCTGACTGTAGATGGTGGTTTTGTGAATTGTTCTTAATAGCAAGAGCAAACACGCGATCAGTATTTACTGGGTGCAAGACAAGATTTCTTTACTAATTGATATTGCACCCAGGAAGCCTCCCATTGAAAGCCTAACATTTGTCCTTCCTCTTAAACAATAATAGTACCCAGATGTTATATTGTGCATTGCAAATGATCATCATAGTACCCCTTGATGATTATCTTATCTTCAACTTTGAGATTATTTATGTATAATGTGGTATGTGAAATATGCAAATATTACCTGTAATAAAACTGAAGAAGACAAACAAAATTACCTTGACAAGTGAAGTCAGAGCCACTCCAGGTCCCGTCAGCTTGGCAACGCTTCTGATGATCACCAACCCCTCTGAAGCCATAGGGACAGTAGAAGGTACAGAGGGTTCCGAAGGTCTCTTCTGCAGGTGGCTCCTGGTGGCACCCTGACCTGACTGCTAAAGGTGGGGTCGCAAGGGATGGGCAGGTACGGGCTGAAGGAGCAAAATACATGGAATTCTAAGGTTGAATAGTTATACTGGTAACACGAATCAATGAAGAAGTTTGTAACTCATGGTTTGAACACCTGATATTCCCTTAAAGCCCATCTGCACTAGTTTGGCTAGGTGGGATTAGACATTCCTGCAAGGTCACCGACAGATGGTTATCTCATCAAATCAGCTCTCAATTAACATAAGGAAAAGGAGATCATGGGGGACCAACGTGCACCGATTAGGCATCGTTTGCTATATAGAGGGTGCAAGTAGCTACAAGTAGTGCAGTGAGGCTTTAAGATTTTTCTTCTTATTTCATCGTTTCTACATGTATATATTTAGAAATTAGAGTATGTAAGGGTTACTATTCTTTCTGATTGGGTCTACCAATAGATTGGGATAGCCATTTCAAATAATAGAAAACATCACTATTCATTGATATTACATAATAATATATCTTTCAAGTATACCATGTTATAGGTTTTCCTTAAAAGACATTGTAGCTGAGATGTTAGTATCAATGTCATTATCGTTGTCATTGTCATCCTCATTTTTATATTAATTCATAGATTCCCCTGCTTCTTACGTCTACATGAGGGCTGTTCTCCGTCCCATGATGCAGGAGCTTGGCCTTGAGTCAGTTCACAGGTGCGTATGGATGGACCAACAAGCTCATAGCCCTGGTTACATGTGTAAGAACACTCTGAGCCATATATAGGGTCTGTGCAGTTGACAAGGGAGCCCCTGGATGGTGCTTGAGGTCTTCGACACCGGAAAACTGGATAAGCATCAGAAAGATAAATTGCAATTAAAGTGTGTGTTAACTTATACAACAGATAACTATGTGCTTCCTACTAGGGTCTCTCCTCCTAAGAATTGCAAAATATATAGTCAAACCTGTCTATAGCAACCACCCAAGGGAAACACAAAAGTCGTCTTTGTAGACAGGTTCCTTTAGAACATATTTCAATGAAAAAACATTTTCAAGGGAAAAAAAATATGGTGATTGTAGACAGGTGGTTACTAAAGCAGGTCTGACTTAAGTAGAAACATTAAAGTATGTGGGCCTTTCTGCACCACCTTGATTTCTGCAACACCTTACGGTTTCATTTGACAAATTTTCTTCTCCTTTTTTTGTTTTTATGTCAATCATATAGGTATGTATTTTCTTTATGATGTGTCTTTTACATGTATGTTTGTATTGCAAATAAGAGCTTGCTTAAAGAATATGTGTGTTCAAATAGATAAACAAGCAAACTGACTTATTGAATAATAAATCACACATAATGGTGAACTGCAGGAAGATCTGTTTTCTCACCATTAACATGAATATCTATCTGACAGCGGCCTGCATTGCCACTAGGGTCAGAAGCAACGTAGGAAGTCGTTGTAGTGCCTTCCAAAAAGGTTGCATTGGGTCCAGGCAGACCAGCGATTCTGTATACAAAATAAAATAAATTTAGATTAAACTCTACAAATCATTCAAAGGCTTGAGGGTTAACACATCAGACTGTTGTCTAGAAACCACTAAGAGTCACTCACAAGTGGATAAAATGGAGAAAGGCTGATTTTATTTCATCAAATACATTAACCAAACCCGTGACCTGTAGAAAATTATAGGTGGCTTTGAGATAAACGAGTCACATATCTTGTTGATATAATTACGACTTACCTTTTTACCGTGACATTCCCTGAGTTATCTGAAGCGCTAGGAATCACAAAATCCACGGTGGTATTGAGTGCTCCTCTGTCAGCGTTGACATTGATATACCTCGGGCAGGGTTCATCAAACGTGGGCTCCTGATGATCTGAGTAAGATATGAACATACAATTGAAATGAAACGCTGTGGGAATGAAGCTCGGTACATAAAATATTTATCTCATTGACCTATTTATATGTCATATTGAATGCATTTAAAGGCCCATTGCACTCCGTATAGCTACTTGCGCCCTCTATATAGCAAACAATGCCTAATCGGTGACCATTGGTCCCCCATGATCCTCTTTTTCTTATGTTAAGTGATAGCTGATTTGATGAGATAACCACCTGTCAGTTACCTTGCAGGGTGGTCTTATCCCTCCTGTAAACTAGTACAGATGGGCTTTAAACACCTGTGTGATTGAGCCCCCTGTCAACATTCACAGTGATATACTTTGATCATGGTTTGTCAAAGTGGCTTGATCTATACCTGATGTGAACACACTTCTTGAGATAAAATTGAATTGAGATTTATTGTCCCTTTCAGGAAAACTTTTTTACACTGGTTTCACAGTCATTGTACATGGACATAATACAAGAAGAAATACATAATACAATAATAGCAAATGTATATCATCACAAACATCATAACATTCTGAAAATTATTGTTACATTGTAAACGGAACAATATATACACTGCTCAATTGCTAAATATTTCAATTTATTGTTCAATGGTCCTTTCTGAACCCTTTTATCAAAATTCCCATTGAATGTGTTCCCACAGAGGTACATTAAGCACTGCTAATCGACATTGGTCTACTGAGGATCTACAGAAGATTTGTGAACCTATTGTTCTAACCACCCTTTAACGTGTTTCTCATTTTTGAGATGTTTCACATCATTGAACATATTTTATCCAAGCACTTTCAAATTATTTGCAAGTTCAGATCTTTTCTTTCTATTGCACAATTATGTTGAAGCATGTGTCCATTTATTTTCCTGATTCTAACAGCATTTGCTTTCTAGTTGCCCAACAGAAAAGTCTTTTCAAGTAAATAATTAAAGGGAGTGTCTCACTAAAAAAAGCCTTAATTACTCTTAATTTTATTAGAAGAATTCCTGGTGACCTTGTTCAAGTTCCCCTTTTCCCTGTATCATTTTGTAAAAGATATAAGCCTAAGATGAGGGTTTATGATAAGTTATAAGATTAGAGAAAGGGTTGGATTAAAGTTCTGCATATAGTTAGTGTAGGGAATTGACTGCAAAGTAATTTTTGCTCAAGCAATTTTTTTAGAACCGACAGGATCACTGATATCAAAATCATATTAATCACCAGGAAGAAATAATATCAGTATTCTGATTCTTTAATGAAACTTGGTATATTTTGTTTCCGTTAAAATATACTTACCTTCACAGTAGACAATCCTGTTGTCACTCCAGGTGCCATCTGCTGTACAGGTTTTGGCAAAAGAACCATGCTGCAGGAAACCATTGTTGCATAGAAAATTGCAGGGAGTGTCATAAGGAATCCTGGAGTCCGAATTGGTACACTCTGCTGGTGATACAGTACCATGGTCCAGTCTGAAACCGGACAGACAGCTCACAGAAGCTGAAGTATGAAGAGATAGAGGAAAAGACTTTTAGATTCATAACTGTTGTTGTAAACAAAGAGAAATTGACAGTAGACAATGAAGTCGCAGGATATGCCACAAAGTGCCCTGGCTGGCACCATTATTGGTATGCTCTGCTAGTCATACGGTACCATGGCTATATTATTAGGATGAAACCAGACTGACTGCTCACAGAAGCCGACATAGGAAGATAAAGAAAACAAATCTAGATTCATAAACTATTAAGCAGAAGAGAAAACCATTCTTGCAGGAAAAGATGGAAGAGTTACCATACGGTACCATGGCACAACCATGGGTATACTATGCTGGTGATGTGTTGCTTTGGTTCAGCCTAAAACCTACATGGACAGTTTACAGAAGCTGACAAGGGAAGATTCAGAGGGGAAGAGGAAGCCAATGTTCCAGAGGAAATTGCAGGATGAGCCGTACTGTACTCTTCGAGGTGACAGGGTACACCGTACTGGAGATACAGCACCATGGCTCAGACTTACACCAGTTGGACAGGACACAGATGCTGACATTGGAAGCTTAAGAGGGAAACATTTATACTCGCATCTATTGTTGTCAGTAGAAGAGGGTTTGTCGACATACAGAAGAACTTAAAGGTAACGTTAGACAAGATTTTATAGATAGATTTATCATCTTCATTGTCCTTGTTGCCCTAAGGAATCTAATGAGAACTTTTAACAACAAGGTAATATTAACCGTTACAAACAAGGTAATTATCCATTACAAACAAGGTAACTAACCATTACAAACAAGGTAATTAACCATTATAAACAAGGTAAATAACCATTAAAAACAAGGTAATTAACCATTATAAACAAGGTAATTAACCATTATAAACAAGGTAATTAACCATTACAAACAAGGTAATTAACCATTACACACAAGGTAACTTACCATTATAAACAAGGTAAATAACCACTATAAGCAAGGTAAATAACCATTATAAACAAGGTAATTAACCATTACAAACAAGGTAATTAACCATTATAAACAAGGTAAATAACCATTACAAACAAGGTAATTAACCATTATAAACAAGGTAATTAACCATTATAAGCAAGGTGATTAACCACTATAAGCAAGGTAACTAACCATTACAAACAAGGTAAATAACCATAACAAGGTACTTAACTATTATAAACAAGGTAGTTAACTATTATAAGCAAGGTAACCAACCATTACAAACAAGATCCTCTCCTGAGAATATTCCATCTGCAGTGCAGGTACGAGTCGCTCTCTTAAGCCCCTGTTCTGTCAAGTATCCATCATCGCAAGCAAACTCACACTGATCTCCGTATGATGCATCTTCAAAAGGGCAGCCTCGTACAGAGCTGTTGGCAGAGGGTTGGATTTCACATCTTGCCACTTCAAAAAGAGATTTGTTAAACAGTGAGGTCATGTATTTTCTGTTTAAGCGCTAGGCAAGGAAAATATGATTATCATTTTGACACAAATAATATAAAACAATATTTCTGCATCTTTAGTGTTCTCGTGAGCAGCACACTTTGATTTGAAACCCATAACAATTGTGGAAATTAGTCAATTTTAAATTTTGGGGCATTAACATTCCAGACTTCATGAATACTTTGTTTCCCATTTTGAGAATACTTTAACCTATCAAGCAATGCAGTATTCATTCATTAAACAAATAGTAATTACCCAATTTCATAAAAAATAATGAATGCAAAACTTCTGTGAGAACATATCCAGTATTTGTTCAATGATATTTTGCAATTTTGCCTGCTCATGCGCATAATGTATCTTTATCTCCAAACTGGCTGTTTTTAGCTAATCAGGCAAAGAAACTCACATACCTTGACAAATCGGCACATTCTCATTCCATGCTCCAACTGTATTACTTCCTCCTCCACTCTGCCCACATATCAACTCCACATGCTCCATTTTGTCTGGGAGGTCGTAACCAAGGCTACAGGTCACTTGGCATGTTGACCCCAACACAGCTCCACCCTCACATGACCCCTGACCCAGGAGTAGAGTAACATGACCTTTCGATGGAGCATAAATAGGCGGGCATCTTACCACTGGAAAATACAAATAAACAATGAAGAGTTACAAAGTCATTTCGTGAACTAAAATATTTTCAAGTGAACCACTAATTATGGAGTCTGAGAATACTTCTTAATAATCTTGTCATTGAATTCCTTCAAATAAGATATCACATGGGTGACCTTAATAAACAAGTTCTAATAAATTTCCTGCTTTTATTCGGGTCAAATTAATTCAAAGGTTGACTTTTGATTTAGCTGATAGACACGGCACATTATATATGTTCACTATATTATTATTATTTTAACTACACATTCCCATCAGCTTTCTCAACACATCATTAGAAATGGAGGGAGTGGTAACTATATATTTCTAACTTTTCTAATACACTCTATAGAATGAGTTTATATTATATCTACTGTTACAAAATATTGATTACTGAACTTTCACCTTTGACCTGGAGGTCAAAAGAGCATGTATCAGTGTTGCCTGCAGCATCTGTTGCTCTATAGACCAGAGAGTGATCTCCTTCTGTGAGGGTGGTTGGTTTGGATCCAATAGGGTTCGAATCGATGCTCTCCAACTGAGCAACTATCATCAAGCCTGCGTCTGATGCCTGTGTGTACATCATCATGAAAACAGGGTAAATGGCAAAACATGATTGTACTTATCATGATCTTCCTCATTATTGTCATTATTTTCTAGCGCTCACCTTAATGTTTTTGCTTCATATTCCTCTTTTTCCTCATTACAAAAAATATTATTGCATTCAATATATTGAAATCATTTTCGATATAAACTTGTCACATACTGTGCTCAATGAGGTTTACAATAAAGCCGGGGTATACAATATGATTGCAGGGCCCTCCGGGAGAACAGTATGAATACTGATGAGGCTACCCTGGGTAAACAAGACATAATATCCATATAATAATACGCTAAGGCGTCGAGGGGGGTATCCGGGGTCCATTTTACGGCGCCCAGATCTCCCCTCCCGCCCGCCCCCGGGCGCCGCCGGGCGGTCCCGCGGACGGACGGGGTTTCAATCTACAGAATTGGCCACGTCCCGGCCCTGTGCGACGTCCCGGTCGTCGTCGATGCGTCCGCACGTCCCACTTATCCGTCACGAATTTCATGCTTTAGCATGAAACGGAAGTGGACGAGCGGTCTGAGGCGCCGGTTGCGTTCGATTCGCCGGCAGCTCTTGCACTTTTTGCACGCACGGGTTCGATCCCGCCTCCGTCGCAAGTTTTTTTTTTCTTCCCCGTGTTTGTTTTGTATATTTTAGATGTTGTAATCTTTACCATTTTTTAAATGAGTCGAGTCTTTATTTGATATTTATTAGCTTATTTCATGATATCTAGGCCTAAAATCAGCGCAACAGATGTCTTCCCATATCCACGTCCAAACTTAGAGACCTATTTCCATCATTATTGCCGGGATTTTTATATAGTTTTCGTGAGTGGAGGTATGAAATCAAAGCTTTTTTTGTGATTATTCTGGCCATGTTTACTCAGTTTTGATTATCATTTATTAAAGGAAAGTTTTCACAAGAAAATCAGAGAAAAACATCGTTCAGTTTCAAGAGCTCTGCCGTACGCATACAGTGTGTAGTGCAGTGCAGCTAGCTGCGCTGGCTGCTCGACTGAGCTGAGTGAGTGAGTGAGCTAGCTATTCAGAGTCGAAGAGACTATGAAGGGCCAAACATGCCAATATTCGACAACTATACGCTATATTATGTATCCATCCATGCGACTATTTATGTCTATCCATTCATTGAAGTAGGCCTACACGTGAATTACACAACAGCGGGCAGGCCGAAGTGCCATAAGATCGTTGGGGGGGGGGCAAAATATTTTTTTTTGCATCTTACATGTTACAAAAAAAATCTGCATCTTACATGTTACATGCAGACCCCACAAAACATTTTTCAAAGTGTGGGGGGGGGGGGGGGTCAGGTAGATCGAAGCGAGTTGAGTGTAGGCGTGGGGTCCACGGGTTTCAAGGGGCCATAAACCCCCGAAAGCTCGGGGGGTTTAGGCGTTTAATTAGGGTCAGATGAGCATATTTTCAATACTTTATTTGGCGTGGGGTCAAAAGGTAGAGTTGCATAGTGTTGCGTACCAACTACACTGGCCTACGTTACTATATGCTGGGGGACGGAAAGGGGTACGCAAGATGAACAAAAACAATTCAACATGTTTAATTTTTTTCGCGTACTTTCGGCGTAGAAACTTGACGCAGAAAGTACGCCTTTTTACGCAACACTACGCTACATGACTACGCAACAGTACGCTACCCTACGCCAGATTGACAAAGCAGTAAAAGCTTTCCACACAGTAAGCAACCATAAGCAAACCTGTACGCCAGCCTACGCATAACCTACGCAGGGACTATTTTCCCATTAATACGCAGCCTAATTTCTGCGTAGTCGGTACGCCACACTACGGAACTCTACGCAGTTCCAGTGGCTTAAAGAATAACTACCTGTATAGTTGGATCGTTTTTTTTTTTTTATATAAGGCCAAATTTAAAAAAAAACATGTTTAGCGTCCTGTTTTTTGGAAAAATGGGAAGGAGGCCCTTTTTTTCTTTTTTTTTTCTTTCAAAATGGCCGCTCCGTACATTTTCCCTGACATTCAGCCTATTTTTCAAGATGGCGGCCGACAATTTTTTTTTTTCTTTTTTAAAATCAGAAATACATTTTAGCAGTGCTTTTCATGTTTTTTTTCTTTCAAAAAAAATAAATAAATAAAAAAGAAAATAAATAAATTAAAAAAAAAAAAAGGAGGCGGCCCCCAAAAAGGAAGCAGGCGGGAACGCTGTTTTTTTTCTTTCAAAAATAAAAAAAATAAAAAAATAAAATATTTTTAAAAAAAGCGGGCGGGGACGCTAAACATGTATATTTTTTTAATGACCTGAATGGCAAATAAAGTTCTTGGTGGTTTTAATTTAGACAGTCTCTATATATCTATTTACACCCCCCGCCCCCCTCTAGAATCCCGCGGATTTCCGCGGGTCCTGCTAGTCCATATAATAATACGCTAAGGCGTCGAGGGGGGTATCCGGGCTCCATTTTACGGCGCCCAAATCTCCCCTCCCGCCCGCCCCCGGGCGCCGCCGGGCGGTCCCGCGGACGGACGGGGTTTCAATCTACAGAATTGGCCACGTCCCGGCCCGGTGCGACGTCCCGGTCGTCGTCGACGTCGTCGATGCGTCCGCACGTCCTATATATCCGTCACGAATTTCATGCTTTAGCATGAAACGGAAGTGGACGAGCGGTCTGAGGCGCCGGTTGCGTTCGATTCGCCGGCAGCTCTTGCACTTTTTGCACGCACGGGTTCGATCCCGCCTCCGTCTCAAGTGTTTTTTTTTTCTTCCCCGTGTTGTTTTGTATATTTTAGATGTTGTAATCTTTACCATTTTTTAAATTTTAATTAAAATGTAGACCTGATATTTAAAATTTAAACGAGTTGAGTCTTTATTTGATATTTATTAGCTTATTTCATGATCAGCGCAACAGATGTCTTCCCATATCCACGTCCAAACTTAGAGACCTATTTCCATCATTATTGCCGGGATTTTTATATAGTTTTCGTGAGTGGAGGTATGAAATCAAAGCTTATTTTGTGATTATTCTGGCCATGTTTACTCAGTTTTGACTATCATTTATTAAAGGAAAGTTTTCACAAGAAAATCAGAGAAAAACATCGTTCAGTTTCGAGAGCTCTGCCGTACGCATACAGTGTGTAGTGCAGTGCAGCTGCGCTGGCTGCTCGACTGAGCTGAGTGAGTGAGTGAGCTAGCTATTCAGAGTCGAAGAGACTATGAAGGGCCAAACATGCCAATATTCGACAACTATACGCTATATTATGTATCCATCCATGCGACTATTTATGTCTATCCATTCATTGAAGTAGGCCTACACGTGAACACAACAGCGGGCAGGCCGAAGTGCCATAAGATCGTTGGGGGGGGGGGGGGGGGGGGCAAAATATTTTTTTTGCAATTTACATGTTACAAAAAAATCTGCATCTTACATGTTACATGCAGACCCCACAAAACATTTTTCAAAGTGTGGGGGGGGGGGGGGGTCAGGTAGATCGAAGCGAGTTGAGTGTAGGCGTGGGGTCCACGGGTTGTGGGGGGGGGGCGAGGGGGATCAGGTAGATCGAGGCGAGTTGAGTGTAGGCGTGGGGTCCACGGGTTTCAAGGGGCCATAAACCCCCGAAAGCTCGGGGGGTTTAGGCGTTTAATTAGGGTCAGATGAGCATATTTTTAATACTTTATTTGGCGTGGGGTCAATACGTAGAGTTGCGTAGTGTTGCGTACCAACTACGCTGGCCTACGTTACTATATGCTGGGGGACGGAAAGGGGTACGCAAGATGAACGAAAACAATTCAACATGTTTAATTTTTTTCGCGTACTTTCGGCGTAGAAACTTGACGCAGAAAGTACGCCTTTTTACGCAACACTACGCTACATGACTACGCAACAGTACGCTACCCTACGCCAGATTGACAAAGCAGTAAAAGCTTTCCACACAGTAAGCGACCATAAGCAAACCTGTACGCCAGCCTACGCATAACCTACGCAGGGACTATTTTCCCATTAATACGCAGCCTAATTTCTGCGTAGTCGGTACGCCACACTACGGAACTCTACGCAGTTCCAGTGGCTTAAAGAATAACTACCGGTATAGTTGGATCGTTTTTGTTTTTTATATAAAGCCAAATAAAAAAAAAAAACATGTTTAGCGTCCTGTTTTTTCGAAAAATGGGAAGGAGGCCCTTTTTTTCTTTTTTTTTTCTTTCAAAATGGCCGCTCCGTACATTTTCCCTGACATTCAGCCTATTTTTCAAGATGGCGGCCGACAATTTTTTTTTTTCTTTTTTAAAATCAGAAATACATTTTAGCAGTGCTTTTCATGTTTTTTTTCTTTCAAAAAAAATAAATAAATAATAAAAAATAAATAAATAAATAAAAAAAAAATAGGAGGCGGCCCCCAAAAAGGAAGCAGGCGGGAACGCTGTTTTTTTTCTTTCAAAAATAAAAAAATAAAAAAATAAAATATTTTTAAAAAAAGCGGGCGGGGACGCTAAACATATTTTTTTAATGGCCTGAATGGCAAATAAAGTTCTTGGTGGTTTTAATTTAGACAGTCTCTGTATATCTATTTACACCCCCCGCCCCCCTCTAGAATCCCGCGGATTTCCGCGGGTCCTGCTAGTTATTATTATTATTACAATACCAAGTGTGACCGAGGATTCAGTTTTGATATGGGTTTACCTGTACTGGTTCAAGCTGATCCCAGTTGACTGTACCCACTGATCGGCCAGGGTCTGCATAGAGCACAGTATCAGGAGGACAAAGTACATTCGGAGCTGTCAAATCTGAAAATATGAAGAAAAATATGAAGCATAAAGGTTTCAGCATAGATTTAAATAAAAGAAAAGAACATCATTAAACAAAACATGTTTCTGAGTTTTAATATCTGCACAGAGCACTCTGTACAGTATTGAAGATAATTTAGAATGCATGCCTTGAATTTACACATCCATTTTTTTATTTATTTATTTCTGATATTTATACAGGGTGGCACATATCACCAATTTGGTGGTCTTCCATGAGGCCCTGTTTGGTAATAATACAAACAAATAACAGCATCAAAAACAAAATAGATAAATACACAAGCATATAAACAGGTAAAATACAAAATAATTGGTATCCCCTTGAAATAACTGATCATTCAAGAATCATCCTTGATCATTTACAAGAAATAGGTAAATGGAATTTTCAAATTAAATATAATTTTTTAAAAACGTTCATTTAATAATCTGATAAAGCTTAACGCACGGGATACCAAAATTGTTATATACATATTTAAATTCAATTGCTCTTTAACTAATACACTTAGCTTGTTTACGAGATAACTGAAAATGGATAAATTACATGTATGAATATATGATATAACGATAACCATGTCAACCAAATTTCATAATTTTGCAAATAGGAAAAAAATGGTTACCTTTGCACGAAACCACCAAAAGTTCACTTACACGTCATCTACAGATAACAGGGCATATCACCATCGAACTTGAATATCTTCCAGAATTATATCATAGGCAATATCTAACCATTCTGATTTTATTTGTATTAATTATTAATCTGTAACATTTTGACTGGAACATAATTAGTTAACATCCAATTTCGGACTGGCTACTAACTTTCTACACCCTCATCATCTTGGAAGATAACTACATTTTCCTCTATCAAAAATTTCTTATGGGGTTCATCCATTGCTAGCATCTTAGTACCAGTATATTGGTGAAGGCCAGGAAGAGCAGTATTCAAGCAGGATTTGTATCCTGTGTGTATACGACCAACAAATTATATTATCATAATCCTGAGTCATCTTGTACATAGTATTCAACAGGTTAAATGATCTGCCTACCAACACAAGTCTGTGCCAGACCATCCCATCGGCCATCAGCCAGGCAGCGCCTTGTAGTAGTACCAATGGGAGTGTAGCCCTGACTACAGAGGGTGATACAGGTAGTCCCATAGGCCTGTCTCATGGTGGGGTCCCTAGCTTGATCAGCTAGCTGGCAGCCATTCACATAGCCATGTGATGGGATGTCCAAAGGCAGGCACTGGACAACTAGAAAGAACAGAATATCACTCATGTATAAAAAGAACTTGTGTGACAGATGTGTACATCAGTATTGTGATTTCCTTGAGATAAAAATTATGTATTTGTAACAAACATAATGACAGTGAAAGAGCGCATGGCCCGAATTCACAAACATGGACATCTGACGGTTTCACACTTATTTTGCGCTAATTTTGGACCATGGGTTATGTAAATGAGGGTTTAAACCATGGGTTAAATTTATACCTCTTTTGTTAATTCGGGTCAATGAGTTCCAAGTTTTTTCATATTTACAATTCATGTAAGCTTTCCACACAGTAGAAACATGGACTTTAGATTCTGATACTAAAAAGGGGTTTGGAAAGCCAGGGTAACATCAGTACAACTGACTGATGGTTAAAAACAGTAAATGCTAACCTGAGCAGGATATAGGGCCTCCACTCCAAACTCCACCTCCCTGCCCGTCATCCTGACACACCCTCCTCACAGGCGTGGCCTCACTCGCCTCATGTCCAACGTCACAGAAGAGGGAGCATACGCTGCCGAAGAGCTCTCTGTCATGGGGGCAACCACTTTTACCCCCATGGAGTGGAGCTGGCAGATTACTGGCTAGGCAGGTAACAACTACCAAAGAAAAAGAAAAAGAAAACTACATCAAATGATTAAGTGGCTATACAAGTCAAGAATTCAATGTGAAAGCTAGTAGGCAAGCCCAAGGTATTAGTTCATTTATAGTCCTGTTACTTTGTAAGTATTGAGGAAATATTAACGTAAATTCACATCAATTATGTTTAATATATTGTTTCTTACTTTGGTCTGACCTACGCTCTTGTAAGGCTTTAACAAATCTTGTAGGGCTATAAAAATACTAAAATCTTATATGTACTCTATGGGACATTGGCTTGTACTTACCAAACTACGGAATTGTTTAAATTATATCTATTTATTTATTCAATGTAAGCGAAAGGTTGGATTTCAAATTTAAAGCCATAGGTTTCCCTTGTTTAACTAAAACCAGATCTGTCTGTATGGAGCCAGAAGGGCATTAACTCATATACCTAAACACAGAGTTAACGCCCTTCTGGCTGTCAACAGATGATATTTTGTCTTCATTTTCAAATAGAATAATGACCAATCAAATCAAATCAAACCATATAATCCTTGTCATATGAACGTATAAAACAAGGGTGATGAAATGGTGGCAGTGGTGGGATATGTTCTAAACCATCAAAATGACTGAATCTAGCTTGCCTTAACCCTAAAGACAAACAATGTTACACAGTGTAATGTCCCCTTAACACCCTAAATGTACAGCTCCGAAACACAAAATGATGACTAATTATTAATTAATTAAGACTTGAAGCAAATGTGATTGCTTTGACTACAGCATATTGAAGAGTTACTTGTGCTGAGTTCACAAGTTTTGGACTACAGTATCTAAAGAGTATCAAACATAACTTGCCTTTGCAGGTTGGGAGAGGGTGTTCCCATGACCCGGTAAGGCCGCAGGTTGCCAGAGATGCTCCTTGTATGAAGTACCCCTGGCTACACTCAAATTCACATTCAATTCCAGCAGGGATTTGAACCTCTGTCCCACATACTGAGAAATCATCAGGCACTTCCAGCGGTCCTTCAAGGTCGGGTCTCTCGCAGGTTTCCACTGAATGGACATTTGGATATTTTAATATAGCAGTCAATCACTATTCTAATTATACATACTGTTTTCACAGCTATATGTTTAAATTCATGCACATTGATGAAATTTGTTCAAAATAGTTTAATAGTGTAATTTAAAAGGATTAGTGAGGATGAATTTTATATTGACTCAACTACTTTTGTAGATGCTTTTTTTCAAACAAATTCATTATAGGCCTTAAGTAATACATACATACAAATTAAATTGTATACAGTATAATGATGTAAGAATTTTATCTAATATGACCTGTCATGGGCCCAGGTTTGGACTATGGACATTATTCAAAAGTTAACAAGATCTTTATTATGAAATAAAGACTCAACAAAAAAGAGAAATTAACATACCTTCACACCTTGGAGAGTTCCCTTCCCAGAATGCTTCATCACTTCCTGTCTGTGCGGAACATCGGAGCACATTGTTAGTAATACTAAAACCAGGCAAGCAATCGAAGTAGCATGAAGAGCCATATGATGTCTGGCAATGTCGACCGTTCAGGAACACACCATTCTCTGGGGGCTCTAGTGCAGAGCATTGAAGTACTAGAATAATGAAAATTGCAGATTAATGAAAATATCATAAGGGAAGGTGGTGATATTTAGAATATATTATTCCACAAAAATATGTTTATTACAATGACTTTACATGCATTGAAGGAATATACCTCTGTGTATCAAAAAAATTATGAATATTTTAAAATTGTGTTGGTTATTTAAAAGCTTCCCATTTAAAAGAATCTTTGTCACGAAAATAAGTTCGGGGGTGAATTAGAAAAAAAGTTCCAGAGATGTCAATATGTTAAGAGCTGTAATGCTTTTCCATTAACGAAAGACAGAAATTACATTAGTAATTTCAGTTGGTTAATGCAGTAGGCCTATTCTGTTAGCTTTCCAAAAAGCACAAAACACACAAACCTTCACAAGCTGGAGGTTGAGACGTCCATACTCCTGCGAAACCATCTTTTTGGCATGATGATGATCTAGGTCCCTGGAGACGGTAACCGTGACTACAGGTGAATTCACAGGTCGAACCTCTAAGGTTGCCATGCTCGCAATTGACAATGAGACCAGGGGTGATTGGCATGGTGGAACAACGTATGACTGATGAAATAAAAGAAAACCCACAAAACACAAAACAATGAACATGAACATATTTATCATCACATTTTAACAGGAATGTAAATTGTCAATTAGATAAATTGAAGTCGAGTTAAAGTAAAAGTAATGCATCATTCAGATGTTGTTTTGTGTTATAGCCGTTCCTGTTTAAAGATGTGAAGATATGCAAACATTTGCCAACCCATTGGTTGTCAAAATATGTCTTCTATGTCAATATCATATGAAAAAGAAAAAAAAACAAGTCTAGCCTTTGTAAACCAAACTTTACCTAGAGGGTGCAAAGAATAATATAATGTCAAAAAGTTACACCACACTTTTCTTTATAAGCTTTTCATTTGAACAACTTGCATGAAGTATAGTTACTTCCTCTAAAGCACTTTAAGCTCATAATAGCCCATCTTTAATGACAAATATGATGGTCATACATTAAAGTCTTTCAGCTTTTAAAAAATGCATTTAAAGGTAAAGACCAGTTATGGTCATGCGATTGCATTGTGAAAGAAACGTTGTGGAATCGATCAGAAAAGGTTGATCATCTAGCATCTAGCATCTGCAAGGTTCTGGAATTATCAAAATGATAAGAAATTCGGCCCATTCTTCGTAAAGTTACAAGCACTATACACAGAAAGATGTATATGGGACTACCCTATATCTCTCACAGACCATGAGAGAAACAAAATTTACCAAATATATGAATTAGTAGACGGTTTCCCGGCAAATTTTTTATCATCATGTATTAGTCAAAACATATTTTTTCACATGATTGGTAATGAGAGCTTCCATTTCATTTTTTGAAATTGGGGCGTTTCCAATACTGGTCTTTACCTTTAATGTTCAGGTATCGTTAATATTATCCTAAATACAATAATAAGATTGATAATTGCAAAAATGTCCAAACCTTGAACAGTGACTGTAAATACACAGGTGCCCTCGTTCCCTTGTCCATCTCGGGCTACGTAAGTGATTACATAATGGCCCTGGGGAAGCTGTGCTCCAGGGGCAGGACCATCATGAGTGACATCCGTGATGGTGGCACCAGAGTTATCGATGGGTGTGGGTGGAGTCCATGATCCTATCCCGCTCTCCTGTCTGTCCTCTGCGTAAAGGATCTGAGATAGAGGGCAGTCTTCAAAACTAGGCCCTGCAGTGTCTGAAAAATAAAAAGAATGGGTTCTAAAGATCAATGTAGAATCCTCAGGACTACTTCAACTGACAATGGATATATTTTACCCTTTCAAATAAATATTCATGATTGCAGGCCAAATTTATCAGAAGTTCTATATGAAAATATGTCATGAATGGATTTCCTTTATACTGCAAAATCTTGTGTTTTGATGATTTATATTTATACCAAGTAGGAATTTTCATGTAACAATAACTTATTTTACTTGAAATTGCAATATTCATAGTAAAATAAAAAAAGGCTGTGGATTTTCATTTGCCATATTTACATACACATTTTTTTCAAAAATCCATTACGTACCGAGGACCTATCATTTGGAACTCACTGACCTCATCAATTAAATAATCTCAATCACTGAATGTTTTCAAAAGAAGGTTAAAATTATGTATTCTTGCAAAATATTAATCTAATCTGGCTGCTGCCTACCAAGCAACTTTTATATTATTGTACCCATGTATTCTATTCTGTTATGTAACAATGTAGTTCGTTGCATGATGTTTTTTTATGGCTTGGTGAAATTAAATTGAATTGAATTGGATTAAATTGGTTGGTCTATTTACCGGTAACACATTGAATAAACTATAATTTTTACACAATAAAAATACTTCAAAACTTATATCCCCCCCCCCATCACCTAATTGAAACAAAAATACAGTTCATTCATTGTTTGTTTACCAATAGGTAAACATGTCTCGTGCTTTTCCTGCCCCCTTCTCCATCAAAACCAGGCCATCCTAGCAATTTCGGACGTTAAATGTTTTGATAATCATTTTTTGTATTATTATTTTATTTCTTTTTGCTTGTCACACATTTTTGTTATACTTATGCCCGCAGCAATAGAATCCTGTATCTCCCAATTTAAAGACATGGTTAATCCCATAACAATAATGGGAAAAGGAGAGGGGAGGAGAGGGGGGGGGGGGTAAAGTACTGCACACAAATGATACCTTGGCACTCTGGTTTAGACCCAGTCCATCCTGATGAGGTGCAGACCCTGCTGCTAGACTGACCCAGGGGTATATCGTAACCCTTATCACAGGAGTAGGAACAGACACTCTGGAAAAGATTACTTTGAGTGCAGGAGACGATCCCTTTCTCAGGAGGAGATGATACGACGTCAGCTGAGCATGTCAGTTCTGGTTGGAAATAAAACAAATAGAATTAGAAATGTTCATGTGATAGGAAAACAAAATACGAGAGGTGCATGACGTAGTATGTGCATGCATAAATCTATTGAGAGCCTGAAGGCTGGGCATTAACTCTGTTAAAATTGATGAATTAACGCCCTAATATGGATCTTGACAGATGGGGGGGGGGGGGCACTCCCCCCACTCCGGGAACGGAGGGACTGCATGCATGTTTCCAAAATTTCCGGCTCATAACAAAAGAAAAAGGTCTACCCATATTGACTTTACACACCGGACTTATGCTGAAAAAGGGGGAGGGGGTGCTGAAAAGGCTTGTATAACAAAAGAAAAAGGTCTACCCGTATTGACTTTACACACCGGACTTATATGCTGAAAGGGGGGGGGGCGGTGCTGGGAACACGCATATGCGTACCCTAAATAACACTCAGTGGGGGGGGGGGGCGGGGAGAAGCCCTCCTTGCCAGTTGATGATGACTAATGCAGAAGAATGGGTCTCAACACCCTGCAGGGCAAGTCAGTTATGGACCCTGTTTCATAAAACTGTTGAATAACAAGTTGCAATAAATGTTATAAGCTGATGAAACCGTAACGGCCGGTGCATTTGATTGGGTGAGAGTAACAGAAGTGTGACAATGTTATTGATAACAAGATTTATGAAACGGGGCCCTGGTTTAAAATAAAACAAATAAAATGAAATTAAAACAAACAAAACAAAAAAGAAAACATCCCCCAAACGATCGGCCTCTCGATCATCATCAACAATCGAAAGCCACGAAGTTACCGCGTAATTTTACTTTGCAGCTTAGCTTATTAATTCTAGAGTTGTATATCTATCATTTTCTTTAATTGGTATTGGATCATCGCTTTCTCAAAATGTTAATCATATTGTATTATGTCTGTCAAAACAAAAATAGTTATACCATTTTTTTTTCATTTTTTTTTACTTCAACCAAGTTTACTCACCGACACATCTCAGCTGCGACCCGCTCCAGTCAGCTGTTAGCAGGGTTGGGGATTGTCTGTTTTCAGTACACACTCTATCGGCTGTTCCACCGCTGAGCGTGTATCCCTGAAAACACGAATAGTGACAGGAGGATCCAACAAGGTTTCCTTTTGTACACGAAACATACCCGCGGTCCAAATGGCTGATGGAGCTACATTTGATCACTTTAAGCAGGAAGATGATAAAGAAGGAGGGGAAAATCTTGTAAATTATTCAAACGCATGCGTGAGTTCTAAAACTATTACCATGGGATGTGTCACTATGAACATCACTGACAAAGAAAGCGGACAAAATATACAGTTCCTCATGCAGGTAGACAAAGGAAAATCCCTTCACTGCTATTATGTAAACATGTGTGGAACAGGTGTCACATGCATATTCACCTGTTCTACACATTTTTAAATAATAGCAGTGAAGGGATGTTCCTTTGTCTACCTGAGGAACTGTATATTTTGTCCGCTTTCTTTGTCTGTCATATTCATAGTGTGTACATTCCACTTGGCTTTGAAGCTCCATGCTCCGGGGAATTTCGGAGGCCAGGCACCATGCATGCAGTCTCGCATTTATTACAAAATATTAAATTATACCGGCAAAATTTCAGTGTAAATTATCAACTTTATATGGGGATTGCGTTGGGAATAGTGCATCAAATAATTTTTTCAAATTAAGTACACTGCCCTTCCTATATTTCGTGTGACAGAGTTGGTAAAAGAAAAATATATCCTGAAGAAAAAAAAAACCCATGATTAACAATCTTCGATAACGTTAAATTTGCTGATGCGTGTTTTCGCGTGTTTTAAAAATATTTTTGCAGTTGGAAAAAGGATGAAATTACACAAATTCGTGGTCGCTTGTTCATTACCCATTCAACAATGGATGAGAAATCATTGACAGGGACAGCAAACATTTGCTGGGATACCATTTTCTGATGTAGGAATTCTAAATCCTGAAATTTCATGCCCTCTTTTATCTCATCACCACCTGGTCAAAAGTCAGGGGCGGATCTACGGGGGTGGGGGGGGGGGGGGGTAACCCCCGCCCCCTTGGGTTTCCAAGCAAAACAAAATATTTTTAAAAAAAATCGCCTCGCCTTCATTGGGTCATCCCCCCCCCCCCCCCCCCCCCCTTAGCAAAAACTAGATCCGCCCCTGACAGTTGCTGATTAGCGCATAACTTTTCGGCGGCTTGGAGCATGGGGTCAAAGGAGAGCGACTTGATTCCACTCCTTCTCTATCACCTCCCCGCTTTAAGCGATAAAATAATGACATAGTAATTTTTATTTAAAAAATTGATTAAGGAATAGATAGATCGATGATTACAGACGCAATCACGGTTGTGTAATATGTGCAATATATACATTGTGATGTATTCCAATATCATCTTTTCTGCAAGAGTAAAACAAAAAAAGGCAGAGATAAGATAACTTTTAGAAGGTTCGTGTTAAATAAAAGAAATAGCAGAAAAGCTAACTTTTTTTTTTTAATAATCTCCCTAAGAAGTAAGATGTATCATGAGATAATCGTAAAGACTTTCAAGATAAATCGGAATTAGAACAGGTTTGAACTTACAAATAATTTGGAACATGACGTAACACTGGCTGTAGTTTGGCACATTATCCCGGGCCTGGTATGTAATCGTATGGTCACCTTCTGAAAACAAAGCACCAGGTGGATTCCCATGCCGTCTGTAAACAGGATAGGGACAATCGAAAGGAAGAGAGAGAGTGTGTGTGTGTATGTTTGTGCGCGTGTGCGTGTGCGTGTGTGTGTGTGTGAGAGAGAGAGAGAGAGATGGAGAGGGAGAGAGAAAGAGAGAGAGAGATGGAGAGGGAGGGGTGACAGAGAGGGGGAGATAGTGAGAGAGAGAGTGAGGGAGAGATAGAGAGAGATAGAGAGGGGTGGGTGGGTGGTAGAGAGGGGAAGATTGTGTGAGAGAGAGAGAGGAGAGAGAGAGAGAGAAGAGAGAGGTAAGAGAGAGAGAGAGAGAGAGATGGAGGGGAGAGAGAGAGAGAGATAGACGATGAGAGAGAGAGAGAGATGGAGGGGAGACGGTGAGAGGGTGAGCGTGTGCGCGTTGAGGCGTGTGTGTTTGTATGTGCGTATAGCGAGAAAGAGAGAGAGAGAGAGAGAGAGAGAGAGGGGGGGAGAAAGTAAATGTATTTTTACCATACAACATCGCGATATGCATGGTATTGATAATAAACGATATTCTCTCTGTCACCCTCTCTCTCTCTCTCTCTGTCTCTCTGTCTCTCTGTCTCTCCGTCTCTCTCCCTTCCCTCCAACCCTTTCATGTTATGTCTTTCATCCACCCCTCCCACTCACTTCACCTCTTTACCCAAGTCTGACTTTCAACAATCAAGATTTGATTTGGATTTTCATACTTGACCGGGGCGGGTTTATCAACATCTGTAGCGGTAGGCTCGGACCACGTGACCCCAAAGGGAATGGTAGCCGTATGAATGATTCCAAGGGATATGTTGCACTTCACGTCAAACACCGGCGGAGTTGTATCTGTATTGAAATAAAAAGGAGAATGTTATTTAAGAAAATGCAATGATTACTAAAAAATTACGTAGATTTTCTACGGCAAAATGTATAAAGACAAGCTTATTCATCTCCTATATAATTATCTACGGCCAAAGTACAGCACTTAAAAATATAAATCCTAAAGGTTGCAGTTATAAGGGGAAGGTGAGATCCTGAACACATTTCCTGATTGTAATCAAGTATGATTGTAATCAAATAACCTATTAACATTTTGTTGCACACTTGCCATGTTTATCATCTTCAGAAAAAAAAAGTTATTGATCTTAAAACAACATTTCCTTTTAAGTTCTCCCACACATCCGCCATATGCGTTCAACAGGGTTAACCAGACTGAAGGTTACTTTATGTTTATCTATGAAATAGAGCTCATGAAGGCGGTCCACAAAAGGAAGCTGGTATAACCCGGAAATTTTATAAAAGGGTGAGGTCTACAGAGGTATTACTTGAAGGAATGGTAGAAGGAAACAAGATAGAGAGACAACGAATCACTTGGTTCGACAACATCAAGATGTGGCCAGGACTTTAAATGAAGAGGTCAGGCAGCTCTTAGGAAACTCTCTCCCAAGCTCCCTACGTTGTAGTAGTGGTGGTTATTTTACCTGACTGCTAAGAAAGCATAAATGCTTGTTAGGAAGCAACCAGAAGACCGACTGCTTTAGGTCCTCTCCGAGGGACCTGGTAATGAGGATTAATGCCTTACCAAAGGGCACTAGCGCATCGACTTGATTTCGAACCCGGGTCGCCGGATTACGAGACCACTGCTCTACCGACTGAGCTATCGCGCCTCCTAAATAAATGTATATCTAATACTGAATCATTCATATCTAAACATAAAACTCATCTTTTCAAATTAGCATATCAATAGTAGGTCTACTAAAGCATAAGTAATGTTGTAATCTTTCTCTTTGTAATTATTACTATGATCAAAGCGATGGGTGTGCATCGAGGCCAACCCTGGCCTGGGACGGTACCAGATGAATGAATGAATGAATGAATATATTCCACTGACGCAATAGCTGTTGCAATTGCTGCGTCATTCCGACTGCGTTATCATTACCGGCGCTAATCCAACCTGTGCGCACAATTTGCCCATAGGCCACTAATTACACGTATCATTTGCACTGTTAATTTCCGATTTTTTTTTTTTTTTTGGGGGGGGGGGGGGGTATGTTTTCACTCCAATGTGGCCCGTCATGGACTGCACCGGTCAATGACGCAGTCTTACGTTAGCAAATTGAATCCTCGTGAAGTGCAACGAGAATTACTGGTCTTGACGCAAACACCAGATCTAGATGTCTATAGTGACAACTGAAAACTCCGAATACGCCAAGAACTAAAGTATATTCTCTGATGGACAGATGGGGGAGGGGCGGAAGAAAAAAGATGGTGAGAAAGAAAGAAAACGGGAGCGAGAGAAAGAGCAATATACATAATACAAATATACACATATACAAGTGTGAAAGGGAGAAGGAACCTGTGAAAAGATATTTACCTTTAGGTTTCGGAGTGGGTGAGCTCCTTCTTCTTCGCCTTCTCCTCCAAAAGGCATCTAATATTCGAAAACGAAAAATACAAAAGTGCCGTGTTATCATAATCACTATCTTTACAAAAGCATAATAAGAGTAATTATCTATTTTTAATAGTTTCATACCTTTACCAAATAAAAGTAATATAATATATATATATATATATATATAGAGAGAGAGAGAGAGAGAGAGAGAGATAGATAAAGATGGAGGGAGAGAGAGTGAGAAAAAGAAAAAGATGGAGAGAGAGAGAGAGAGAGAGAGAGAGACAGACAAAGGAAGAGGAAGAGGACATGAGCTGAGCCAGGAATGGGAATTTCATATACCTCGGTAGTACGTGATATCCGTGTAATAATACGGAAAAGAGTTACTTCACGATCGACAACAAAATTAATGAAACATAAAATATTGATATAAAGATATGTAGCAGCAGCAGGTTTTTGCTTAGACGATGTATTAACATTCCGATACTGATTTAAGTAAAGTTTGATTACGAAAATATATCATGTTCACTTTCTTATGTAGGCATGGACGATAATATGTAATTTTACATGTGTTTCCCACTCTGGAAAATATCGCAATCAACATCAATGTAGTTAGATAATATCAACAAGTTTCCTGAGTAAATAAAATCGATTGTGTAGAATTTCTATATTAAAAGGCTTCCAGATATTTCTACAACCTGGATCTATTACTGATAGCTGTGCTTTGGGGTTTTACAACTTTGTAGACATTATGATAATAACAATAATAATAAATACACATGGTATTACATAAAGCGCTATTATTTTCAATGCATTGCTAAAAAAAAAGAAAACTCCAGTAGAACCGTTTGCAGACACCGATTATATAGCTGAAAAGTTAACATCAAATTACAGATAAACTTGAGTTCTGGTAAATATAGAAATAAAATTCTAACATAATCCAACGAAACTTGCACCGAATGTTCAAGATTACAAATAAATGACATGTGCTAAACAGTATTGGTAGAAAATCTATAGTGGCTGAGTAATGAGCAAAGAAGGAAAAGGAAATCTGGATAAGTAGGCCCTACACCATGTGCTTAAAAAGGGCAAGTCCACTTCAATAATTACGTACTTTCAAAGGAAGCAGAAAAATCAGACAAACCAATCAAAAAAAGTGTGAGTAAAATCGGCTAACTAATAAGAACGTTATGAATTGTTAATGACATGAAAAACTTTGAAAATCACTACACACAGATTGTTTTCTTTATATTGATAATATAAATTTCCGACTTCCCCCTATAAATCTTCTTTCTTCACACCAGCATCCAAGTTAAATTGATCGTAATATGTTTTCGTGTGGAACTGTGGATGCACTAATATAGATTAATTGTTTTTATTCTGTTAAATCATGAAAATGTATATTTAAATAAACTATTTAATATGAAAATTAATAATTATGAATAGACAGTATTGCGAAAATAGTATCAATGTCTCAAAGTTCATAAACGATTGTAAAATGTCACGTATGTAATATGATACATATCACATATAACCTGCGCAATGGCATGGGAAATTTAGTTCTTGTGGATAAAAAAGGAAAATAATGGAATGAAAACATATAAGGTAATTGCTAAAAAGTGAGGCGATGACGTCACAAACTGATAACCAATTTTGCAATTTGTGTAGTGATTTTCATTGTTCCATAGTTTTTCATGCTTTAAAAAAAAGTATAACTTCTTTATTTGTGATCTGATTTTCCTAAAACTCTTCTTGCTCTCTTTCTCCTGTTTTTCCGCATCTATTGAAAGCAAGTTATTTTTGGAATGGACTTAACCTTTGACACAGGTCACTAGGTGCAAATGGGAGTTGTGGGTTCCTTCGAAGATGACGCCCAGCAAGTTTGTATGCGTTTGTTTTTATTTCACTGGTTCAAAAAACCAATCTACTGCAGGATAAATAATCCAGAATAAATTATAACAATTTTCTCTCAGAATGCGATTCCTAAACCAGAGCTCAATATAAGCTTGAAGCTTAAAGGATAACGTAGACTATTATAATGAAAATGATAGTTGATTGCCATAATAAAAGTCATAATTCCCTTTAAAAATTCGCTGATATATATGAAAAACATCATAACAATTGCCGATCCTGAGCCAAGAAGGATATTGTTTGGGAAGTTCTGTTATTTGACCTGCGAAAAATAGTAACTACGGAAACGATACTGCTACTAAATAACTGGAAACTCAATTCTTGAATAAAATTATATTGTAGAAGCATTTAGATTAGATACTCAACTTTCATCCCACTCAGAAAGTTCCATTTACATAACAAGGAAATAAAGTTTGACCGTTAACCTTTGGAAAATTGCACCGAGCATGAACAAAAAATCGATGAAAAAGTAAATCTTAGACTTCAGTTGACATACATGTACATAAAACAAGAACATTTCATATATATGAAACAAAATGATAAATACACAGGGTGATAGCAACAAATGAAACAAGTTAAGAATGTTATTGAATTGTCTTTACTAATACTAGTGGAAGAAAGCAAATATACATGGGGTCTAATCAGATGAAATATGGTTTTAAATGTAAAAACCCCAGTAATGCAATACGTTGAATTAACGTCCAAGTCGGTCTTGTCTATCGTGCATCTTGAAGAAGTTTGAAAATATATTTGTTATTTTATATCCCTATGCATTAGGAGTGTTTACAACAAGAAAAGAATAGTTTTACTTTAAAAAAAAAAGAGTAATGCAGTACGCTGAACGTCGGTCATGTCTTGTCTATCGTAAATCGTAAAGAAGTATGAAAATACATTTTTTATTTTATATTCCGATGCATCACAGAATGTGGAGCAACAGGTATGAAACGCTGAAACGGATGTCTCAAGACCGAGGAACTTGGAGAGACACTTGACATAAAATTTTGATTGGGTCACTGAACCTGTCATTAACTGACAGATCACTATTGATGATGATGCATTAGGAGTGTTCACAACAAGAAAAGAATAGTTTTACTAGGAAAGACGTTTCCTGTCGAATCACTTTTTAAAATGTATTGCTGACGTCACGAATAATTTACCTTGTCCCGGGAAAAGGTGAACTATTCGTGTTGGGGTCTTATCAGGTCAAGTATGGTTTCAATGTAAAAAAAACCCAGTAATGCAATACGCTGAACGTCGGTCATGTCTATAGTGAATCTTGAAAAAGTTGAAAATATATTTTTTTAATTATATCCCTCAGCGTAAGATTGTTGCGTTTGGAGTGTTCACAACAAGAAAAGGGATAGTTTTACTAGGAAAGTTAAAGCTTAGCTGCCATAGTTTATAGGAGGGATTAGACCGCCCTACAAGGTCACTGGACAGGTGGTTATCTCATCAATTCAGCTCTCAGTTAACATAAGAAAAAGAGGATCATGGGGACCAATGGTCACCGATTAGGCATTGTTTGTTATATAGAGGGCGCAAGTAGCTACAAGTAGTGCAGTGCGCCTTTAAATAGTATGGCCATAATAATAATAAGAATCCGTTTTTTTATATAGCGCTCAATACACCGATCCAAAGATGTGCCTAAGCGCTTTACAGATATATTATTACCCCGGTCATCGGATTCAGGCTTACCCGCACACAATGTGTGCACATTTTCCACTCCCTGGGGAGCATTCCAGCCAGTCGCCATTTTACAAGCGCACACTTGCTCGTCCAACCACATGAACGTTCGCATCCTACCGGGTACCAATTTAACACCTGGGTGGAGAGTAGCAAGTGCAGGTAAATATCTTGTCAAAGGATATTAGTGCCGTGTCGGGATTCGAACCCTCGACCTTCGCATCTACAGTCAAGCGCCTTAAACCACTCGACCACGACACTCCCACCATATATGTAGGAAGGACAGAAAATAAATTAAACAAAGGGAAATAAAACAAAGAACAAAGATACAAACATAATAAAACATAAAGCACACACACACACACACACACACACGCACAAAAACACAGAAAAAAACTATATGGCAACGATGGTCGTAAAAATGCGCAAATATTTCAATTGCAAAGAATATATTATTAGCTTGATAGAATGCCTTCTATAAAGAAAAGAAAATGTTTGAAGTTCTATATATTTCTTTATAATTTGTGGATACGATTATAGATAGAACTTAATTTTATTACAAATCAAGTCATAACATTTCAACGTGAAATTGACAACCATTTTAAATAATTGTTATAACGAATAGTACTACGACTGTATAATAACACGAATTCGGACTACTGCTACCACAAATTACTAGTACAGTCAAACCTGTCTATAGCGGCCTTCCAAGGGAAACACAAATGTGGTCTTTGTAGAAAGGTGGTCTCTAAAGCAGGTTTGACAGTAGTAAAACTGCTACTTCTACTAGGCACTATACCTATACTCCTATAGCTGTTGCTACTATTCTACTCCTTGTATAATACTCCATGCGAATACAAGGTATCTGAAAATATATTGGATATAGCATAGATAAGACACGATAATAATTAATATAGGCCACAATGGTCAGGAGAAGAGATGGTAATAAATAAATTGTGCACAATTAACATTACCTGTTCCTTGGAGAAGAAGCGATGCCATCACCAAAATACACAAACCCCTTATTAGGAGAATCTTCATGTTGAGGCTCCGTGTTTTGATAAGTCAGAAGGCGAAGGCTGATAGAATAGAATGGAGCTTCTTAGGATACTCGACTTACATCGACGCGCATAGAACTATCAACTAGCTTCTTCAGTGCAAAATCTGAAATACGTCGAGAGAAAGAAATTAGGATGACCTTCCTATACCACGCTTGTAACCTTTAGTTGTGTTTACATTAAAATCATCGGACAAGTGAAATTATAGACGGTTGTTTATATCCGGGTCGCTAAATCACCCTCCAGCAAAGTAGTCATGTGGGCCAGCTGGGCATTGATTGGTTAAAAGGCAATCACCACCACTTTCTTTGACCTATCACATACGTCGTTTCGTGATAAAGGTTCCCTCCTCCGAAACAGGGGGGTCGTCCCTGATACCAGCCAAGGAAAACAACAAATTAAAAGGCTAATGGTCTTGATTCGTTGTCTGGTCGTGTCAATTTCACCAAACTTAACTATGAGCTAATTGTCAACGAGTGGGGATTTCCACGTTAAAAATTGTCACAGAGTGTGTACAAGTTTTGTAGCTTCAATTTTAAAAGCGGGGTATACTGCCAGCTCTTAATTGGAACTTTAAACTTATTGTTTTAGATATTTGACTTCGATCGTCACATGTCCATGCATGCTTAGTAAAAGATTGATCAGTTGTGAACAACTTCGCCACCGTCCTGTACATTCACTTTTAATGCACAAGCGATTACTGATGCGATCGGAAACTGTGGGCGGGAGATTCTAGCTAGCTGATACGGTGTTGTTTTTGTTTCACATAACCTGATGTAACACGGTCAAATTTCTTGTCCTTAGAGAACGTCTTATTAGAAATTATTTTGAGGTTCTACAGGAAAAATTGAGTACCACTTCCAACTTGTTCTCAAAGCTTCAAACTACAGTTCACCGCTAAAGATGAAGATGTCTGCAGGTAAGAATTATGTGATTTTAAAAAATTCAATTTTTTGAAGGCACGATTATACTGTATTGTTTACTAAAGATGATTTTGCCTCTTTATATTGCAGTTGAAATATTTTTATTGAATGCTTCTGGTTCTGACAATTATTTTGAAAGCCTGTATGAACATAAAAGCTGTCATGAATGCAGAATTGTTGTCTTAAAAAAAAGATCATATATTGAGCTCTTGAGGTGAAGGAAAGTGTGAATTAGGTAGGGGCTACATAATTTGAACTCAATATAACAAAATGTGAAGGCCACTCGGATTATCATCATAAATCATCATCATCGACACCGGCACCTGCACGGCCACCACCACCACCATCACCATCATCATCATCATCATCATCATCATCACCACCACTACTACCATCATCATACTATCATCATCATCATCACCACACCACCACAACTATCAACTTTATCGTCATTATTACTACATTATCCTTCTCCTCCTCACCCTCCTCCTATCATCACCACCACCACAACCACCATCACCACAACCACTATCACCGACACCACCACCACCATCATCATCTTCATCATCACTCCTCCTCACCATGCCTCTGAGAATTCGAAAAATACGCCCACTACTCAGTAAATGTATGTACAACGTTCAATTCGGTACATTTTATGTTAAAGATATAAGGATAATAATTACAGTGCTTATATAGCGCCTAACACTTACTTTGTCAGAAGTCTCTAAGCGCTCTACAATAATGCAGCATAATTACCCTGGCTTTAGCAGTGCAGCTGTTACGCGCGCTGCGTTTCAAGGAATAAATTCCTACCAGGTACCCATTTACTTCACCTGGGTGGAGTGTGGCAAATGTAGATCAATGTCTTGCCAAAGGACATTAGTGCAGCGGCGGGACTCGAACCGCGGACCTTGTGATCGAAAGGATGAGTTCTTGTAAAAGTAAAAAATACTCTGTGAGCTTTCTTATTCTTTTTGCACACGTTACATGTCAGTTTAGAAGGCTATCAGGTAATAAAATATATCCCCTGCGTTAAAGGGCTAATTCTAATCGCCCTCATATTCGAAATGTGAAAGAGATTTGAAATAGCTGACAGGTGGACGAAACTTTCATACCACCTGTGTCGATATCCCATATAGCCATTTATGTCTGCAGTGCATGTGATTTTCATCAAGATTGAGTTGATTTCATATAACGTTGAAGTTTCTGAAAACGCGCAGTGTACCCACCAATTCATGTATATGAATTTTCATTACCCGTTCTAAATAACTCGTATGATTCGCATGATCATTTCTAGCAGCGTTTTAGATGGATGCTATTAAAGCTAGGAACTTAAATCTGCTAGAACAGATATCCTTGGCATTACACAATTATCTTTAAATGTGTTATTTTCTTTCAGAGGCGGGAAGAACCGGAATCAGCAGCTGTTTGTTGTGTCTGTTCTTCATCCTCATGATGACAGGAAGCTCTGGTAAGATAACCAACTGAACTCGATAGCATGATCCGTTTCTTCCGAATCAAATTAGTTTTTTTGTAATCAGGTGCGGACTGTGGGATATTTAGGTGTTCTCCCTATTACATCATGGAGTAATCAATGGTAGTCTGCAGATACTGCAGACCCGTGAGCAGAGAAGCCTTAAGCAAAGCCTAGCTCTGTCAGTCTCTGGCCAAATTTCTTATTATTTTGTTGAATCGAGAATCTTGCAGTACACACCAATACTTATATATGCTAGATGATCTCAACGTTTCTTTCACAATGCAATCGCTTGACCAGAACTGGTCCATACCTTTAGAAGCCTATAAAACAGAAATTATTAAGAGACAAAATTAATGGAACGACGAAACAAACAATATTTTGTCACCCTCCACTCTTTCAAGGCTTGCCAAACAGCAATAGTACATAACGAGCTTTGAAAAAAAAACAGTCACATACCATCACAAGTTTACGCAGGAGCTAGGGAGGTCAACAAGCAAAAAAATGATGTAAATTCAAACTTGTAAAAAATTAAGAAGCCATGTGAAGCAGTAAGTCCCTTTGTGAAGCTGAGTCAGGCTCCAAGGCTTGCATAAGGGTCTTTGATGCACTCTCGTGCAAGCTGAGCCATATATTTTGAAGCGTTTTCAAATAAATCTTACTATTTCATTAAAACTTAAAACTTTGGTTGAGAATGAATATTTAATTGCAGCTGATTTTTGAAGCTATACAATACAAATTCAAACCTGTTGCTGTTATTTGTTGAAACACCCTGTGTACGTATCTGCATGCAGGAGCAACTGTCGGGTCACCTTTCAAACTCAGATCACCTTTACAGATATCGACTTTCTATCGACTTCTCCGAAAGAAAAGAAAAAATGCGCAAAACCCTGAATATGATAATGATATAAGATTAGGTTAGATTGGGTTCTCCTGTTCCTGCTTATATGAATATAGTTTTACTTACTCTTTTGGGGCGCGGGGGGGGGGGGGGGCTCTTTGCGTACTGTCCACAGCGTGGCAACTTTGTTGTGGTGTGTGATAGGGCGTATGTTTGGGTGTGTGTTTTCTTCTTTTATGTTTATGCTGTTGTAGGTGTGTAGTTTGTGTAGTTTAATGGAAAATAACAAATAAGGGTATTTGCGTTTGCCTCGGCGTCGCTTGTTAAAATTAAGATCAGCCGACAAGTTAATTCATTGTTTTTTGGTAATTTAAATGGAATGCAGTAATGTACCTATTGTTTGTAATTTTGTTTCGTTAAATGTAAAAGGAATACGTTAGAAATCAAAGAGGCAGAAACTCTTGGATTGGTCTAGAAATAAGCGAACAGATATAATAGTTTTACAAGAGACATATTGGGAAAAGATGGAAGCAATTAACCGTGGAGTGGAAGTGCATATTTTAGTCACGGAACATGTCATAGTAAAGGGGTCATTATATTAATTGATTCAAAATTAGATGCTCAAGTTTTAAAGGTAGTTGCACGTGTATTTTCCTGTTCGTAGAAATAAATAAATTGGAACAAATAAGTTACATGGGTACCCGGTAGGATGCGACCGTCATTATTGGTCAAACAGTTTTTGAGTGTCAAGTAACGCCTGGCTGGAATGCTCCCCAGGGAGTGAAGATTGTGCACACATTGTGTGTGGGCAAACACTGAATCCAATGAACGGGGTAATAGTATATTTGTAAAGCGCTTAGAGACATTGTTATTGCTATTAAGCGCTATATAAAAGCTAAATATTATTATTATTTTATTATTATTTTTTGATTGATTTTAATATTGAGACTTTAAAAGAAAAAATTGGAAGGAATATTCCAATAATAAAGGGTGGAGATTTCAATGTGATTCGAGATAAAGCCTTAGACTATATGGGATGCCGAAACAAAATATTCACTCTAGATTTAGTTTTGGTTTTGATAGATTTTTAGATGATCATGTATTAATAGATATAGGCCTATAGAGAAAGGAATAACACAATTTTTTTTTAAAACTTTAATTTCTAACTTATAGACAGGTTAATCCCTATATGCAAAATAGATTAGATTATTGGTTTAAGATATCTGAAAAGTAAGATGCACTGGGATATTTTGAGTTCCCGTTACTGGGGGGGGGGGGGGTGGGCTTGGGAGGCCCACGCAATTACGTGATTATGTTTTTGTTTTTTGAAAGTATGTTTAGCACTGTGAGCAAAGCAAAAAACAATAATTTCACCCGATTTCTCACTGTATGTTATGTTATGAAGAAAATGTACAATTTTGTTTAATATGAATGATTTTTACAATATGTATTTGATTTGAGAGAAAATAATAAAAGATATATTTTTAAAAAAAATTATGTGTATTCTTGATTTCTTTGCAGATGCTTGGAGAAGACGAAGACGAAGACGGGCTCCCCCGCCACCTCCCCCCGGTAAGAAAAGTTTCAGACAAAATTCAGACAAGAGTTTTGCTCATTTTGCATTGAAATGATTATTCTCACTCCTTTTCATGTCCTGTATTTCCATGACGTATATTTATAATGAAGTATAATGCAGGTCTGAATACGAATGTTACAATACTTTGATTGCATTTAATCATATACATGTATTTTATCGTGTTTTTTCATCTCCCCCATTTTTTTTTTTTTTACCTGTCAACGGTTATATAGCATTTACTAAGTATATCTGTAAAGCGCTTAGAGACATTGTATTAAGCGCTATTTGAAAGCGGAATATCATTCATTAAAGGTATAATTGACGGCTTATTTTTACCCGACTGCTAAAAAAGCACATGTATGCTTGTAAGTAAGTAACCAGGGGACAAACGGCTTTAATTCATCTCCAAGGGACTTTGTAAT